TGTCTCGTTGTTGTGACGCTTTGGTGGGCAGTGGCAGAGCCACCATTACGCTTCATGATTTCCCTCCAACCGGTAGTATAAATAAAACACTTTGGTTTACATATTTTCGTCCCGTTAACAAGATTAACACTGTGGCACCACGTTCAACGCACGAGCCACGCAGAGTTACTCAACACAGGATGTCGGTGAAGACGCCCAGCAGAATCGCTTGAATACCACAGCGGTCTGGCTTCCCTTATGAAATGGGGCCACACCCAACAGAGCTAAACCCAGCCCAGAGTCCTACCAAACACAGCTCTCAAAACGATGAGGCAACGTCAAACCCCACTGCTTGCCGAGGTCCTGCCTCGCACCGTTTTTTTGGATCATACTTCACCATGCTGTTCAGTGTAGGTTGGTGAAGGCGGGGTACATGCACGGAGGGAATTAGAACGACAGTACCCACCTCCATCGCAGCCTATGACACACCTGTATTACACAATGTTGTCACACAGCCAAACACGTCACGCTTCAACAGCTTAGCTACCGACATCTGACGCGGCGCATTTCGGATTATTTGACCATAGGCTAAACCCTAATAACGTATTAGGCCTCCCCACGCAGTGTCAAAGGTGAGGCTTGGTTTGACCATACTTCACCAAGCTGGTCATTCAGGGGTTCAAGGGCTCCAGTAACGTTTCAGATGCCACTGATAGCGAGGAGAACGGAACTCATTTGTGCCGGGTTCATACTTTCATAGCGCAGTGTGGTAACCACTGCACTACTCGCCTCCCTATACACAGGACTAACATAACCCAGCAAAACCCAACATGTGCACAACTCACAAGTTCAGCCCTGTTTTACGAAACTAACGAAGCCCCGTGCCCAGAGAGAGAGAGTGAGAAAAAAAACCCCAATTGCTGACGAGGGTTGACCACGAAGTCGGGCACTGGGCCAACATCAAAGGGGAGAGAGAGAGAGCGCTTTGACAAGAAGGCGGCCATTACAGCCCCCCTAATTAAAACAAACACGCGCACTGCAACGAAGACCCCCCCCTCCCACCCCAACCTCTTCCCTCCGACAGCAACCGAATAAAAGCATTTTAACTACAACATCTTTCTTGCAAAGGACCGCAGACACTCAACATTCTCACACACACACACACCTGTCCGTAGCCTGGATACGCCATGAGTATATCAGCGATCGCCGTTCAAGTCCGACTCGCTGCTGCTGCTGCTCGACTTGGATTCTGAAGCGGGCGGCGGTGGGGAAGCAACGCGGAAGCGTCAGCCAATGAAACGAGGCGACACCCTACCGCGTGACGTCAGCGCGATTGCAGCCAATGGCAAAGCGCCGTAGCTTGCGGAGGACACGCCCATCGGTGAGAGGACACGCCCATCGGTGAGAGGACACGCCCACCACTCTATATAAGGGTAGCCACTTGATAATTGTTTTTTTTACCCTTTTATCTGGCAACAAAACTGGCACCTTTTTTTTCTTCCAAAAAACAATTATCATATTTTTTCTTCTGGCAAATGAGGTTCCAAAGGAAGCCACTTGTTTGACAAGGGTGGTGGGGGGGTATGTGACATTCTAGATTTCGTGACTGCAAGGATTCATATTCTTAGGGGGTTTTTTTTTTAGAATATGGGTATGTGACACAATAGTGGGGGTACAGCTGGTGGTACATCTACCGGTGCATTTACAGGTCATCTCAGTCCGCCAAACAGACACACAAACAGAGAGAGACAACACAGAGACACAGAGAGAGAGAGAAAACAAACTGCAGGAAATACAAAAGAGACAACACAGACACACACACAGAGAGAGAAAACACACTTCATAAAAACAAACTTAGTAAAATTATACTTCTAAGTTTACTAAGTTTGTTTTCTCATTCATTCATACCTGATGATGATTGCTTGTGTTGCAATCGAAACGTCGTATGCTGTTATTTAATTTATTTGTCTTTCTACGTGACTTTACCGAAAGAACCAAAAAGTAATTATTGCAGTCACGAAAGTTATAAATAAAGTTTGAACCACCTCTACGGGGAGGATTTAAGTTTGTTTTCTCTCCGTATGTCTCTGTGTTGTCTCTCTCTGCTTGTGTGTCTGTCTTCGTGTCTCCGTGTCTGTGTCTTGTCTCTACTCTCTCAAATTTCACACTTAACTTTGAATTTAGCAATTTTTGGAAGAACGTAATCAACCAGGCTATGTGTTAATCGTGTGTTGACGACTCTCTGTGTTGCATTGCATTACATTTCTAAATTTATTAAGTTTGTTTGATTAAGTGTGGTTTTTTCTCTCTCTATCTCTGTGTCCTCGTGTTGTAGTATTTCCTGCAGTCATGAAAGCTCCAAATCTCTCATTGACATGCTAATTTCTCCACCCCCCTCTCTCTCTCTATTAAGGCCTCGACACAGAGATGTTATTTCTCTGTGTGCCTATGTGTGTGTCTCTCTCTGTGTGTCTCTGTGTTATCTTTCTCTGCTTATGTGTCTGTCTATGTGTCTCCAGGTAGGGTGTTGACTGTTATGTTAGCCGACTCTCTGTGTTGTATTGCATTATATTTCTAAGTTTACTAGGTTTGTTTTCTCATTCATTCGTACCTGATGATGATTGCTTGTGTTACAATCGAAACGTCGAGGGAGTTGTGTGGAATTACAGCCCATAGGGGAACGGGACGAGCTGTTTAGAAGGCCAGTGTCCAGCTCGTCCGTCTCCCCATGGGCAGGAATTCCACACAACTCCCCCTCTGCCAAACCCCTCTCTCTCTATTTAAGGCCTCGACACAGAGACGTTGTCTTTCTGTGTGCCTATGTGTGTATCTCTCTCTGTTTGTCTCCGTGTGAGTCTCTCTCTGCTTGTGTGGCTGTCTGTGTGTCTCCGTGTCTATGTGTTTGTCTCTCTCTCTCTCAAATTTAGCAATCTTTGGAAGAACGTAATCAACCCGGTGGGGTGTTGACTGTTTTGTTGGCCGACTCTCTGTGTTGTATTGTATTATATTTCCAAGTTTACTATGTTTGTTTTCTCATTCATTTATACCTGAAGATGGTTGCTTGTGTTGCAATCCAAACGTCGTATTCTATTATTATTTAATGTCTTTCTACGTGACTTTATCGAAAGAACCAAAGAGTAATTCCTGCAGTCACGAAAGCTTCGAATCTAGTTTATCTGTGAAAACTACTGGCCATCTGTGGAAAAAGGGCTTTTTAGCTCATCAGATTCCTTCAGCATAAATATTATGATTCTGTACAATAGAAATAGCGATTAATAGGTTAAATTCGGGTTGCCACCATTTCCGCACGCGAATCCAGGAAATGTGCAACACAATTTCCCCACATTTTCAGGTATAAATCAACTCTTACCACTGAAACGGATGCCAAATCCGGGACCGTCTGGGTCAAATCCGGACAGGTGGCAACCCATGCATGCGTTAAATAGAAATATTACATAATCGAGTTATTTTTACGTTAGATTGCGTAAATATAAATGTGTGGTTAGACCCGCTACCACCCGACACAACCAAATTAGGAAGAATTGTCACGAAAAACAAAACGTGCCAATGAGTTGCTACTTCAGCACACCGGTGTGTTGGAGTACATACCTTATCAGTGCCTACCTTATTACAGACAAATTCATACCTTATTGGTCACCCCGTGCCCTTATAAATCGCAACGTTGATCCTACGAAGTCCTATCACAAGGAAAAAACACACAAAAATTGACAAAAACAATTGTTATTCTTTGGATCTTTCGGAAAAAGCCACAGTAGAGAGAAAACTAATTTTAAAAATCACAATATCACGACGTTTCGATCGCAACACAAGCAATCGTCATCAGGTGAAAACTACTGAAGCAGGGAAAAATATATGGCGGCAGTGCTGCTAAGGCAGGGAGTTCTTAAGGTTTTAGATGGGTGTAGCCCAAGGGTCAGAGGGCAGGGTGAGAGATGAAATTTGCATGTAAATATAAGATAGGAGAAATCTTCATAAACGAAGCTGTGGGGGTGGCCATTGCATTGTGAGAAATTAGCATGTCAATGTAGGAAATTTGCTTGTAAATGTAAGCTCGTAGAGAGCTCGGAAAAGAACATCGCCACATGGAGGTGGAAAAGGATGGCAAGCCGCTGTGGGGGTGGCTATTGTATTGTAAGAGATTAGCATGTCAATGTAAACAATTTGCTTGTAAATGTAAGCTAGAAAGAGCTCAGAAAAGAACATCGCCACGTGGAGGTGGAAAAGGATGGCAAGCCGCCATGTACTAACACAGCTAACGGTGGCTGTGTTAGTGAATGAAGAATACGGGTAAACCGTATGGGTTGACATGTACGAGAGTAAACCCCAAAACATTTACAATTCTAGTGCGGTACCGCACGACGTTTTGCCGGTAATTACAGATTGTTACATATATATGTTTTGGGATATCAGAAGCATATTCTTGGTTCTTTCGGTAAAGTCACACCTGATGATGATTGCTAGTGTTGCAGGTCGAAACGTCGTGAGAATTTGTATTATTTTTATTATTTTATTATTTCCCTTCTACAGGTTCCGGACCATTTGGGAACCGCGTGCTGGAGATAAAGCGACCAGGGGCGATCCGTCATGCGCACCGCAAACTCCTTACCACATCCTGCAGGTAATGCAAGAACCTCAATGTGGATGAATTTTCACTTTAAATTTTCCCGACTGCAGGAATTAATATTCTTGGTTCTTTCGGTAGATAGAAATTTATTATTTTCAATTTATTATGAAAATTTGAAATATTATTTATTTTTATATATTTATTTTATTTTCTATCTACGTGGCTTTACCGAAAGAACCAAGAATATGAATCCCTGCAGTCACGAAAGCTTCAAATCGATATCAGAAGCGTGAAGAACAAAAAAAATGGCGGAAAAAATACAGAACGGTGACGTCACGCGCGGCTACAAGCCAAGAGAAAAAGCGCGCGAACGTGACGTCCCCGCTCCGCACCCCCTCCGCGTGACGTCATCGCCACGCCCACATTCCTCCTCTTATCCCGTCAACCGCAAGACGAAACGGACCCCTGGCTCCCCGTCACAGCGTGATGATAATTTTTGTTATTTACAAATTTTTACTAACTAAACTCAGTGCTGCTCTTATAATTACAATTACACTGTTGGTGTGAGTTTGTTTTTGCGTAAATTTAGTTTTTGCCTCACGTTTGCCCGTCTGGGATATTTTTCCCCTCACGACGTGGAATGAGGTGTGTCGTTGTACTTTTTTATGTTCACCTCGGACATTTAAAATGATCCTTATCATTTTATATAATCAAATGCCTTCCTTGAGCAAGTAAAAATAGCAATTGGGTGTCTGATAAAAGTAAATTAAATGATTGATTTGATGCGAAGAAGCGTTTTTTTGTGACCTGAGGCAGATTTTAATTGTGACCTGTTCTAAAGTAATTTAATTAGCGCGGTCTTTTCCCTCAGATGGAGAAAAAATATAGCGGTGTCAGCTTGACAAACTCGCAATATGAAGACATATTTAATGCTGCAATTAATGGTGAGAAAAATAATGGGATTTTTAAAACAAAAAACGAGTTAATATGCAAACATTCCACTTACAAGCCAAGGGCTGCTTTTCATCAAACCACAATGAGTCACTTAAATTGTATTTATCTCGTAAAGGTGATCAAAAAGAAGTTGCGACAGATGATCCTGGGTTGGATGGGACAACGGGGATGTTTGAAACTAACCCTAAAGTTGAATTTAAAACGGACGAGGCGAAGCTTTGCATTGCTACTTCAAAAGTGGACAACTCAGAGTCGAATAATAGAAGAAAGCAAAAAAAAGCGAAGGTCAGTACGATTGTAATGTTCGCTCCTCATTGCCCGCAAATAAATAACATCTTACAGGACGTAAAACAAACATTGTTCCCCTTTTTGCAATTGGTAATTTCCCCAATTTTGGTCGGAATCTGAATATTTATACTCTTAGGTTTTTTCGGTAAAGTCGCGTAAATAAAAATAAATAAAAATTGATATAAATAAAATTATAAAATAACAATTTATTATCTTATTGTTATTTCTATAAATTTTAGGTTTTTTAGGTAAAGTCATGTAGGTAAAAATAAAAATAATTTAAAATAACAATAGAAATGTAATAATAAAATAATGATTTATTACCTTTTTCTATTATTCTTTTATTATTTCTTTTTATTTTTACCTTCGTGACTTTACCGAAAAAACCAAAGAGTATGAATCCTTGCAGTCACGAAAGCTTCAAATCTAGAATCTGAATATTTACTTCAACTGCAGGAGGAATCCGATGAGCTACAAAGCTCTTTGTTGTTTTCACAGATGCCCATTAGGGGCCACGGGGTAAGAACGTTAACAAACAATACAAATACACGATTTGTTGTGCAAAGTCCAAGTAAATAAATCACCAAAATACATACAAATAAAACTAAACCATCCTAGCAGGCATCTTAGCAAGGCCGCTGAGGTATTAACTTTTACTGGTAGGAACCTCCTGGTTACACCAGCCCACAGGGGATTATTGTGTCCGTCCGTCGTGCATCCAAAAATGGGAGGGGTGGGGCTGGGTGGGGAGTGGGAGGGGTGGGCTGGGTGGAGAAGGGAGGGGCTGGGTGGGGAGGGGAGGGGAGTGGCTGGGTGGGGAGGGTGGGGCTGGGTGGGGAGGGGTTGGGCTGAGTGGGGAGGGGCTGGGTGGGGTGGGGAGGGGCTGGGTGGGGAGGGGCTGGTCACCCCGTGGTGCCCTTATTAAACTCAACGTTTAACCTACTCACGCCGGCTTGTGCCCGCCCTCACAGTCGGGCATATTTGCGGAATACACCACGCCGCCGTTGACCCTGGCCATTGACTGGGCAACCCAACGTTCCTACCAGCAGCTCCCTCCGCAGGAATGTGTTTTCTGAGAAGCGACCTGGCCACAAATGATAAGCTCAAAAAATGGCCTTATCATTTTGGACATTGATAGCAACTAAATAATATCGGCGCACGCAATTTAGTTACGCGTTGGGACTTTCACTTTGTTACAGAGCCTAACGTGACTTTTCGTTGTCTTGTTTTATTATCGCAATTGTCCCGCGTGCAGGCTGTACGTCTCAATATCAGTGATGCACTGTTTAAGCGTAACGCCTCCCCTAAGTTGAACAATTGTGACATGAAAGGTAAGAACAAACATTTTCTGAACGGCGACCCTTTTTGCACGAGAAATATATTGTGAAAAAAGCAGTGTAGAATGAAGAAATACATTTGGCAATGTGCCTTTTGACATGCGGTACCTTCAAATTTTTCTTGACTATAATTGAAAATTCCAATTGCCATGCTCTGCATTCGCTAACTTGTGCCAACCTCGGCAAAAAAGGTCGCTTTATACACAATATCTACTGCTATATTTACCCAAAAATGTCAGTGTGTAACACGCGTGACGTCACTTTCACGTCGACCAGTCCCCCTCATTAATAATCATGAAAAAGTTACGTCCTCCACATTAATAATCATGAGCGGGTGACGTCACTCCGCATGGAGAACCCCCCCCCCCACCATTAATATAATCATGAGCAGGTGACGTCACTCCACATTGAACAGCCTCCCTCAATAATCATAAGGTGACGTCCTCCAAATGGACCCCCCCCCCCCATTCATAATAATTAGCGGCAGACGTCACTCCACATTGGGGAGCCGAGGCGCCTCCTCCCCCCTCCTCGGCATCAACTTACAAACTCTTTGGTTCTTTCAGTAAAGTCACGTAGGTATAAAATAAAAGAAATCACGACGTTTCGGGCGCAACACAAGCGTCCATCATCAGGTGGGAAAGCATGGTCTGCTGCTGAGGCAGACTGTTTTAAAAGGTTTGAAATGGGTGTAGCTCAAGGGTCATAAAGAAGTTGCGGGGCTAGTGATGTTAGGTGCTGCTACTCGCTAACAGCACTTGACCTTTGTGGGTCGATGCAAAAAAAACTTGACTGCACGAACTCTTCTTGGTTCTTTCGGTAAAGTCACGTAGAAGGGAAGTAATAAAATAATAAAAATAAAACATAATAAAACAATTCTCACGACGTTTCGGCCACAACGCAAGCAGCCGTCCTCAGGTGAAAACCAGGTCTGTCGAGGCGACAGAGTCTGAATGAAACAGCACACGAGCTTGGAGCATATATATAAGCTGGGCGCATTGACAAAGGAATTTGCATATCAAAAGGAATTTAGCATATTTATGGGAAATGCAGGAATGTGATTGGTCCTGCATATGCATGTGCATTATGCAGGATTAACAGCATCAAAGGGAGCTGCAGTTACTGCTGCTGCTGAAATTACTGCTGCTGCTGCAGTTTCTGCTGCTGCTGCAGTTGCTGCTGCTGCTAGCAACTGCAGCAGCAGCAGCAACTGCAGCAGCAGCAGAAACTGCAGCAGCAGCAGTAATTTCAGCAGCAGCAGTAACTGCAGCTCCCTTTGATGCTGTTAATCCTGCATAATGCACATGCATATGCAGGACTAATCACATTCCTGCATTTCCCATAAATATGCTAAATTCCTTTTGATATGCAAATTCCTTTGTCAATGCGCCCAGCTTATATATATGCTCCAAGCTCGTGTGCTGTTTCATTCAGACTCTGTCGCCTCGACGGACCTGGTTTTCACCTGAGGACGGCTGCTTGCGTTGTGGCCGAAACGTCGTGAGAATTGTTTTATTATGTTTTATTTTTATTATTTTATTACTTCCCTTCTACGTGACTTTACCGAAAGAACCAAGAAGATGAATCCCTGCAGTCACGAAAGCTTTAAATCGAAAAATTGACTGCACGAATATTGATGTTGCCAAACTCGGTTGTTGAGAAACATGCATTCAGATGAATTACTACGATAATGAGCCAACACTCCACATGGGGGGGCGAGGCGCCTCATCCCCCCCCTCCTCAGCGTCAACTTATAACCCTCACTACCTTTAAGACAGAACCCTCACGTCACGCGATCTCCGTAACGCTATTAAGACATGGAAGTAAAAAGGACGTCATGATGAACAAGGGATTATAACCTTTAAATGAATCAAGTCTGTGTCACCGCAGCCTTACACATTGCACGTGAATGGATGCAATGAATATCACGTCGCGGTCTCCTTTTTGCTTGCAAGTTTCAGATTTACTGCAATACACCTGTTCTTGGACGGGCAAAAGGCTAGTTTAGAATATTTGGCGACTATAAATTTCACGGCAATAACCCACTTTATTGAGCTTTCATTTGTGGCCAGGCCGCTTCTGGGAAATAAGTTAATACCTCCAATGGGCTTTGCCTGCTTGGATGGTTTAGTTTTATTTGTACGTGTTTGAGTGATTTGTTTACATTTCCTGTACTTGGCACTCCTATCGTGTCTTTGTTGTTGTAACGTTCTTACCCCGTGGCCCCTACTGGGTATCTGTGAAAAAAGAGCTGTATAGCTCATCGGATTTCTCCTCGGCAGTATAATATCAATATGCTGATTCTGAAGTGAAATGGGGTTTTTTTTCTCATTTGGTTGATTTCAGAGTATGGATATGAAATCTGGGTGCAGTGCAGCAACCAAGTTTGCAGCAAATGGAGACGTCTCAATAATGCCCCGGATACCTCGGTGCTCGTTGACGTGTGGACGTGTGACATGAACAAGGGTATCGACGAGTCGAACTCACACCGCCCCCCCCCCCCTTTTATAATCTACAGAGCATTTAGTTCTACGTACGGCCGCAATACGTTTCAAACCGAATCTTACGTATTTATTTTGGTTCACCACATCACTGTACTCGAGATATTTCATGTTAATTAAATGAAACCCATTGCAATGCTTCTCAGAACAACAGGCGTTTCCATAGTTCTAGGAAATGTGCTTTACAGAAATGTACAAATATGCCACACCAGCTTGCACAAGTACACGCATTTTCGGCTGTGTTTGTGGTATTTTCCTTTAATTTTGCATATGTTTAATTGAATCTATTTCCCCCTCTATCCCCTAGATACAATGTACAACTCATGCAGCATCGCAGAGGAGGAATGTTGCTATGAGAGTAATGCGGAGACAGACTTTCAACCTGGTTTCCTCGTCTGGGCAAAGCAGTTTGGTTACCCTTGGTGTGTCACTGTATGAAATTAACACGTCTAGGTAGATTTTTAACTTAAAACTTTCGTGACTGCAGGAATTCATATTCTTTGGTTATTTCGGTAAAGTCACTTAGATAAAAAAAAAGTGAATAAAAATACAAATTTAAGAAAAATAATAAAAAAACAAAAAAACACTAATGTAGACTGTAGCCTGGTTCTCACGACGTTTCGGCCACAAGACGTCGAGAGAATGATTTAATGTTTTATTTTTATTATTTTATTATTTCCCTTCTACGTGACTTTACCGAAAGAACCAAGAAGATGAATCCCTGCAGTCACGAAAGCTTTAAATCGAAATGTAGCCTGGTTCTTAACCTCGGTGAACGTACTGGCAGTCTATAATGTAAACTGTAGCCTTTTTTTATTCACTTTAGTTTTTATTATTTTTCTATCTACGTGACTTTACCGTAAGAACCAAAGAATACGTCTGGGTAGACTGAATGTTTGAGAACATGAAGCGTGGTTCATGTTTGAGAACATGAAGCGTGGTTCATGTTTGAGAACATGAAGTGTGGTTCATGTGTATCGAATGAGATGATTCATGACTATCATGTTCCAGACATTGCTGTAACATACAAATTGGCAACATACACATGTAGTGAGTCCAACTGAGTCACAGACGTTGTCTTGGGAGCAACACTTATTTATTCAGTAACTCAACGTAACATAACACAACCTACACTTGGATGTTGAATGCCCATCTAGCCATGCTACGGCAGAACTAGACACGGTTCGCTATCACGGCCCGGACCACATGCTGGGTCCCGGACCGCATGCTGGGTCCCTGACCGCGTGGCTAGAGGCTTCTTAACCAGACGTTGATCTTCATCACCAGCAACACGAAGAACCCTGAGCCCCTCACGGGGCCCCCGTTATATCCCCCTGGACTGGGGCTGGCTCCGCCCCTCGCCCCGTCCACCTTCTAGAACTCTCGAGCTCTTTCCCGAAGGCTCCCGAGAGCTCTTTTATACCACGTGACCGCCCAGCGGCCCCCGTCCACCGGTGGCCCCCCTCCAATATCATCCGGTCACGTGTCGGCAGGTCAACCAGCGTATCATGCCCCAACGTAACCCTGGCTGGTTGACACTCCCTCTCGCTCCCTCACCGGGAGCCTGCACCGCACACTGTATGTGGTGCCTCCGCGCTGACCAGCGCTCACCCAAGCCCCGCTAGGGCTGGTACTACGCCCAGCAAGCGGGCTACACATAATGCCAACACATTATCCGCCGTGGCTTCATAAGCCCTGCACCACACAGTGACATACAGTCACTACACACACATTTAACATTTTAATGCAACAACACTGTCTTCACAATTAAAGACTTGTGTTTATTATTTAATTTGTAAATCTGCAGGAACAATTTTTACCACTTACTATTGAAAACAATAATCAGAATTAACGTCTGATCTTCCCACTACAGGATATGTACAGACCTTTTTCTCAATACACTAGTGGATGAGGGCCTCCTCACCATGGGGGTCATTTTACCATACTTCACCATGTTGGTCAGTACAGGTTGGTGAAGGCAGGGAGCATAGGCTACGGGGCATGGTACAGTACAATCATTCATTTGTCTGATAATGTAGCTCCACATTAGCCGATGACACCGATTTGTATGTATCATGGTTGCCCATCCAAGCACTATCCAGGCTCAACTCTGGTGGGTTCTAAATAGATCAGACACATTCAAGATATTGGTTAAAAGCACTGCTGTGCATATAGCGCTCAAAGTAATACTTGTTTTGAAGATTGGCCTTTAAGGTGGAATAATTTCTATAGTAGCAATAACACAGTATGTATTGTATTTTAATATCAATGGATAACATTTTTTTATTTAAAACTAAATTTGCATTTAGGTTGTAGGCACGACTAGTGAAATATGACCTCTGTGTAAAATGTTCGTTACGTATGTTTAAAATACCGAATGTTGTAAATGCAGTGTGACAACTAAAACTTAATCAATTGTTTTAAGGTGGCCGGGTATGGTAGAAAATGATCCAGAGACGGAAAAGTATTTTCTTGCCTCCAAGAAAAAGGGTGTGGTAGGTGATATCACAATTTTGATTTGAATACCTGCTTAATGTATTTTTCATTTACTCTTTTTTAATTATTTTTGGATTACATTCACAATGGATAGCTATAAAATGTCAATATATTTAATGTGCAATATTTAGTAAATTGGTGTCAGCTTTCAAATAACATGGCCAAGCGGGAGCGCATTTGCCACTTGTTGCAGAGGTTGGTGATTCGAGCCCTGTGGCTGCCCTAGTTAATACACGTGTTGATGTCACGTTCGAAATTTGAAATCAGTAGAATGCCTTATTTGGATAACATAGCAATGTCACCTGCTCCTGACAAACTATACTCAAAATGGGACCTGTGTTGCCAGTATCAAAATATGAATAAATAATAGGTTTTACCCTTTTTCTACGTAATAAAACAGGTGTTAAGATGTTCAAACACCAAATAGAAACATTTTGAAAGCAATCAAGTCTGCATTAACCACATGTACTTGTGGTGAACATGCAAACAAAGATGCAAACATCTTTTCACCTGTTTTGTTGCCAGAAAGGGTAAAACCTATAATTGTTTTCAAAATTTACACATTCGTGAAACAGCGCCTTTTTGATAGCCATGCGCAATAATAATGGTATGAATATAAAATGTACTGATATGAGTTGATTTAACAATACAAATCTAACATCAAGTGAAGCCTGTGCCTTGTCAAGGTTGATATGGGGAAAATATGTTAAATGTTTTTTTTTGTGTATGTAAGGCTGCATTTTACACAATCCTATTTTTTTTACAAAAATCAGAGGCAGATATTTGATTCTTGATGATGTTAGGAATGTTTTATAACGTTAACATGTGGTTAATCTAATAGGTTGTCTTTTCTGACCATATTGTTATGTGTGGTTATTCAAAAATAATTATTTTGTAAAAATGAAGTCACTGCACTTGATGGATTTCTTATTTTCTCAATTACAAATTTAAACCTATTACACTTATACAATTGTAAATATTGTGCATTCGAATAATTTACTAATTCCATATTTACTGGACAATGTGTGCAGATGAAATACCACGTGACATTTTTCGACAACGTAAGTTCTCGATCATGGATCCCCACCTGCTTCATCAAAACATTTGAAAGCTCCATGGAGAATATGTTTTCCACGAAGGTTGGTGACATACAAGCATGAAATGTATTGTTTTTAATACATATTCACATTTGAGAGAGTACGTGCCTGTGCTCCGATTTTCTAACAACTTTCACATATCGATGTACATACTGTATGTGGCGACATGACCTTACATGTTATTTCCAGGGTCAAAATGGTCGAGATTTCACAAAAAGGATTGCTGATGCTGTACGGAAAGCAAACTGCGCCACGAAGATGAGTATACAGGTGAGGTTCCCTTTGTTTTTGTTACGGCTTCATTACATATACACTATTATTAATAAGTATAACTCATTAGCTTATGCTGTTGTTATTCCCAGAAACGCCTGGATGAGTTTGGATTTTCAGAAACGTATAACCAAGATGCAGAAATGGAATACAAAGATACCAATAGCTCCCAAGGTACTCAACTATGGTTCAAGTATCTTGTAGAGTATTGTGAATCATCCATTGCAGCTGAATGAAGGGTAAACATGTCTAGTGGGTTCTATGGAGGCACACGCTTGAACTTGGAGGCAACACGTTTATTACACAACCCAAACAGGGTAACTACATAATGTAACAACGGTTAACTATACCACGACGAGGTAACTACAGAACTGGGTCAGTCAGCCAACACACTGCCTGACCCACGATGCCGAACGTGATGACCGAGGATCGAAGAGACGTAGCATTCCAGCAGACAGCAGTGATTGCTCTCGGGACCTCCCTTTTATGCTCCCGAGCGTGGCCTCGCTCCGCCTTCGGCCACACCCCCTTCTGGATCTCACCAGAAAGTTCTCGACCGAGCTCCACGTGTCCAAGCCACCCTTTGGGCTCCCTCGCTACCCTGTCCCGGTCACGTGCCCTCTCGGGTTCACCCAGACTGTCACGTCCTTACTTGCCCTCTCTCTGACCGTCACCAGAACCATGCCCCCTAGGGCCTGCTTCCATGCCATACCTACTCTGTTCTAGATTTGAAGCTTTCGTGACTGCAAGGATTCATATTTTTAGTTTTTTCGGTAAAGTCACATACTCACATACGTGACTTTACCAAAAAAACTAAGAGTATACCTACTCTGGTGCCAGAGGCTCAAGATGCACAGTTCCACTCTTGTGACAGTAGCTGGCGCTAAACGGCATAGTGACTCCATTTACGTCACTACACATGTAATAATTCAGCCACTTGCAGTTTGATGAATTTTCACAATGTGGGGTTGCAATTCAATTCCATAATCAATTTTGCCATTCCTGTATTGGAATAAATGCAATAGTTTTTGCATGGTAATGAAGAAAGAGTACTTTTCTGAAAACGAAAGTAGATAAATAAACAGTTTTATCTGAGGTAAACTTGAGTAGACTAAAACACTTATGTTTTGACTTTTCTGGAACAAACCGAAATCAACTGGTGTATGAAGTTACTGTATCAATGTTTTAAATTTACTTAGACTCTGAAGGTGAACTTTCACGTAAAAGGAAGACATCAAAGGAGCTCAATCAGAAGGCCAAACGGGGAAAGGTAAAATGTTTAGTTTTTAAAATTTTGTATTAAATGATGTATGAAATATATTAGGGGCCGTCCATAAATGATGTCACACAATTTTGGCCGATTTTTTACCCCCCTCTCGTCACACGCGTCACAAAAAGTCAGGCCCCTCTCAAATATGACGTCACAAAGCTCTGCCCCCAAAACCATATTTCCATTTTGAAAATAAAACATGCTTCAAATCACTTTAAACTATTGTCATTGTATTGCGTATTTATTGTGGCGCTGCACTCTGATGTTGTCGGAGGAAACACGTATTAAAAAGGAGGCATTGGAAAGCTGAAATTTAAGTAAAACTGCAGATGTTTAAGTAAAACTGCAGATGTTCAGAATATTATAATTAAATTCTCTTAGAATTATAAAATATTAAAAGTAATTATAACTATAAAAAAAATACTTTAAACTTTGTAGTAGAACGAAGCAAAATGGAGAGTACAATTATAACAATCATATATTCATTCCACAATGAAAAGCCCTGGTAGAATAATTAGAATCAAAATGTTTAATAATTATTCAAAAAAAATACAAAATGCATGCTTCTCCATTCTCCCATGGAGAAGAAAAATGCTCCTTCATGGAATAAATAACAGGGGACCTTAGTAAATTTAAATAATAAAATCGTTAATAATGAAAATTAATACAAATTTGTGTTAAAACATTGTATTTAATTAATATTTATTTAAAGTTGCGCATTTTGATGTGACATCACATTTCTCAACCCCCTCCCCCCCTCGTCACACATCGCCACAAATATCTGACCCCCCTCCCCCCCTCGGTGCGTGACGTCATTTATGGATGGCCCCTTATATAGATAATGGAATTGTATTTAAAGGAATACAGAGCTGACTGTAAATGTTACTTTTAATTGATAGATTCAGTTTTGGTACACTGTAAATCACCAGTTGATTTGTAGGTCTGCGATTTTTGATCATGAGAAAACTATTTGACGTAAGATTAAACAATGTTCCTTTAATACAGAAAACAGATAAGGAGAGCACTGAGGAGAAAGAGCCTTGTAAGCCACCACCACGCAAGCGTAAGTGTACTGTAGCCTAGGCACACGGGCGTTCATCACATTTCCCCTAACAACTTCCGACGATGTTTTTTTAAGCTCTTCCCAGCAGACCCATGATTATTCGTATTTAAGAAATGATGAAAAAAAGTGAAAATTACTAAATAATGCAATGACATTTGGAAAATAAATTAAATATACGCAATACAAATCTATTCAAATAAAGCAGCATCATTTTATGCTTTTGTAAGGAATCAAGTCTGCACTTTGTCATACATTTGAAAGTAATTCTATTGGGTTGCATTAATCTTCCACAGGAAAGAAGGCAGTTAGATAAATCAAATAAAGATGACATACAAAACAAACAGCAGGCTAAACCTACATACATGAAAGAGGAATCTGCTGAAGAGAATTATAATAGAGGCCAGGAGACTTCAAATGCAGATATGAAACATGTTGAGGATGAAAAGGATACAAGTAATATTCTTCAATGCACCACCAGTAAAAATATAAGCCCCATAAACAGGGAAATTATCTTTGATAAGAAAGCAGAGAAAATAAAGAAAACAGCTAAAGGCAAGTGTTTTACTCAACAAAAAATTGCAAGTTAAAATATATAGTTTATTAATTAAATGTTATATCTTGTTTTAACTGTTCGGTATTTCTGTTGAAATTCGAGAATATATTTTTTTTATCCACGTTTTACATGTCTATTGTGGTCATAGTAATCTCACTATATATGAAGATATCCATTTTATAATTGTAATTTAATCAATTTAAATCCGTTATTATGCACACAAACAGTATTTAACGGTATGCATAACAGGTTATGAACATCAACTAATTTGATATTTAACAACACAAAGGTTTGCTCGCAAACAGCAGGATGGCACAACCTCGATTATGCCTTTTACGTATGTCATGTGACCACCACATTGCATGCATAATGCTCTCAGCTTTGTGGAAGCAATGCTCGATAACGATTTGGCCATGCTGCCCAACAGGCAGCAGGGAAACAGACGACTATAGACTGGCTTCGCACTCATTAGGACTTATCAGTAATCAATATTCATTGCTGCTTTGTCTTTGGAGCCCAAATATGGATAGACCACTAATAGTACTTGCCTGCCTCCTGTTGTGATGGCTTTATTATAATTAACAAAGGTGCTGGAATAAAAAATATACTTTTGTAGTCTGTACGTGCTTAAGGCTCGCTGTTGTGCAATGTTTCACAGATGTACTTTACTACCATACAAAACGTGACATTCAGTTGTAAAAACTAGTGAAATATTACTAGTAATTGGTGAATCAATATTTATTCCCAGATGAAAAAGATGAACCTATTACATCTCGGTATAATGCTGCCAAAACACCAAGCCATGATGAGAGTAGCAATGACATCCATAAAGATACTGATTTCAACAATACAAATAAAATGAAATTCATTGTTGTCAAAGCAATAGATGAACCTTCTGAAATGAATACAGATGCTCCTATATGTATAAAAAACAAACTTAGCAGATCAGCTAAACACAATATAACTGACATTGCGAATAAGGCTAAATCAGTTTTTGCCAAGGAAAGTGGAAATGTTAAAAACGTCAAAGCCATGGAAAGAAAACAGATGAATTGTAAGTTGTAACAATTACAATCGTTCTTGATAACAAGTGTTTCTTACACATGATTTACAACAACACATAGTTCATCATTGCATAATTGTGTTCTGAGTTTGCAGGAGGCCAGACATCAGACATTTTTGCCAGATTTTGTGATTTAAAGTCACGTCTATTTTTGTGTAAATGTTCAATTTTGGAAAGTATTTGCATATTTCAGCTTTTAAACCAGACCTGAATGGGTTATTGCTAATTAATCATCCTGACATTTTGACGTGGTTGTGCTGACGTGAAAACAAGTTACAGTATTATGTTCCATACAATGTTGAGCGTGAATGTATACAATACTCAGTACAGTAGAAGCTGGACAGTCTTTGGAAGCATGTCTATGTTTGTTTTATACCAACGTGGCCTGTATCAAAAATTGACCATTGCCTTCCCCCCCAGAACTATGCTTATACACAATAAGGTATACTTACATACAGTTTCCACTGTATAGCATTGTATTCAAATGTAGTCTACCGTACATTTTCTTTCACAGTAAATAAATAACATTGTTTTTAAACCAGGTGACACATTCAAGAAGAAAGGCGTTCCTGCAGATTTGGAAAAAGGAAACAAAGAAAAGACCTTTGGGGAAAAAATAACCACACTTCAATTTCCCAGCGCAAAAGCAACGTCTGTTGATGTAAAGTTTGTGATGTCTAAACTGGAAAATGAGGCACCAGATGGAGTGGACATTGCAATGAACAGTGAGTCTTATAAATAACTATTTAGAATGATGAGTATATATTAAACAATAAACATGTCATAAAAAATGATTTTGTTATTTCATACCTGTCAACCCATACGGTTTACCGTGTTCTTATACAGGGAAATTGAGTTTTCAGGTCTATACGGTATACAGCCGTTTCAATACGAGCAAAAAAAGTGTCTTTGTGTTTCTCCCTTGTGAGTTAACTTTGTAGGATGACCGTTGAGATTTATAAGGGCACGGGGGTGACCAATACGGTCTGAATTGGTCTATAATAAGGTAAGCACTGATAAGGGGTTGACAGGTATGGAATCTATCTTAATTTTAGCACTTGCAGCATCACGTTTGTTGTCCACTCATTGATATGCTAATTTCTTCTCTAACCCCCTCCCTCTCTCTGCCTCCGCCCCCCTCTGTCTATTTAAGGCCACCCCACAGAGACGATCACCCCTCTCTGTTACCTGTGTTGCTCTCTCTATGTATCTTGGTGATATCTGTCTGCTAATATGTCTGTCTATAGTTTTCTGGTTAGATTTTATGTCGCTATTTCATTATACCTGATGATGATTGCTTGTGTTGCAATCGAAACGTCGTAATATGCTATTATTTAATTTATTATTTTATCTTTAGACGTGACTTAACCGAAAGAACCAAATAATAGGTATGGAATCTATTCGTCTTGGCCTACAGTTATAATTCCTGTAAACACTGGTTCTATCCATAACCTTTAAAAAAAAAAGCCCTCCACAGATTATGCATAAAGACTAGAAATTATTATAATTTCAGTTATTTTTCTTTTAATCTGTGTCATGGGCTCAGATAGGCGCACACAACTTCTTGGGAAGCAACACTTTATTAACACCAACACGTTACACTTAACATAGGGTGGTAACCACCGACCTGTCCTGACACACACCATCACTCGCTAACATGGACTCTCGGATACACGAGCGTGACCCAGCCAGGTGGGCTACTGGCGGGTCCGCTGACTGGAGGCTTGACTCTTCTTAGGATGCATCTTCACGATGCATCTTATTTCTTGACACGGGCAGCCTCGAGTCCCGTGAGGAGGCCACTTATATCGGCCTCGGCGTGTCCGGGACCCACGCCGGTCACGCCTTCCTTCCAGAACCCTCTCGAAGCTGTCCGGCTGTCCACGTGGCCTCCCAAGGTGCCCCCGGCCCCCACCTTTATCCGGTCACGTGTCCAGCCGGGTTCATTCAGTGCCACGGCCTTACACAACCTCCGTGGCCTCACCCACGGCCAGAGGTCGCAAACGGGTTTTGATTCCTTACCCGTACCCGGCCGCACCAGGGTCGCAAATGGGTACCCGCACCCGGGTAGCCGGGTATCGGGTAGGGTACGGGTATCGGGTACCCGATTGCGACCTCTGCCCATGGCCTCCAGATCACTCAACCGACCCTGACGTCATTTCCACCTCCAGACGGGATGACGTCATGTGTGTGTATTTAGACCCGCGGGGTAGTGACGCTCTCCCCGCATAGTGACGCCACACGTGTGTGTATGTTGCCATTAGTGACACTGCAAGTCACAACATTTGTATACTGAGCATACTCTAACATTGTTTCTGTTGGATATTGAATGGTACAAGCATTATAGATGTTACACGTTCAACTATTAAAATTGCTTATGCTCATGATGTGATGGGTTTATTGAAACTTGCAAGTTATAATTATGTCTAATGCTGTAAATGTAATATATGTATACCGCTATGAATTATTTATATTCATACAATTATATATGTTAAATGTACCACCAGAGATGAATTGCGAAGCAGAATTGATTCATGATTGAACCACACCTGTGACAGTTCGTAGAAGCATAAACAGGCGAATTCATATATGCCTACTAAGCAGTTTGGTTTATTTTGGCACAGGTAAAAACCCATTGAGCAATGAATGCCCATTTTCGATGGGTACCTGGTCACGCAATTATACCTAAACAATTGTATTCAATGAACATGAACAATTGCATTCTGTTGTACTGTATTCTCTTACATAAAGTATTTTTCATTTTGGAATTTGCACATTATTTTCCTGTTAGGTAACAAAACTGAAAACACAACATCTGCACAGATGACAAAACCAAGACAAAATAGAAAATTTCAAATTCCTGTTTCGAAGCCAAAGAACAACAGCAACAATGAAAACAATTCAATCAAAGCTAGAAACAGCAAGCATGATGAGGAAACTACCAACCTTGTAAAAAAGGACATACTTGATGTTTTAATGCCACAGTTAGGCAAACAAGTCGAAGGGAATGACAGCTCCAATCAGTCCACTGTACAGAGTGGAGAGGTGGTTAATATAAATGATTACACCAACGCTTTAGAAAGTAATTCAAGTGAAAATGAATATGTCAACTATATTGACTTGGCTTCTGTCACTAATATTGTAGAAAAGTCCAATTATGGGGGTATGGTTGTGACCAATGAGAAAAATAAGACGTTCAGCAGAAACAGCAATACGATGCAAAGAAAATCTGCATGTGTGACAGAACTCCATCAAGCTGAATTGTGGAAAGGGCCTTATGAGAACGTGGAAAAAGTTCCAATCGGAGACGAAGTGGAAGAACGTGCCTGGAACAAGAAAGAGTCAATGGACAATGCAGATAGTTCTGACTTTGAGTTTAATATAGACGATTCTGACATTTAACAATAAACATGATGAGATAGAAGCATAACGTTCCCCATCATTTATATTTAAAGAATGACCAATATACTGGGGGTTTTCAACATTTTAAAAAGTTACAAATGTACATACCTAAATGTATTAAAATAAGAGCTACATTGATATAATTATTTTAAAAGTTAGTTTTAAGTAGTTTAATGTTCATTCGGGGTTTGCCCTCGAGATGTTTAGAATAACATCTAAATAGTTAATCCGACTTGCATTTGTACAGCCACTGTTTAAGGCTGTTTGGAAACCTGCATTATATTACAATTTGAATATTCCGTGACTGCAGGAATTAGGTAAAGTCACGTAGCTCGGTTCCAAAGACCCAAAGAATATTACAATTTTAATCACATATATTTGGACGCTGTGTTGTACATGTTACAATGGTTGAAACAAATTATAAAATGTTTGCCTCGTTAAACATGGTACATTGTTATATGCAGTGATACATTGACAATTATATTTCTCATGTTAGATGAAGTAAAAAATATACTAAAATAGTTATGTCTGCAATGAACTACATTTTTCGTTACACATTTATGTTGAACCCTGAGTTCGAAATGAAAATATTAAAAGCCATGCTTATATGCAACATTTATACTTCGTCGTGTGATTTTGCACGTGTGCATATTACTGAGAACTACACAAGATGGCTTTTCCAAATGTACCTAAGCTTCATTAAGCACTATGTACTGTAATGGGTTTCAAATCAATTTCACAATTCTCGTCAGATTTTTACAAATATTTTCGTGTCTCGTATATATTTTATATCTAATCTCAATGAACATTCGTTTATAAGGTTCCTCTTATTACACCCATCGGAAAGGCAAGTGCTGTACTCGACAGTATTTCCACAAAGGACAATTCGATCCACGTATAACGCGAACGTGGTAATCGATTAGGAATCGAATCGTTACACGCCCACTGCCGTTGCAGGTAAGGGGCATGAGGATCAATTTGCCGCGTCTCTCTTTATCGTCGGAACCGGGTGAACGATGGGACGCAAGAAAGGTGAGCAAAAAGAAAACACTTGTGATGTAATTATTAATAATGCAGTATTAGTTTGTTTTTATTGTTTGCTGACTCGGCCTGGCTGGCAGGCCGACAGGCTTTGCGACTACAACACGTGGTCACCACGAGGGCCGCAGGATGGGACCACGCGTTTCCCCCCCTTGTTTTTGCGAAATCACTTTTGTAACTTCGGAAGAACAACAACCACGGGCATTTAAGGGTGTATCTTGTAAACGGGGTGAGTTGTTTGATTTGTGTTTTTGATGGGTTGTATTTTATTGAGTAAACTTCGTTTCCCCGTGTCTGCGGCCTTCAACACAGAGTGATACCGGCGTTTCCTAGATTCCACCAGCCTCATGCCCTGGGACGATTGGCTGGGGACGATGGGCCACGTGGCAATATTCATGGTTAAGTGAAGCTCCCTGTGCATACGGTGATATCCAGAGCCAGTCATGGAAATACCATATGCACATGGCAGGGGTCCTCTGTTAGGACAATCAATTCAATGTCTTCTGCATTCAATCGTTGGAAATAATGCCACGTTCAGTCCACTGCTGGATGAAGGCGTTGCCATCTCAGGGTCCTGTGGAACCAACGAGTCCACCGAGCAAGTGGTGGGTGGACTTGTTGGACATTTGTGGAGGAGGGTGGGGGGGGGCGGGAGAGCTTTACGGCTCATCGGATTTCCTCCAGCGTGAATACATATTCTGATTGTGAAGTGTGATCGGTCTGGTCGACTTAATCGCTGCGCCACCGCTCACGCAAGTCGACGTTTCTCCTCCAGCAGGGAACAAGAGGCCACCGCAGCAGATGAGCACGAGGGAGCGGCTGCAGTATAAGGTGAAACAGAAGGGCAGGGAGAGAGACGAGAGCAGCAAGTACACGGCGGAGCAGCTGCTGGAAAAGGTGCGGATTTACAAGAGTTGTGGGATAAGTTTGGCCGGAATGGCCAATTCATAATCAACGTTTTTGGGTTAGATCACGTTATTTATAAATGTGTCGTAACCCTCCACCACCCGACACTGGCCAATCAGCAAAAAAGTGTCACGTTGACAAAATACAAATAGTTCACTGCTTTAGCCCACAGGTGTGTTGAATCGTGAAACCACAACATTTACAATTTTTGAGTACGACGTTTCGCTGCTAATTGCATCCAGCATCATCGGGCAATTCGCCAGAATGGTGAGACTCTGCTCGCCAACTTGCCATGAGCGCTCACTTCGAATTGGATTTGTGTTTTGTTAAACTTCTTTCGCACCGTACGTGGCCAACCCGCAGATCGGAGGTGCGGTGGAAGGAACACACAAAACACAGCATTGTTATAAATAAATTAGTTTTCAGTCTGGATTTAGAAAAGCTCCTGTTGCTTCCTAACACATCAGAAGGAGAAGAACGTTCCAGACGGCCGCAGCAGCGCATTTGATAGCACGCGATGCAGTTCGATGGCTAGCCAAAGACAGAAAGGGACGTACGTGTCCATTAGAGTCGGACTTGTATCTTGTCCGTGGTAATTGAATGCACGGCCGAATGCTGTTCAGGCCTGCTGTGGCCTGGACATCCAGACACCGTGCCAGAATATCGTTCTACCACCCCCTGAGTCAGTCACTACGGGTGGAGTTTGCTCATAGCCTCACCTGCTGTTGGCACAGTGCTGGGACAAAACATCTTCACTGGCGACATAGATAATTTGTATTTATGCTGAACTTATTTCGCACCGTGCGTAGCCAACCGTGCTAATTGGAGGTGGCTAAAATTCTGTGAAAGAATATTTTTTGACCCCAGAATAAATTTGTTGATTGATTGGGTGGATTTGCTTATGCAAATATTAGCTTGGAAGTGATTATGCCCTTACAATGAAACCTAATTGTAAGGAAGATCCAATGTTTGAAATTTGTGTGAGAGAAAAAATATCGTATTTTTTTTTATCACTAACATGTTTTTCATTAATCTGTCAAACGCATTAAATCTTGCCAAGTAAAACGTATTAGAGTTGGAGCAGTGGTTAACGTATTACGTAATGAACCTGGCCACCTCCAGTTAGATACCTGGCCAAGGATAATGCCAGTGGTGCATAATACTTTAACTAGTCGTGGACACCCCCTACATCATCCCACACTGAACAACTTTGTGCAGTATGCTTACACAAAACTCCACAACCGACGGGGTGTTGAGAGGCCAACGTCCAACAGTGGATTAGCCAGTGGGCTGTAAATGATAATATAAAAAAGAACAGGCGGACCTTTCTTACATTTAAACACATTACAATATCTCTTGAGACATGTGCCAAGCCACCTCTAAAAAATCTACACGTAAACCTGTAGGCACACATCCTTTGTCATCGCCCTGCTGTTGTAGCCTTTGGCGTGCGTGTGCTGGCTGCGCCGGTCCGGCTGTGTGCAGTACAGGCGGGCGAGTGTGCCGACAGCTGCAATGTGGAGCTGGCCGCCATGTTCTGCCAACGAGCGCTGGAGATGGAGCCCGACCATTTGCAGGGGCTGGACATGGCAGGCAGCCTCCAGGCCGAGCTAGGCAACGTGGACAAGGCGCAACGCATATCCTCTCACCTCGCCGCCCACACTTGTGTAACCAGGGTCTATTTCTTTTTCCCCGAATATTTTTCGAGTCAATTGGTGCCCTGGAGTAGGTGGCACGTGACTACTCGATTTTAAGAAACATTTCCATTGATTCAGCTGCCATGCCAAGAATCTGAACCGGTAACCTCTGGATTACAATTCCATTGTGCTAATAAATATTACTTTCCGGCAGCATCATATGAATCGTAATTATTACCAAGTGGTGGAGTAGTAGGCAGGGGCCATCCGTGGGGGATCTTGAAGACGGTTGAGTGCAACGGTGTCTTCCTTGACTGCGTGGTCCACTGCCTCCTGCGTGCCGTGGAGTTGAGTCCTGACGAGGGCCACGCCAAGTACATGTACCTGGGCCAGCTGAGCGCCGGCGCAGATGCCTGTCGCCTTCTTCAGCAAGGGTGTGGAGATCATGGCACGCGCGCTGCAGGCGCAGCCCGCACAGGCTGCTGTAAGTTTCTATATAAGAACCAAACCCTCATATATATGGGAACTTGAATTTCATCAAAATAAGATGAATACGTGTCCACCGATTACCCTGTGAACATTTCAATCCTATAACTGCTGTTTGCATGGCCGAATGCTGCGCAGGTCTGTGGTGGCCTGGGCATCCAGACACCATGCCAGAGTAACATCTCACCCACGCCAGTGTGCGATTCCTGTGTGCTGGGCGTGACCCAGCCCAGCACCTGTCTGCACATACAGTGGGACACGCTCCTTCCTCTAGGAGCAGTGATGGGCAACCCATACGAGTTGGTGGGCCACTCGTGCGGCCCTCCTGCACCTCAGTGGGCCGCAAGTGTGACATCGTGCTTGTGCACTAATCATGATCCCACACACCACCCTGGACACACTTAGACCAGGCCACCACAAGGGGCTTCACGGCCGCATGAGGCCTGCGGGCCCTAGGTTACCCACCACCAGAGGTCGCAATCGGGTACCCGATACCTGTACCCTACCCAATACCCGGCTACCCGTACCCGGCCGGGTATGGGTTCCCGTTTGCGACCATGGTGCGGCCGGATACGGGTAGGCCGTGAGTCACTGGTGAGTAACCGTTTGTCACTCATTTCCCAACGCCTTGTCTCTTATAATTCAAGTTCCTAGAATCAACCCACCCGCGCCTGCAACATGGCTTCATCCCAGAGGTCGCAATCGGGTACCCGATACCCTGTTCCCTACCCGATACCCGGCTACCCGTACCCGTTTGTGACCCTGGTGCGGCTGGGTACGGGTAAGGAATCAAAACCCGTTTGCGACCTCTGCCCACCACTCATTCTAGAGGCTCCTGTGCATCGCGCACTTTTAAGAATAATTATTACGACTTAAAATATTTTGACATTTCGTGACTTAATTCTGAAGGACACTTTTGTGTAATATTAGACAAGCGATTACACCAAATGATCTGTGTGTATTATGTATGAGAACAGAGGTTTCCACATACCTCCTTCATGCCAATCCATACTTGTTTGTAATTATTCTTTGCTAATTTTGTTCTCTTTCACTTAGTTTTTTTCAAAATATCCATTAGCATCTCTCACAGAGCAGTGAAAAAACGCTCCATGTTAAAGAATCCCCCGTGAAGCAAATATCACAGAACTGCTTCTGAGGTCACCTGAAGTGATCTCTATTCCACACAGTTGGGGGACAGCACTTTCCCTCAAATAGCCACATTGAGTAATATTTGTCACCTGATAGCCAAACAAACATTCTCAAAACTGGAATATAGCCCAAGTAAGTGCAGAATCCAACATCTTGTTTTGGGGTTTTGTTTATGCATTCACTGGTGTCCAAACTGAAACAATGAGCTCGCTTGAGAACAGCGTGTGATCGCGGTTGGTTGCCAGGTTTTGAATTAAATCCTAGTGGTGCCAACTCTGCTATGAGCTGGCAGCACTTAGCCACCATGCCACTTCTACTTTTCCCTCTTGCTCATTTCCTGCCAACCCAGTTCCCTTGTGGTGCTGCATCCATTTAGTTTCCTGCTTTCATCCTCAAGCGGTCAGCTGCCTGTGCTCTTTCTGGCCTAAATTGTAAGAGGTACACGCACAACGCTTCATTTATGCCACTTCCACCACCGTCTGTCTGCTTCCAGGCTGCCAGCCCGGATTATGGAGCCGAGGTCACTCCCAGGGACGTGTCTGCTGCTTACTGCTCCATCGCTGAGATTTATCTCACAGACCTGTGGTGAGCCCTTGCATCGAAACTGCTACGGTGGCAAGATGTTAAGTACCTCGCCTGGTATACAGGAAGTTGTGGTTTCGATCCTGACCCTGACGCCTATATATTTGGAGTTTGAATGCTCTCACCGGGTCGTCCGGTTATTCCCGTCACATTTAGAATCAACTCGCGTTGAGAGTATTTGGCTGCTTCTGTAAAATTCCTCACTTACCCAGATCTCTTCTAAAAAAGAGCAATAGCTCAGTGGGCCTTACCCGATTAAATAAAATACATAGTTTAGTTTGCTATCCTAAGAGACGCACACCAAGCTGCAGAGCATGGCATCATGGATGCGCGTGCTGCGGAAAGGTCATGCATGTCTTTTCTGTAGATTGAAAATCGCCTCCTGATCAATGTTTTCTGTCGTATAAGGACTATTGCTGATATCAGAGCCTTTGAGTCGCCTTCAAAAGGTTGCGAGTTCAAATCGTGGTCGGGGAGTTTCCTTTTTTCCATGACGCAGACGAAATGTACCGATTTGCGGGAAGTTAACACATAGTTCTGGACATCCATGAGTAATAGCTCATCGGATTATTTCAGGATAAATAAAGATTCTGAATCTGTGTGCATACAAATGTAGTTTTCCTAACTTGCTCTGGGGAGATGAGCACCCCTCTACTGATTTGAGTTGGAAAACACCTTGAGTTTTATGTACAGTTCTGAAAGTATTTTTTAATTAATTATGCCGCCCTCATTCGTATATTAATTCCTGGCCACAGCCAACGTCTGTCGCCAGTGATACGTCAACTGGTCCTAGCCCCTTCACCAACCTCCATTGATCAGAATTGTCGATTTATGATTAGACAAACCGCATGACTATCAGTGGAGTACTGTAACTTAACACCTCACCGTAATGTATGAAGTCACCAAGCGAATACATGAACACAGTGTTTCATTTAGCTATTTTATGTAAACGCTTACTGTCACTAGAAACACAGGGTGTGGTCCTATGAATTGGCACATTAACAAATGCAACTAGTTCTGAACAATAATTAGGGAGAAATTGCACCTCATGCCAGCTTAACATTTAATCAAACTACATTTAAAGCCAAAATTGTACATGCTGTTCTGCCAGAGGACAAAAGGCCACCAACACATCAGTTGTGCGCAAAATTATTGGTTATAAATGTTCACACCCGTTTTGTTTAAAGTGTTGTGAGTAAAGGCGTTGTGGCTTGCTTACACGCGCTTACAGCATGGAGGAAGGGGAGTCTACGACAGGTTACGTAATTTCATATGGCCAGTGGCCACGTGCAGCCAGCAAACGAGATTTATCCATCACTGCAAGTATCTCGGCTGCACTAATCGGGTACTAGAGAGGAATATTTCCATCCAGGCAACACTCTGTTTCCAAGTCTAGCGTGGTGAGTCGCATCTATCGCTGCGAGGGCCCCCCTGTACACTGGGATATCACGCACGTTGTTTCCGCGTCATTATTAGAAAGCGTGAAGGTGTGCGTTAATTGTATTGTCCCGCAAAAGTTTTTGAAAGTGATTTTTGGCCCTGGGTAAGGAAAATGTTGTCCCCCCTCCACCTCTGCTGTGCAGCATGGAGGAGGGGTCGTCCGAACGGTGCAAGCAGACTCTGGGACAGGCCCTGGAGGCTGACTCCAGCAACCCCGAGGCCCTGCAGCTCATGGCCAGCTACCTCTTCAGCACCGAGCAGCCACAGGTTCGTGCTTGCCCCTCTGCCTTTACTGGGTAGATAAATCAAAGCTCTAAACTTTTTTTATTTTACCAGGTTAGGCCCACTTGCGCTGTTTAGGTCTTTTTTTCCATAAGCGACCAGGCCCACAAATGATAGCTCAACGAAGTGGCTTATGTGGAAAGTTATATTCTTTAATGCATGTTGCTTATACTTGTGAAGGGGAAAAACCGGAGGACCCAGAGAAAAATCCACACAACCACAGGAAGAACATGTTACCTTCAAATATACAAGCGTCAGGTTTGGGATCGAACCCACAACATCATGTAAACCAGGCGAGGTAGTTAACATCTCACCACCGTCATAATGATAATTATTTACGATAAATAATTATCATCATACCGTTCATAGGGCTTAATTTCTCACCAATTATTTTATCGCTGTGTCACCGCTCCAACCAATATAAGATCTGATGGGATGGGGACACGTAGGAGATTTGTTAGTTGGCTTGTTCTAATCAAACACTAACAAAACGTTCACCCTGTGATTGTTCACTTGATTAATCGCTGACACTGAGCGACGCTGCTTTCACCCCCTGCTGTGTTGCCCCTCGCATGACGCAGGAAGGGAAGGTTTACCTCCTGCAGTCTCTCTCTGCCTGGCTGCCCAGCCGGCAGCAAGGCCAAGAAGCAGAGAACCGGACAGAGGCACCAGACGATACCACGGAGATGCTGGTGAGTAGTTCTCTCCCAGTTTCAGGTCTACCAAACGCTGGTCTCCATGTCTCCCCCCACAGTCACTGTTGCACATTCACCAGGCTTGTTGTTTACATTTACCCATTTAAGTGACGGAGATAATATTTCACGCCAGGAATATTTTAGACTACATACTGGGGTAATGCAGGTATTTTAAAATCAAGGTTAACCCCCTTTGGTTGATTGGCCTCTAATTTGTTAAATTTTTGGTTCCCAATTAACTTGAATAATTTACTGGATGCTAATAGGTCTGTGATTCTTCAAGTCAGTTTTGTCTCCAAATATGAATCGAAGAATGACTGAGGCATGATTCCATAATTGAGGTATTTCATGTGTTTAATACCATGCACCAATAGTTTTTTTTACATGAAATCATCTTGTATGTATGTTCAACATCTTTCACATAGTACCGAACGTAGTCAAAACATTCTAATCGGAGGTGCGTATTATTTATTATTATGATTTTTGCATGGCCGAATGCTGCGCAGGTCTGCGGTGGCCTGGGCATCCAGACACCATGCCAGAGTAACATCTCACCCACACAAGTGTTGCACCTCCTGTGTGCTGGGCGTGACCCAACCCAGCACCTGTCTGCACACACAGTGGGACACGCCCCTTCCTGGAGAAGTTCCTGTCCATCGCACAATATTCAGACTCAACAAGTACAATTTTCTTAGCATTTTCGAAAGGACACTTCTCAAATTGTTGTCTAAAGCTTTCTACACATTGTAAAGCATTTTAAGTGTGAATTTATAACAATAAAACACGTTCATCCACCCTGACTCGTTATCAGCCATCATCAACCCACTGCTAAAGGCCTTCCCCAAGCCATCGCCAATACTCAATCCCGCAATGGAACGATCTACCTAACACCGACACACCCCGGCTGATTTCATTGCTCCGTCGCCGTGATTTACGTACTCTCGGGCTGCAGTCCCTGCTATGGCGCTGCCACTCCGTTGTTAGACTCAACCACCAGCCATCCCTTCAGGTGATGCGTTCTGTCCAAGGCTACTGTTCTTAACATTCACTAAGATGTCTCTGATCTGCCTCGTGTCTACGTACCTGATTGCACTGGTCACTTAATTTTGCTCCTGAGCACCCTTGCGATGTACTGCGATATATTGTCTTCTCTACCGATTCCATCTTTTTGTAGGCTCAAATCCCTCCCTATGAGAGCAGAATATCAACAGCGAAACTCCTCTCCGAGGTTGAAGAGTATGAGGTAAAGGAGTGATAGTCTTACCTTTCATCATGTATGAACTCTCGTTTATTGGCTCAAAATATCTTAATCTGTGCGCCTCCGTGTTTGCGGATTGTGAAGCGTGTGATACGGTTACATAAATGACTATAAAAACGTTATTTCATTACCTTATCCACAGTCACACCCACGGGAACTAATCATATTTGGTAACATGATTAGTTTGTATGTCCTGTGTCAATCCACTGCTGAATTAAGGGGCTCCTCAAGCAGTGTAGTTCGCTGTGGTTTTGACCATACTTCATCAAGCTGGCGAATGCGGATTGGTGAAGGCGGAGAGCCCGGGTATATATTTGGCAAATGCATTTAGCTGGTGTCCGCATCTTACGCTACGATGGATGATCGTTATCTCAGCACAGGCATATTATTCAGCGTAATAAAAAAGAGCTGCCGAAAAATAAACCCCTCTCCTTGCTCCCGTGCTCATCATCCTCTTAAGACCACGTGATCCATGACCAAACACAAATGTCATGTGACCCCCTATAGTTGGCGTCCGACGTGCTGGAGGGCTTGCTGGAGGAGGACGACGAGGTTGTGCAGGTTGGTGCTTGCGTCTCGTTCTTTGCCGCTCACAAGGGAACGTCTTATCATCTTGAGGCGGGGGCGGTGGGGGGGGATGTCGTGATCAATGCAACGTTCGATGATGCAGGCCAGTTTGCTCGACAGTTTAGTCTCGTTTGCAGTGGTGGAAATGGGCCGGAATGCCGTGATGGGAGTGAAAATTTTCACCCGGACTGCATTCCGGAAGGAATCCAGGATTCATCTTTTTTTTTATTTGACTCGCAGACATCGATGCTAACAGAGAGATTCACAGCCGCGTAGATACACACGAAGCAAAGCTCCCCTTCTTCCTCAGATCTGGTAGGGATGTGGGGAACTATTTGAGTTCCCCCAGTAATTTCCCATTTCCAGTCCTGCTCATCTAAGATACAAAGAAACTCATTATCCTTCAAACGATATGGATTATATATTCCAGAGTTGCCCAGATCAAAGCAGCATTGGGGTGGAACTCTTCATTGGCGGCACTGAACCAGTGGTGGTGATTCCACTTCATTATGGCAGGGATCGGTCTCACTGGAGGTTGATTTTTATTAACTTTCAACAAAGTTTTGCTCATTCTCTCTACCCTGAGGAGATGATTGCGCTGAGTTGATGCCCGACCCAGATTTTTACAAGTTTGACAACCTTGCAATTATAAGTCAAGTACTGTACTGGTAACCAGTGTCATCTGGCCATATATTAATATTCGTCCCTGTTGGTAATATCGTCATCATATATTAACAAGTTCTATGTTTCCGTAAGACCTCGGTGTCAAAACTATGAACGTAATTTGGTCAAAATAAATATACGAGGATCTGCATTATGAGGACGGGTGCTAGTTCCGTGTGTGGTTGCGGTATTTGACTGATTGTCGGCCCTGCACAGGTGTGGTACCTGCTGGGGTGGGTGAGCTACCTGCAGGCCAAGTGTGCGCCTCCAGATGAGGCCGCGGGACAACAGGACTCGGCCAGGACGTGTCTGCACAAGGCCAAGAAGGTAGCCACCCCACACGCCTTGGACACCGCGACTTGAGTGTGGCCGCAAACGTTTCTCTTGCCTAAAGTCCAGAGTACGCAAGGGAAATAAGTCCTTTAGAAGGATGTGGATGTTTTCATGACTATTTTTTCTTCAAAAACGATCAGCACACATTGTCAGGAAACTTTTTAGAGCGGTTTTTGGACTGTCACATGATCGATGATTCGGGCTTGGAGTCAATCCTGATTTGCCAAAGGTGGAATGTTTCCTGAGATTGGTTACCTAAATAAAAGGCCTGTCTACGCTGGGGAACATGTTGTCTTGTTTATAGAAACATTGAAGCCCAGAAAACTCGAGAAAAATATTTGACCTGGAATCTCGTGTCTCCCGTGTATTTTGGGATTTGACCTCTTTTCCACTCCCAACTGAGCCGTACTGGGGCCGTACTGAGGCAACATGGTGTTGCTTTTGGAGGTGACAGGTCGTTTTTCCACTGCAGAAGTTGAGCTGTGCCGAGTTGACGTCCTTGTCAAAACGTTTGGGGGTGTACCTGGCTGGTGCGATGTACGATGACAATTATTAACCCTGCCCCATGGCCTTGTTTGGCTGTCTTGTGGGGTCAGAGTTTTGACGGTTTGGTTCAAGGTTGACAGGCAAATAGCCATAAAAAAACACACCATGAGGAGGCCCCATACGTACTGGCGCATCTTGGATGTGCCGTTAAATGATGGTTATTTGTCAAACACCAGCTAGGTGATTTCACCCAGCAAGAGTAGCGAATCTGAACGTCACCGCATGCCCACCCTGTGCGCCCCCCACCCCATGCCATCCCCTTTTTGATTCTTCCTCTGCATCCGTTCAAAGCTTGCCGCCAAACTGGGGTGCGACGACGAGGCTATGATGGCCCACGTGGAGGAGCTCATGGCGGAGCTGGGGCCCGGCGACGGACCCCCAGACAGCGAGGACGATGACGCGGCGCCCATGGAGGACGGTGTCGATGATGATGAGGAACTGCTGCAGAGCAGCGATGATGAGGAGGAGGTGACCAAGGAAGATGAGCACATGGAACAGTGAACCTGGGGAGATGGAACATGGGGGCTTGGCTTGGCAGTCTGAGCGAACTTTCTGAAGTGGAAGAATTGTGTATCTGTTTGGCTCGCCTTTGGTATAAAGCAACTCTGATATATTTCATAAGAGGAGTGGTTTTCCAAGCCGTACCTCTGCTGTACCGTTTGTAAATATGAATGATCTGCACTGCATGAACAGGTGTTTGTACATGTTTAATGGTGATTGGCATCCATATGGAACATTTTTATAAGCTAGGTTCATTTTGATGCGTAATTATATGATCTTTGTTGATATGTTTTTAATTGTTATTTTTACTTATCTTATACTAGCGATAAGTACCCGGCGTTGTCTGCACTATTAAGCAGGAATTTCAAGAATAGTTTCTATGCATGTGTGCTTGTGGCATGGTCAAAAGAATTGGTTCCACCTGATGTTTTCATTTCGTTATGAAACAGAATGTTGCTGTTTATGAATTGTACAGCTTTGGGGCATCTGTGAAAAAAAGCTTCATCGCTCTTAGGATTCCTCCGGTATAAATAAATACTCTGAATTTGGGGACGTCGATGTAGTAGGAAGAAGAGGGGTAAGTGACGAGCACATTAGTAGCAGAGAACTGGTGGGGAGTGTAAGCGGATTTTGGTAGCTGGAGAGGAGCCAAGGCCCAGAGGGAAGATGTGAGGCGTGTAAGACGATTGGGGGAGATGGTCTCAAAAGTAAAACAAAGTAATACTGTTTCGGACTTTAATTTGCGTTCTTTATTTTGCTTAGGCGTGCAACTCCGTTAATGTTTAACGTCAAGATTATTGCCTCTCGTGCGGACATGACACCTGCAGCAGCTGTGTTGGATGACTCCTGTGCCGTGCACTATATCCGATTTCAATTTTCATTTTTCCTAAAGTGTTAGCTTTGTTTCAATAAAGTTTCAGTTGTATTTAAAATATTCAATTTTACTAGCTTTTTTACAGTTATAATGGCAGATGAGTGTGGACGGGGCCAAAATGTGTCCATGACCAACGTGGAGTTGTGCTCCAAGCTAAAGGAACACTTGGATTGGGGAAACACATCTGAGATCTCACTTTAATAAGAGTTGGTGTTGAGGAAGATGCATCACAATATAGCAGTGGTTTTTAACCTTTACTGAAGTCTTGCACTATTTCGGTTCTCAATTGTAAAAAGAATTATAATGTTAATACATAGGTTTGATTAAACAAAGGCAGTTGTACTTTTGTGCCCAAGCTGAATTTGTATTACGATGATTTACCTTCTAAAACATCTGGCTTGTCTCGCACCCCCATAAAGGGCATCTCGGACCCCTAGGAAGTGCGTGCTCTCCATGGTAAGAAGCACTGCAATATAGGATGATGGCTGATGGACGAGGCTGATGATGGAAGGGCAGCTAAAGAAGACAACCAGCCCATCCTGCGACTCTTACCCCCCAGCTCTGACCAGGCCCCAACCCCTATCACGACTTAACCATTCCCACCTGTTCTAACTGTCGCCATAACTACACCATTTTAATAACCCCCTCGCTTTATTTCAACCACTACAATTTTATAATGGTTGCAAAGCACTATTGGAATTAAGGTGCTACAGTGAGGGAAAAAAGTATTTGATCCCCTGCTGATTTTGTATGTTTGCCCACTGACAAAGAAATGATCAGTCCTATAATTTTAATGGTAGGTTTATTTGAACAATGAGAGAATAACAAAATCCAGAAAAACGCATGTCAAACATTTTATAAATTGATTTGCATTTTAATGAGGGAAATAAGTATTTGACCCCCTCTCAATCAGAAAGATTTCTGGCTCCCAGGTGTCTTTTATACAGGTAACGAGCTGAGATTAGGAGCACACTCTTAAAAGGAGTGCTCCTAATCTCAGCTTGTTTCCTGTATAAAAGACACCTGTTCACAGAAGCAATCAGATTCCAAACTCTCCACCATGGCCAAGACCAAAGAGCTCTCCAAGGATGTCAGGGACAAGATTGTAGACTTGCACAAGGCTGGAATGGGCTACAAGACCATCGCCAAGCAGCTTGGTGAGAAGGTGACAACAGTTGGTGTGATTATTCGCAAATGGAAGAAACACAAAATAACTATCAATCTCCCTCGGCCTGGGGCTCCATGCAAGATCTCACCTCGTGGAGTTGCAATGATCATGAGAACGGTGAGGAATCAGCCCAGAACTACACGAGAAGATCTTGTCAATGATCTCAAGTCAGCTGGGACCATAGTCACCAAGAAAACAGTTGGTAACACACTATGCCGTGAAGGACTGAAATCCTGCAGCGCCAGCAAGGTCGCCCTGCTCAAGAAAGCACATACATGCCCGTCTGAAGTTTGCCAATGAACATCTGAATGATTCAGAGGACAACTGGGTGAAAGTGTTGTGGTCAGATGAGACCAAAATGGAGCTCTTTGGCATCAACTCAACTTGCCGTGTTTGGAGGAGGAGGAATGCTGCCTATGACCGCAAGAACACCATCCCCACCGTCAAACATGGAGGTGGAAACATGCTTTGGCGGTGTTTTTCTGCCTAGGAGACAGGACATCTTCACCGCATCAAAGGGACGATGGACGGGGCCATGTACCGTCAAATCTTGGGTGAGAACCTTCCCTCAGCCAGGGCATTGAAAATGGGTCGTGGATGGGTATTCTAGCATGACAATGACCCAAAACACGGCCAAGGCAACAAAAGAGTGGCTCAAGAAGAAGCACATTAAGGTCCTGGAGTGGCCTAGCCAGTCTCCAGACCTTAATCCCATAGAAAATATGTGGAGGGAGCTGAAGGTTCGAGTTGCCAAACGTCAGCCTCGAAGCCTTAATGACTTGGAGAAGATCTGCAAAGAGGCGTGGGACAAAATCCCTCCTGAGATGTGTGCAAACCTGGTGGCCAACTACAAGAAACGTCTGACCTCTATGATTGCCATCAAGGGTTTTGCCACCAAGTACTAAGTCATGTTTTGCAGAGGGGTCAAATACTTGATTCCCTCATTAAAATGCAAATAAATGTATAAAATTTTTGACATGCGTTTTTCTGGATTTTGTTGTTGTTATTCTGTCTCTCACTGTTCAAATAAACCTACCATTAAAATTATAGACTGATCATTTCTTTGTCAGTGGGCAAACGTACAAAATCAGCAGGGGAACAAATACTTTTTTACCTCTATATGTCAGATAAGGTTATGTGCAGGAGTGAGATGGATGGCAGCAGCGCTGGACCATTAGGGATGGTGGCGTGGGAAGGCCTTAATCCAGCAGCCACATCTACAATGGCAGATGTCGCCAGCCTCTGGCATTGATTGCAATGGCACGTTTTGATTAAATGGGCAATGTAATGGAGTTGACATGCATGGGCATCTGCAGAGGACCAGGGGGGGGGGGTTATTGTGGAAGATGTTTCATGATTCTATATTTGATGCTTTTGTGACTGCAAGAATTCATACTCTGGTTTTTTTTTCCGGTAAAGTCACGTAGGTAAACAATCAAATGAACAGGGGCGGTTTCTTCATTAGGGCGATTGGACGACGCACCACCAAAGTGTGAAAGGGACTTTTTCAATCACATTCAAAATCTCATTCAACCAGAGTTACGCTAGCCGTTACTGTGCCTCTGGATATAGTCCAATCAGCGTCATGTCACGTTCTGTGGAGTACCGCCTCTTTTTGGGCGATTTCACTCTGGCTGAGAATCGCCCAGAGTGTTCCCATAGACTTACATTCAAAGATGTTTTTTTTCGAACGGCGGGCGCTGCAATGCATTCTCTATGGCTTCCGGGAGGGCTCGCACTAACGTGCTTACGTCATCATACGTCAGCACGTTTCAGTCAACAATATTATTTGTCGCCACCTAGTGGAATCTTTAATAAAAGAAACTGAGTGGATTGTAATAATAGTGAGTATAGAAACAAACAAGGAGATGTATTGTAAGAGTCACTTTATTTTTCATTAACATTAAAGTAGTGAAGTTGCCTTTACATGCTTAAGCTGTTCATTTATCCATTGCATGGGTGGACCTTATCCTTATCAATCATCCAGACATTTGCCCCCCCTGAGAGATTTTGCAGGAGCCGGCACTGCAAATGAAATAAAATAAAAACTCAATTAAATCACGACGTTTCGGGCACAACACAAGCGTCCTTCTTCAGGTAGGGACAACGTAGTGAAAGCACAACCGACACACTTAAGCGATTGTGCTTTCGCTACATTGTCCACACCTGAAGAAGGATGCTTGTGTTTCGCCCGAAACGTCGTGATTTAATTTAGTTGATTTCATTTATTTTATTTTTTACCTACGTGACTTTACCGAAAAAAAACAAAATTTATGTCTCATGATGTTGCCCCGGAATGCCGTGGTGGGAGTGAGGATTTGAACCTGACTGCGTCTTGTGGATAACTTCCGCTCAAGAGATTGAGACTGGCACCTTTATGATTTTCACGCTTCAGTGTTAATGCCCAAGACAGGTGTGTAACCTTTTCCACTTTAGACCAAAATTCAGACATTTTATTTCTCAGTCAACCGCAGTCTGTCTAAACTGCGGCATACTAATAATAAAGTTCCACTCCATACCAGTCCAGTATCATATCTTGGTGCAAATCAATTCCTGCCAACGGAACACAGGTGGCAATTATCAGACAGATGGCACCCCTAACCTTAAGACTCGGAACCAAATGCAGACAACCTTTAGGGTTCTCAGGGCTCATTTTCATGACTTACAAGAGGGCCTTGCCTAGTTTTTGTGTGCTGTTCAGTATAATCCCAAGTGAGTAATTTGCTCGAAGCGTCACCAATTTTACGTACATTTCGAGTATTTTAAGGTAGTGATATTTACGAATTACTTGAGTTTCTTGTTTTCGTATACATCGATTATTTCAAAAAGCATTCCTACCCAAGACCAACAGGGACATCAGATGCACATTGGTGGCCGTCTGGAACGCTCTCCTTCCGATATTAGAAAGCCACTGGGAGCTATGCACATCTAAATATGGATTGAAACCCATCTCTATGGAACTGCTTTTAATGTTTAGTTTGATGTCCTTCCCCCGCACCTCCAATTAGCACGGTTGGCTACGTACAGTTGCGAAAAAAGTTCAACATACTTACGTTACATCTGGGGAATGTGGCTTTAGTGTCTAATTCATTGCTGTCAACCCATACAGTTTACCCGTATTCTTGAACAGTGAAATTGAGTTTTCAGGTCCGTACGGTGTACAGCCGTTTCAATACGGGCCAAAAAAAAGTTTGTCTTTTTGTTTGTTTTTCTCCCATTGTGATGGGACTTTGTAGGGTGACCATTGAGATTTATAAGGGCACGGGGTGACCAACAAGGTCTGTATTGATCTGTAATAAGTTAGGACACTGATAAGGGGTTGACGTCTCTGCCAACTAAGGACTCACAGACACAAGTATTGACCCCCGTTGCTGTAATTGCTTCTATGGCTTTATTTAGGTGATTTTCGAAAAGTTTCTTTGGTTTGGCCATGTTTGTTTGTTGTAGTACGGAGTTAGACTGATGGCCTTAATCTAAGTTGTCTTGTGGTTGTTGTTGTTTGACTTGCATCCCACTGGGATTTTTGCACAGAGCATTGGTGTACGGTGTTTTTTCTGCAATATTTTGATGTCTTGTCTTGGATTTTCTGTTTTCACTTAATCACTTTAAGATGTTTTCTTGTTCATGTTTTAGTTTTTTGTCTGTTGCGGTTGCGACCGATTCAAGAGCCGAATGGCTCACAGGGCTCTATCAAATAAATGAACTTGAAACTTGACCCCGCCCCTCCCTCCCTTCCTCCTCAGAGGTCGAGAGCCGTGCGTGTCGACGTCACCACGTTGCAGCGTGTCGTGCGTGATGACGTCGCAGGGCGCGTCTGACGTCACCGCGTTGCCGGGTCCGGGTTCAGGGGTCATCGCGGTTCTCATTCAAAATCGGTGTCTGGGCGGGAAAAGCAGAGGCGCTAATTGGGGGGCCTCGAGTTTTGCGAGAAAGAATATTGTCGTTCTATTTCCTTTTACCTCCTTCCACCACCACTCCCTCACTTTTCAATCCTTCAAGGTGCGGAGGGTCGTACAGAGACGCCATGGAGTTTGCGGGTGAGCTCCGGGGCGATGTTTAAAGTGAGGGTGTATGACTAGGCCCGAGGATTAGGGCCTACGGCGAGGAGGCCTCGCGTCGCGCTTAGTTTTAACTCTGTGTAATTATTAGCTGCGTTCTTGTTTGTTTTGTAGCAACCGGGCGACGACGCCAGGGACCAAGATGATGGTCTTATTCGCAAGAGTGATTTGGGGGCACGAGGCAATTGTCGTTCGTATTATTGTACTCGTAGACTAGGAAATCGTTACCCGAGTGCCATTTTAATGTAACAGCAATAAACTCTTGTCACGCTATTACACGTAAAACAAAATTACACAACATTCTAATACTTTCCTCTTAATGACGAGAAGCTTGTAGGTGAGAAAACTACTTTAAAGCTATAAATGACAAGATGATGGCAACAGTTGACCGGTACACAAAGAACCCCGGGGAGATGCATGCTGTGAATGACGCTACAGAAAGATGAACACGTGGAGCAGAGAACATGCGCTATTGAGAGACACATCCTTAAAAAAAGCAAGTGGGGCATGGGCGCTATCGTCACGAGAAGGGATGATAGCTAACGGGCGAGACTGACTACTGAATTGCAGCCAAATGCGGGCAACACGCCTCGGTAGACATCCACTGTAGAGACGGAAGCAATGAAATAATCCGCTCGTGTGCAGGTGCTAGGGCGGAGATGGTGGCATCTTGGTAAGGGCTTCATCCAGCAGTGGATTGGTCATGGCTGTTAAGATAAGTGGCCAGGACATGTCCCTTGAAGGGTGGGCAAGAAGGTTTGGTCAATAGTTGGAGAGCCATTGTTGACTTACAACAAAGTAGTGTCCTGAGCCTACCAACCCTGAAGCGATGATTGGCTGAGTTCACTTCCAGTTTTAGGATTTCTGCCTTTTCCAATTGTGGATACTGCACCACAAACAAAAATTATCCCCCGTATAGCCTTAACAGACTGTCGGAGCAAGTGCTGTTAGCGAGCAGCTAATGAAGGACATGTCACCAGCATATCAGCCGCCACCCAACCTTTTACCACCATCCACATCTACCACCCTGTTGCCTGTATTTTACCAAATCTATATTTTTAAACGTCGATGTAGAACGACCTTTCAACATAAATGTTTAAACATTTAAATGAATAGTTAAAAAACATTGATATAATACCACATTCCGGGTATAGTACTATTTATCAGCGTGACTGCGTGTTATCTTAGAGACAATGGACTGCACCAGACCTTGTTGAAACGATGCAGAAGATGTTCGGCCACCTCCATCAGTCAGGAATATTGGGGGTTGCCGTCTAATTGTGATTGCTGTGAATTTGAAGTCCACATCACCAATCAATACCAAATACATTAAAGGAGGTACAAATGGAAAGCATCTTGTAACCCCAGACGCCATCAAATATATTCTTAAACTTAGCATACAAACTTGATTGGAAGCTTTCGTGACTTCAGGAATTACTCTTTGGTTCTTTCGGTAAAGTCACGTAGAAAGAAAATAAGTTAAGTAATATAATACGACGTTTCGATTGCAACACAAGCAATCGTCATCGGGTAGAAAACAAACCTAGTGAACTTAGAAATATAATTCAATACAACACAGAGTCGGCTAACAACAGTCAACACCCTACCTGGTTGATTGCGTTTTTCCAAAGATTGCTAAATTTGAGAGACAACGCAGACGCAGAGACACACAGACGGACACAAGCAGAGAGACAACACAGAGACACACATGTTGTACCTGATGACACATGCTGTGTGTCTCTCTGTGTCACTGTGTTGTCTCTCTGCTTGTGTGTTTGTGTGTGTCTTGTGTTTAGTTTCTTTCAAATTTAGCCATTTTTGGAAGAACGTAATTGACCAGGTAAGGTGCTGACTGTCGTGTTAACCGACTCTCTCTGTGTTGTATTGCATTGCATTTCTAAGTTCACTAGGTTTGTTTTCTACCTGATGACGATTGCTTGTGTTGCAATCGAAATGTCGCATTCTATTTTCTTTCTACGTGACTTTACCAAAATAACCAAAGAGTACTTAGCATACAGTTATAAACACGTCCATTGTTTTCCATATGACATACGAAAGAAAGACCACTTATTACCCACCCTGACCACCAATATCCATGCTTCAATCGCTCTCAATTTGCACGTGCAGGAGCAGAACCGATGACACTGGGCTCTCCTACGTCTCCCAAGACCGTGGTGGGAACACAGTTCCTGCCAGGCTTCCTCCTGGGGGACCTCCCGTCCCCAGCCACTGGGCAGCCACGCTCGCACCACACCCCCACCACCGGCCTGGAGTTGCGCTCCTCTCCCTTCACAGGTGCGTACGGAGGATGGCATGCTCCAACAGCAGAGGATTTACACAGCTTTCTGAAGCCAGGATCTCGGTGGAGCCAGCTCAGCGCTGTGATCTACAAATACCCGGCCACTTTCAGTAGACTGCATTTGGATGCCATGGTGGCGAGATGCTAATTCACTCGCCTGGTATGCAGGAGGTCGTGGGTTAAATACCGACCGTGATGCCTATTTATTTGGAGTTTGCATATTCTCCCTGTGGTCGTGTGGATTTTTCTCCAGGTCCTCCAGGATTACCCTCCACATTTAGAAATGTGTGTTTAGAGTTTTTGGCTGCGAGACATCTGCACATGATTCGTCAAGTTTCATTTGTGGCCAGGTCGTTTTGAAAAAGAGCTATATAGCTCAGTGGGCCTTACCTGGTAAAATAAAAATAGTTTAGTAAATATGTACTGGGAGCCATGCACATGAATCGGCTGCTGATACTCTGTTTACAGGTCGCTCCACCCCACAAGCAGCTCTGCCTGTGACTAAGGACAAGAGTGGTGCCCCTCCTGTGCGCAGCCTCTACGATGACATGCAGCCCTCACCCCTGCAGGCTCGCACCAGGGTACGGGCACATCATTAATTCTGCGTGCGATAAAGGATGCTATGAACACGCCCTTCAGTTCGTAACATACCCTTTAGAAAGTGATATGGAAGGAAAATGCAGTATGACCTACTCAGAGGAACTGCATACAACAACGACAGTGTGGATTCATATATATTCAATCGTTTCTCAGAAACACTGTTGTGAAAACTAGTTTTAGTTTTGAAATGGAAATAACACTTTTTCCGTAGTACTTGTATCTAGCCGCTGAACACAGTGCAAGCACCAACTAACGTTATAAGGGTTTACTATATCCATTGCTTTCACATTTAATACCACTTTCTTTTGTTACTTGGACAACAATTTGTTTTCTCCAAAAATAAATGACAAACAAAAAAATGTTATTATCACAAATTATGTTCCAAGGATTTTAAGTATTTTCTTAGTTGGAAACGAGATTTTGAATCATTAGATTTTATTTATCTTCTTCAAAAGTAGAGGAAATGGTTGTTATAAGTTAAAATCTATATTAACCGTACGCTTAATACAACTCCTTTGGCATTATTCCAGTCCTGTGTATATTTCGGCATCGAGGTAGGCATGTGTCTTGAGCTACAGTCTGTGGGAGAAAGAATTTGTACAAAAAAGTCCACAAAGCTGTGTTTTACTTTGCAGATGAACACTTCGCTGCATCACACGCCGCTCTCTGGCAGTGTGGTCAGGACTCCGGGCTCCAACAAGACCGCTCTCGGTCTGAAAAAGTCACACTTGCAATTCACGCGAGGGCCATGTATAATTTATTTAAATCCTGACTGGGAACAATGGTTATTTTCAAGCTGTGAGAGATAGCTGACAATAACTCTTGTGTGTTCTCTTACATCGTTTATTTTCTTTAGCTGCTGCGGGAGTTCAGTAACGGGAAAACTGCATGTTTAGCAAAAATACAATGTGCTAAAATACATGGCAAATAAATGAAAACAAAATACTTTTCTTGAGCGTGGATTATTTTAATGTGGATGAAATGTGAATCAACAAATAAACTCGTAATTTTCTCTACAGCGCAAACACACATCTACTGTACATTGTCCATTTAATTTAACAAGTCTTAAACTGAACATTGCTGAGAGGCCGCTGAATGGCTCAAGGCAATTTGGCTGTATTTTTGTATTTGATATCATCTGTTGTTTGTCTTGCCCACGTGCAATCGCTGTATACATAAAATGTCTCTTACTGGATTCCACATTGATTGCTTTGCATAAGGGCAAGTAGAGATCCCCCGTTGCCATGTTTGGGTTGTTGCTGCACAGGTTCAAGCAGCCTCTTCAGTCCTGGAACAGTGCCCTTGTCACAGCCGCGCGCAACACCGCCTTCGCCAGCCCAGCTGGATCCGTTCTACACACAGGGCGAGAGTCTGGTCTCCAGCGACACACTGGACCACACCTGGGTTACCGTCTTTGGGTGCGTCTTGCCTGCTCTGCCTCATATGGGCACCTCGGTGGCGAGATGTAACTACCTCGCCTGGTATGCATGAGGTCGTGGGTTCGATCTTGACCCTCGCACCTGTATATTTGGAGTTTGCATGTTCTCCCCGTGGTCATGTGGATTTTTCTCCTTGTCCTCCAGTTTTCCCCTCCATATTTAGAAACGTGCTTTAAAGCCTTTGATTGCAATACATTTCCAGATGATAAGCCACTTCGTTGAGCTATCAGTTGTGGCCAGGTCACTTCTGAAAAATAGAGCTACATAACTCAGTTGGCCTTACCAGGTAAAATAAAAAGGTTAGTTTATTAATATGTGGACCATTGTTAGAGCTCACACTCTCGAAGGGTTTACATCTGTGCACGTTCACGGATGTATCGTAACCAAACTTAAATTGGTCTAAGTGGGCTTTGACAGGACACGTTGCTGTAAGGGATGATGGCCATTGGGCGAATGTCAGCCAAGGGAGGGAACTCTCGTCTGAGAGCCTGTCCACCGTGGAGATGGGTCGATTGAAATCAGCTCATGCGTTGGTGCTGGGTGCATTGTTATGCAGGACCAATGTTGGTGACAGCTTCTTAACGAGGCCTTTTTTATTGGTAGATGGCGCCCTTAGAATGTGTGGCCTTGTTTCTTGTTGCTTTTTTTTGGTAGAGAACACCTATGGCAACATTACAACTGATACGTGGTCACTGAGGCTTTGACTCTTAAGCACGTGCTGTTTTCTCTTCACAGGTTCCCACCTGCATCTGCCTCTTACATTCTCATGCAGTTTGCTCAGTATGGGAACATCCTCAAGCATGTGGTGAGTTGTTCATAATCAACGATTTTTGGGTTTAGATCGCGTTTATTTATAAATGTGTCGTAACCCTCCACCACCCGACACGGCCAATCAGTAAAAATGTGTCACGTTGACAAAGACAAATAGTTCACTGCTTTAGCCCACCGGTGTGTTGAAGCAACAACATTTACAATTTGAGTACGACGTTTCGCTGGTAATTGCAACCAGCATCATCGGGCAATTCGCCAGAATGGTGAGGCTCTCCTGTGTCTCCCGTTCTTATATAGAGCAGCAGCAGGGTGACGTCATCATTAACTCATTAACTCATCAGGTGCAAAGATTCAAGGGGGGGAGTGATTGTAATTATATACTAGATTAGTAATCAGGCTATTGTTACGATGCGAGTTGTAGATTAGTAATCATTTAGAATGTGTTTTATTGTGATTATGCTACATTAGTAATCAGTTAGTGGTTGTTTCCCTTATAAGTAATTGTAATGTATCTTATTTAATAATACGCTTCCAGGCCGCACTAAGCCTATAGCTGTCTGAGCGATTAAAGTTATTTCTGTTTCTCTCAATTTCAATCGATTCTCTAATTAGTCTTTGCCAGTAGTAACTAGTTTTACACAACACTTCCACGTTGTCAAAATCAATTGAGTGTCCCTGTTGGCCTGCATGTTCTGCTACTGCCGACAGTTGTGTTTGTGATAGTTTAATATTTCTCTGGTGTTCTTTTAGTCTTACACTAACGTTACGCCCTGTCTGTCCAATATAGCATCTGCTATATATGGTGAGTTGATTTAAGTGATTGTTCACTCCCAACCCTATTTCCAGTGATGTTGGTTGCCAACTCTGATCCCAGCCTGAGGAGCCAATTTATTGCTTATGGTGACGTTTGCCACTTTTCAACTTAATACGTTGGTTCGTCATTTGGATGACTAGTTTGTATTTCTCTGGATTTCAGCTAGCTGACGTCGAGAGAAATTAGCAAGGTAGGACCGCAGCCAGACGGGGCAGGCACCAGCTATCACCCACAGACAACAACTAACAGAGATTAACAGCCACTAGATGGAGAATTTGCAGCTGAAGGGAATGCACAGCAGTCCTTTCAGATAACGTGTCATTTTTAGATATTATTTTGCTGCAGCCAATACAGCCTGTTAAGTTTTATATTTCTCCATAACAGCATTTTACCTAATCAAGCAAAACCCCAGAAACATGTGGTTAATGGGAGTCGTGTGAACGTATGCAGATGTCGAGCAGCGGGAACTGGATGCACATTCAGTACCAGTCGACCCTGCAGGCGCGGAAGGCACTAAGCAAAGACGGCAAGGTCTTTGGGGAATGCATCATGGTGGGAGTGAAGCCGTGCATAGAGAAGGTACGGCGGAGTGCGGCATCTTGAGTGTCAATGGCAGTCGCGTGTTTTATTGCTCCTATGCAAGGTGTGGCTTTAGCCAGTGATTCAGTGGCCTTGAGCAAGCCGTAATGCAATTTGACGCCAGTATTTTATACCTCAGCAACTGTTTTCGCTGTGGTTGTCCCCACCTGATGAAGGACGCTTGTGTTGCGCCCGAAACGTGATTTAATTTAGTTTTTATTTTATTTTCACCTACGTGACTTTACCGAAAGAACCAAAGAGTATGGATCCTTGCAGTCTTGAAAACTTCTAATCTAGAAGTATTTGATCGTTTCACATGTAATACGAACTAATTTATTTAGTATTGCTTTTGGATGATTGAAGATTTTATCTTACTCAGTAGCTACTAATGGATAAAATATGAATATGTCAATTAAAAAATTGGTCATCGGAATTTTCTCAAATGTAATTATCATTCGGGTCCATGATGTCAAGTGCATGTTCTAACTCTAATTCTCTACTCTCTCTCTGTGGCCTCTGTTTGTCTCTTAAGAAGAAGGGCCATTGCCAATTATATTTTTTCTTTTAAAGGCAATGCGTTGCATTCTCTTGAGATGATTCTGATTATCGTTCACGACCAATAACAGTGGCGATTATTTGAACTAGTCCTGGGCCTCCCCTAGGTCGACTCAGCCTGAAATGAGTACTTGGTATGGTGTGTAAACATCAGACTTGAAAGACAAAGGTGGCAGAGCATGGTGTTGGCCAGCCACCCTCTGGTGTGCCACAGTGCCGGCCTTCATAGCTGCTCGCTAACAGCACTTGCCCCAACAGTGTGTTTGAAGGCTATGTGGGGGAGGATCTTTGTTGTTGTGTGCTCGGACACTGTATGCGTTGGGTGTCTCAGAACGTGATGGAGAATGGAGAGGCACACGGCTACCCGCCTCTCTCGGGCTTCACCACCCCCGTGCAACCCCACACAGCCACCCCCGTCCCCATCGCGTCTACGACACCGCGGCCCTCCACCATGCGTCCCATGACCGGGCGAATCACCACGAACGACCTGCAGGTGACGCCGCAAGTGCACGAACACGTGGGAGTTGCACAACATGCTCTTGGTGTCCAATAGGGTTGGGCTCGTTGGAATGCTTCTTCAGGCTGTGGCAAGTGAAAGTATGTCTGTGGCACACATTCCTTAGGTAGGTTTTAAAAAATAAATCTTTGTTTACAGCTGTCTGTTTCCCCCCTGTATTTTCCATTTCCTCCAGCCCAAGTCTCACATGCAAAGCCGATTTATTGTCACTATGGGATAATTTATTGTGAATGTGTTGGAGAAATACTCGAGCAGTAATGCATGCCTGCTTTGCATCTTTTTTACTCTATTTATAGCGTGTTGTTCGTGCACATTAACATTTCAAGATTTTTTTTTTATTTTAAAGAACAGCAAATAAAAATCTATTTAGGAATATTTTTTTCTGATGGCTTTTAAGCTGCTCCGTTTTTACACGGTAGCCCGCTCTTGTGAATACTCCAATTGTGAAATTATTTTTGAGCTTCAGTTTACAGATCCGTCATTGTTAATAATGCATTGTCTATGGAATCCCCTGATCGGCTCTACATGGGCTAGTTTTTGTTGCTTTGAGCTAGAGATGTAACAGGTTTAACGTGAACGTCTTTCGTGTGCTTTGTTGCTGCACAGGTGGTGAACGACAAGCAGGTGCTCAGCAAGGATGATGGCATTCTCTCCAAGGCACTGGAGTATGTCTTTGGCTGGTGACCCTTGACCTTTCGGTAGCCAAAACTGCAGCCGTGGTTCACATTCATTTTAAAAACATGAACAGACGCGCCATGCACGCACACATACAAATGTACAACTACGTACACAGACATCGATGTTGACACTGGTCCGCTTGAGGAGGGAATCCGACCTTCATAGCTATCATGAGCTGGATTTATTGAGTTACATGCAATGAGACTGAACTTCCCAAATGCTTGGACCCATGTTGTAACAAAGCCTGTGTTTTTTTTACTATTACACTGTGTACTCCCAATATAAAATTTGCAAAACTAAATAACTGTTACTGGAGCTCCATGCTGCTGGAGGGTTATGGGGGGAGGGGTTCAGAAATGTTGTGAAAGGCTTGTTAAGATTGTCCCTAAATGACGTCCCGTCGAGCATCTTGATTCCTGCTTATTATCATTGCAATTTCTATTTTTCTGTCCCTATTTACAAAAATGGACAAGAGGTCGCACATAACCCCGAGTTTATCGTTGAGCAGATAACAACTGCTGCCTCTGCAAAGTTGGATGGACATGCGTGTGCCGGTGGGTGTATTAATCAGTGTTTTCGTCCAGACAAAGCGGACACTGGGGAGGAAGTGAAAACCTTACTATCTGCTCACCCACTGGTGCATATGGGTGGGCGGTTGCAGCTGCATTTATTTGGTTGTCAAGAACCAAAATGTAGGTTAATTTTCATCGTTATTGGCCACCATCATTGCCATTGTAAGTGAAAGCCACACGCATGTTGTTTTGCCTGAGAAAGGGACATAACGATGATTGAGGCAGGCCAGGCGCAATTATGGGATGCTCTTAAGATCACCTGGCGACAATAGTCGTAATTGGCTACGTACATAACTTTTTTTATATGGTTATGTTATTGACAAGCCTGTTTTGTAACATGGATTTTAATTATAAGTGGAATTCTCTCAGAAATCGAATTGAAACCACACTAAGTATACGTTGGTTCGAGAAAGCATCCCGTACATGTGTAATTGTAAAATTGTATTTTTGCAACACAGAAAAAATATAACACCTCTCTATTAGTCACGTTTATTGGCTTCTATCTGTTCCTATAAGTTTGCTTTAGGCCAGTGTCACTTAGGCCACTGAATTGTCCACTCATCTTGAGCTTTGTCTCCCAATTTCACGGTATTTGTTTCAACTTCAGAAAAGTGTCTCCAGTGTGCCTTCTCTAAACCATTTCTCAAAGACCTATTCCGACATCCGTCTGTTACAACTGAAAGCATTGCTGGACACTCGCTTTAGCAGTGTTGTTACAGCTTTGGAATCCAGTTTATAGAGGCAGCAGTTATTGTTCTTGTGACCGCCAGAATTCGAATATTTGAAACCACTGTTTATTTCTCGAGGCTTGCGCCGCTGAAACAAAACTTTGAGGTTCATCTCGGTCCCATTGTCTTTGGGTTGCTCGGGGAGAAAAGAAATCTTATTTTAATTACTACAGAGAACACTTACAGCCTTTGTTATGCCATACAGCTTGTGACAGCACTCATTTTATCCGCTTGGGTTAACTGCCCGAAAGCAACGCTTCCCCTAAGCTGCATTAGAGTAATGGGAGTTTTAAAATTAATCTTATAATAATATTGTGAAAGAAGCCGATGGATGGTAACAAAACTACGCTCCCACTTATGGTGTACTGCCTTATCTCCGCTTATGTGCAGTGGCAAATGTTGCCGTGTCGCGTTGGATACGAGGCAGTGTTTTTCCATGCTGGAGGATGTGGGTTTGATGTGGTACAACAGCAGAGCTGTCGGCTGAATGTTTCTATACCTAATTCGGGGCAATATTTTCTATGTTTTTATGCCTTTGTGAGTGCTAACAAACGGTTGTTTAAATCGACATCTTCAGCTCGACAGTATACATGTTTGTGTAAATACAATTATGTTATTAAGCTTTAAGCATGCTCAACAACCACACTCACAGCTGGCATTCTGCAGGCAGCTGTGGATGGGGATGTCCTGCGCGTGCTTTCAAGAGCATTTCTTTTCTCACACAAACGCCATTACCTCCGTTGAGAATGAACCATGTGAATATAACTTTAGGTTTATAATCAAAATGGCCTGCTTTAAAATGCATACTTAGTAAAATATGGGGGGGGGGGGGGGTTTGAATTTTGGAAAAACATGAATTAAAAACCATGCATGAGTGAATTTGTTTCTTTGTTAACTCAATTTAACAGTGAGATTGGATTGGTAATATGGCATGGGTAGATAGACATTGCTCTGTAGATGGACATCATTTTAGATGGTTCTCATGCTGCTTTTCTGGACCAACCAGATCAAAACTGCTGCACATCCTCCCCATGCAATACAGATGTGTGGTTTCTAAGTGAACATTCACGATCCCATTATTTTACAAAGGCTATTTGATCAATTGGAAGCATAATTAATCATGTGTCTACAAACTGACACACATGCTAAAGCAGCGCCGATTCATCTACCAGTGACTTTGAGCATCCAACGTTGACAGGGATTTACAGGAATACGTTTACATTTCACTGTGATGCTGCCAACCACCTGTGTTTCTGTTGTAATCGCCGAAGTGTTTACGTCAACATCGGAGCATTGTCTCGACTTGGCATAGAGGGGCCGAGAGAATTGATTGTAATGCTTTTCATCCTTACCGTCCCCACTGTACATGTGGTCAGATTTTGCTGAAGGGGTGAGTTTTTAACTGCACAATGTATATTTATGTTACGTCAACATTAAAGATTGATTGACTTCAGTTGGTGGTGATTGCTTTTGGGATTTATTGTGTGGGTTTTATACAGCTCTGTGTTTTTAGGGCTTAATCAGTGTTTGCATTTGTGCTTGAGACCTAACGTTTTCCTTTAACGTGATCCATGGCAGTCACGTGTGGAGTAGGCAGAACCGGCACACACGCATAATAAGTAATGGTCAGATATTGAATCTTTCGTAAGCACTTCATGCCTTAAATTCTTAGGTTTGTAAATTGTGTATTTGGTCTTACAGAACTTTGCCGCTATTACAAAGTATATTTCACGTGAGAGACCTGGATACTTATCAACTATTCTACAAATAAAAATTATCTGATTTACTTGAAATGGGGACATGCAGAGAATAGTTTTTTTTTTCTTTTTTCAAGTCATGTGTGAATTTACATTATTCTTTTTCAACTTTCTCTGCTCTAATAGCTGTTGTCAATAATGGATTTACAGGTACTTGTGGGATGACAGTTACAAACGCACTCTGTTTTTGCAGTGTAGCGCAAGGCCTCTGGGACACGCCATGGGGTGGAAAAACCCCGAGTTTTCCAGCGGCAGGCATCGGGTTTTTTCTTTAATACAATTAAACCCGATTTCGCGCAATTAAAACCCAGTTGAATGAATACGCAACTCTGATAGGCTTAGGCTGCTTCCTCGTCGGTGCTGCTATCGTATTCGGGGGGGTGGGGGGGGCCGTCGGGCACGGGGTAGTCGTAGAATGCGGCGGGCAGGTTGGTCTTGATGAACACGAGCTTCTCCACAATCGTGGGCGCCAGTGAGTTCCTTAGCTTGGAATGGATGAAGCCCATCGTTGAGAAGTTGGCGAAATGCGGTTCTGCAATTAGAACCAATTAAACCGGATTTCTCCCAATCTCAGATGATCGGGTTTAATATAAAAATACAATTAAATCCGATTGTAAAAAACCGACTGTGCCATCCTTGGGACACGCGATTAATAATGTCAAAGCTGCGCAGTAACATCATCCATGATCAATCCGGTGATGATACCACCCAGCTGCTGCACGGGTGCACGGTTCGAATCTTGCGGCCACCCTGGTTACTTCTGCGGTGTGTGTAATAACCATTCAACAAAACAAAAACATGCCACCCGTTGCACAGTGGACGTTAAAGATGCCGTGGCGTAATTCGCAAGAGTAGGCCACTGCTGGTGCCATGGTCCGTATTCGAAAATTATCTGCAAATTCTAATTTGAATCTACGCCGCGGCAATTATCGCCCCTTGTTGCCAAAACTTGACAGGATCCACCCCCACCTTGAAAAAGACATGGTGAGGCTTTCTTGGCAAAACAAGTGTTATAATAACGAATCTACTGCTTACTGTTGTGTGACTCAAACTCGGGTCGCCGGGTTCATAGCGCAGTGCGCGCTAACCACTGCGCCACCGCTCTCCACACACTTCACACAAAACTCACGATGCCTCGTGAAAGACCCTACGCATGAGATCTTTCGGCTTTGATCTTCCACGAAGCTCATGGAAGATCAAACTATGGCAGATGCGGAAACATGATGCACAAATGGAAAATAAAATAAAAACTCTAGTATACGACTGTTCATCCAGAGCAGACCGTATACAACATATAACGGTTCAATGCCAGAGCCACAAATACGAAGAAGACAGCGAGGATGCAACTCTGCTGCTCCTGGAAGCGGTTATCTGGGCTCCGCCACCTGAATGTGACATTGTAGTCATTGCACTGCATCTACATCGGCCTAAAGTCCTAAACGAAAGAAGAAGTCGAAGATTGCACACATCCTGCAAAAGCCTTCAAGCACGAACTCAAAAGAAGAAGTGCTCACGTCAACAACCGCGCGCGCCTGTGCCTCGTTTTAAACGAGACACCTTGAAGCTCGGAGATGAGTCACCACTGTCCATAGTTCCAACCCCCCTCTTGTGTTGCTGCTTTACAAGGCTCTGACTGCGGTTTGACCCATGAGTTGTGCCCGGAATGTCTCTTCACAGGCAACACAACACGACGGAGAGACAGAAACACAAATTTATACTGGTAGGAACCTCTTGGCTACACCAGCCCACAGGGGATTATTGTGTCCGTCCGTCCGTCGTGCAGGGAGGGGCTGGGTGGGGAGGGAGGGGCTGGGTGGGGAGGGTGGGGAGGGGCTGGGTGGGGAGGGTGGGGAGGGGCTGGTTGGGGAGGGTGGGGAGGGGCAGGGTGGGGAGGGTGGGGAGGGGCTGGGTGGGGAGGGTGGGGAGGGGCTGGGTGGGGAGGGTGGGGAGGGGCTGGGTGTGGAGGGGCTGGGTGGGGAGAGGCTGGGTGGGGAGGGTGGGGTGGGGCTGGGTGGGGAGGGGCTGGTCACCCCGTGGTGCCCTTGTAAAACTCAACGTTTAACCTACTCACGCCGGCTTGTGCCCGCCCTCAGTCGGGCATATTTGCGGAATACACCACGCCGCCGTTGACCCTGGCCATTGACAGAACCATCCGCAGGAATGTGTTTGGCCCATTATCCCCTAAGCATGACCCCCCCACACACCTACCTCCGCTGAAATTGAGGGGTTCGGCACAAATCGCATTTTCTGAGTAGATAATTATTCTAGAGTTCTGTGGTGTGTGTATTGTGGGGGGTTATACTATGATGTGGTGAGCGCTCTGTGCTACGAGCCCGGCGACCCGAGTTCGATTTCCGCTCACGGTCAACACCAGTGACGGTTATCTAAACCGGTCCTGAGCCCCCCCCACCCCCTAGGTCGACTCAGCCTCAACTCAGTGACCTAATGCGATGCGTAAACATTCGTCACGAGGGAAAAGACAAAGGCGTTCGGACGTGGTTCTGTCCAGCCCCACCCCTTCGTGTGCCGTGCCAAGCCTTCATAGGGCGGCGCTCTCCACGCTCACCCAAGGAGAGTATTTCTCAAGGCTATCCGGGGAGATCTTCGTCTTTTGTGTGGTCCCCGTGTGTGGCGTGAGACAAAACTGAAAACCCGTTCCTCCGCACGGCGTGGGGCTCGGCGTGATTGGCGAAGTGACCGAGATGGATGAATGGATGGAGGTGATGGTGGTGGTGGGGGCGATGGGGAGGGACCGTGAGTCGGAGCGCAGGTGAAGAAGCCCCGACGCTGATCCAATTATCGCAGCGGTCGTGACGAGGAGGAGGAGGGTCCCAAGGGCGGCAGTCAACGAGAGAGCACTCGGGGAAGACGGCACAGCCGAGCGAACGGCGGGGTGGTGGGGGAAGATGGGTAGAACGGCAGCAAAGGCGTCCATGTGACGGCGAGCAGGTGACGTGAACGCGCGAGAGAAGCCTGCACGAGAGAGAGAGAGAGAGCTCAAAGGTGAGAGCGCAAAGTTGAGAAGGCTGCAGGTTGGTTGTGCAGGTGTTTAGCGCGCAGGTAAAGTGTGAGGACACACAGGGTGGAATGTACAGGTGAGAATACACATAGTGTGATGTGCAGGTGTGAACACACAGGGTGTACAGGTGAAAATACACATTGAATGTACAGGTGAGAATACACATGGGCTCACGTACAGGTGAGAATACACAGGTGGAGTGTACAGGTAAAAAAACACACATGGTGCATTGTACAAGTAAAACACAAGTTCGAGTGTATAGATGAAAAAAACACACAGGGTGGAATGTACGGGTGAGAATACACAGATAAGAACCCGCATGTCAAATCAAGCATCGGCCCAGCGTTAGTTGTAGGGTTGCAGTTCCTGGAAGATGTATTCGATCACTGAACATATGAGTGAGTGTGTGTTTGAGTGAGCGTAGTGCTGTCTCAGCGGTTTGCATTGCGTATGCACACCACGCATTGGTTTAGTTGTGAGTTCAGTTCGACGCCACTTGGAGGAAGGAGGCAGGCAGTGAGCTCAGTGCAGACGCCACGAGCTATAGCCGCTGCACACGCAGCCCAGGGCCAACACAGACTCTACTGGAGCCACACACAGGCTACTTTATACATCAACCATTCTGTACAAACAATCGCTACACCCAGGCTATGTGGTAGAGGAGCTGCCGGGCTACTGATGCCAATCATGGGCTAACTTCTCTCCGCATTGCCTTGATACAGATGCAGAACCAGATCCAGCCCAGGTACTGAAGAAACGGACACGGTTCGATTCCAGTTCAAGACTCGGTGCTGGAGGGGGAAGTAACCAGTTGAAGAGCGGGTGCTGGAAAGACGGACCAGGTGCCGGACCATTTGGGAGATAAAGCGACCAGGGGCGGTCCCGTCATGCGCACCGCAAACTCCTTACCACATCCTGCAGGTAATGCCACAACCTCGATGTGGATGAATTTTGACTTTAAACTTTCGTGACTGCAGGAATTAATATTCTTGGTTCTTTCGGTAAAGTCACGTAGATAGAAAAGTATCATTTTCAATTTATTATTTGATATGTAAAATTATTTTTTATTTTTGTATTTTATTTTCTACGTGACTTTACCGAAAGAACCAAGAATATCGATGGCGGATGAGTTCATAGTTTTGTGATAAAGCTAAGTAAACTCTGTGACAGAGAGTCATTTGAGTTCTTGGTGGAAGTGCGCTTGCTTGAGAAGTTTTAACGAATTCCAAAGTGCTCGTTTGATCACCAGACAAGGCGGGACCATATTCGCGGTTGCGAACGCACAGCGGTAATTACATAACGACCTACTTTACTGTACGGTGATGCGTGCCCATCCATGCCTCGAGTCTTTTAGTCACAGCCCACGAATCTGACCTCGATTATAGGAAACATTTGACAGCGCTTTTGTCAATCCACTGTTGGATGAAATGCATTACCCAAGGCCAGGCAAGACCGGTTCTAACTTATAATGTCACTCGCCGCTGCTGCCACTGAGCCGTGGTCGGGAGTTGAACTCGGGCTGGTGGGTTCACGGCGCTGTTGTTTGACCAGGAAACAAAATGTACATCGAGTCTGCGCCGAACTTGTTTTGTGAAACGTGACAATTGGAATGGTGGTGTGCTGCTGCTGCGTGCTGTGTATGTGTGTAAGTCACGTTGTGTTGTTGTGTCTGGAGGAGAGGTGTGCGGAGTGGTAGTCTAGCGGTTAGCCACTGGGGAGACAAAGGCGGCCGGGCGTGGCGCTGGCCACCCACCCCTTGGCCTTAATTGGTTCTCGCTAACAGCACTTGCCCCAACAGTCTGTTAAGGCTATACGGGGCATCTTGGTCTTCGGAGGGGAGATGTGATGCTGTGTTTCGGGATGTGTGGGGGTGTGATGCTGCGTCTGATTCACGGATGAGCCGCAGTGCCCCTCTGTAACGATGGGTGGGGTAGGGTGTCGGGTGGTGGTGGTGGCGTGGGTTGCATTGTGCATTGCGCAGAGACAAGAGTCATCCCGACCAAAACACAACAACCGCCATTCACAACTAAGTGACGGTGACATCACCACGACGCTTGTGCCAGGCCATGTGCACCTTGAGGCCACGTGAAGTGTCGAACGCCCGCTGGCAGGAGGTCACGGGCAGACCCAGCAGGTGCCACGGCTCGACTGACTGAGATGACCTAGATGACTGACTCATGCACCACCTGTGCCCCCCCACCCCTACTGTGCCAACTTGCTGTGCTTTAGCCACCCGGCGCTCCAAACACAGCACACACACACAGAGACACACGCCTTCCCCGGTCACGGCGTGCCGACTTCCCCGGTCACGGCGTTCCGCCACCGTCGGGCTCGCTATTCCCTTTGTGCAACATTGTTCTCAGGAAACGTGTCACCTCCTCTCGCCAGTACTGTTCGCTTCACAGCCGCGACAGTGGAGGCCCCAACGCTGCCAAGCTTTCAAGGGATAGCTGTGTACGTGCGATCTCCGTAGGGCGTGCACAGGGGCATAAAAGGTCCAGCACTGATGCACAAATGGAAAATGGAAACTTTTCAGTTGGTAGCGTGCGACTGTGGTCATCCAGAACAGACCGTACAGCGTTCAATGACGGAACCCCCGATCCTGACGCGGTTCTTGTCTGGCTTGACCGCCTCAATGTGAAATCGTAGTTGTTGCTCTGCATCTCCATCAGCAGCCGTACGAAGTGCAGCCCTGCAATGGCACGCTTCACGCCACCGCTTGTGAAAGGTACTCCACACTCCAGGTAGCTGTAGAGGGTATTTTGGCCAACTCTTCCATGCTGTTCCAGACTTCTCGGAAGAGATGGGAGTACCCATACAGAGGCATTGTGTGTGAACTACCGCTCCGGGAGATCGAATCGAACTGTCGATCTCTGGATTTGCAAGTTTAGAGAGCTCACAATTTCACTCCACCGCGGTAGCGTCGCCGTAAAAAGAGCAAATGTAAATACTGTTCAGGTTTCCCTCGCTTTATGCGATAGTAGTCGTCGTAGTAGATGCATTCAAAGAAGAGGGCGCACAAAACGAAACCAACCGCACGATAAAACAGCTGCCTGCTGAGTAGCGCACACAGTACACACTCATAGTACACATAGTACATACACAGGACACAAAGATCCCCCATATAGCCTGAACCGACTGTAGGGGCAAGTGCTGTTAGCGAGCATCTATGAAGGCTGGAACGGTACACGACGGGGTGGGTGACCAGCACCACGCCCGACGACCTTTGTCTCCCCAGTGGCGATGGTTACACACCGCACCAGGTACTCATTTGAGACTGAGTCGACCTAGGGGAGGCCCAGGACCGGTTCAGATAATCGTCACTGGTGTTGGTGACCGTGAGCGAGAATCGAATCCGTGTCGCCGGGATCGTAGCGCAGCGCGCTAACCGCTACACTACCGCTCCCCACACACACACACACACAGCCGCATCTGAGCGGATTTTGGGTGGAAATAGGTCGAACAGATATATGCGAAATCCCACAAACCCGCATAAAGCGAGGGAAACCTGCTTATTGTTCGTTCATTGTCCACTTCAAAGGCCACACAGTTAAAATGCAGGGTTAATATTAACGTTTCAAGATAAGTGACCGTAAAAAAATTGATTGATCGCTTGCTTCACGTCACGTATTCCCAAAAATTTTGCGGAGGACAGAGTGGCAGCAACATATGGCAAAAAAACACTCGCGCTAACAGCCAGGTCGCGTTGCGCTGGAGAGAGCCGTTCTCTTGCGGCGTTTACGGTCAAGGCAAAGCATCCAATAAAATAGAAATGTTTAACAAGATGTTGGTTGTAAAGAGACTAGGCTCGATACTCTTTGGTTCTTTCGGTAAAGTCACGTAGGTATAAAATTAAATAACTAAAATCACGACGTTTCGGGCGTAACACAAGCGTCCGTCATAAGGTGGGACAACCACAGCAAGAAACAATTGCTGAAGTGGGCAAAAGGGCTGCTTGATGTAGGCCAATCGGTTTCAAATACAATTCCACGTATTATCAAAGCGTGTTCGTTTGCATGTTCACCACAGGTACCGTGTGTGATTAATGCAATACTTTATTTCTTGCAAAAGGTTTCTATTTGGTGTTTGAACATCTTAACACATCCTGTTTTATTGCCAGAAAGGATAAAACGTTATTCTAATTTTACTGGTAGGAACCAACTGGTTCCACCAGCCCACAGGGGATTATTGTGTCCGTCCGTCCGTCGTGAATCCAAAAATTGGAGGGGTGGGGCTGGGTGGAGAGGGGAGGGTGGGGAGGGGCTGGATGGGGAGGGGCTGGGTGGGGAGGGGCTGGGTGGGGAGGGTGGGGCTGGGTGGGGAGGGGCTGGTCACCCCGTGAGTGCCCTTATAAAATTCAACGTTTAACCTGCCGTGTCTCACTGACACTGTGACTCATCACATTACCTACAGGGTGATACTGGTAGGAACCTCCTGGTTACACCAGCCCACAGGGGATTATTGTGTCCGTCCGTCGTGCAGGGAGGGGCTGGGTGGGGAGGGGAGGGTGGGGGGGGGGCTGGGTGGGGAGAGTGGGGCTGGGTGGGGGGGGAGGGGTGGGGCTGGGTGGGGAGGGGCTGGTCACCCCGTGGTGCCCTTATAAAACTCAACGTTTAACCTACTCACGCCGGCTTGTGCCCGCCGTCACAGTCGGGCATACTTGCGGAATACACCACGCCGCCGTTGACCCTGGCCATTGACCGAGCAACCCAACGTTCCTACCAGCTCCCTCCGCAGGAATGTGTTTTTTTACAAGTTCTTGGTTACCTGTCGAGTTTTATGATGCATGTTTGTCACGCACAAGTAACGTATGAGTGTGGCGAGCAGTTAGTTGAACTGGGAATGCGAGTCGCTAATGACAATTTTTAAAAAAATTGTAAGGAAGACGTGCGGGAGAGATGTACGGCATAATATTTGTCGGTATTGTGTGATTCTTTATGTACGTGCATAAACGGACAACACATTTCCCGACCTTATTTAATATATCCTCAAATAACGAAAACATGTTAAACAGCTTAATTAATGTCCTCATTTTATGGACAGCATTCAATAATTTTAAAGAATTACAAGTATTTAGTTTGTTGCACACGTAAAAATAACTAAGAAATTATAGGTTTTATAATCGCGGACACATTAAATCAACAGATATTAAACATGTAAAATCATCAACCATTTTTTATAAACATTCTGCATTTAAATATATTTTCGATTATCAAACACAAATACCGTATGTTGCATTTAGATATAATAGCAACAGATGTCCTAAAATGGCTATGTACAAAGTGGTCCAGATATCTTGTGACTGCCAATCAATTGACCCTTAAAAACATTTCTCTTTGCGTATTTATTTATGTTTTAAATAAATCTTACTTTTAAAAAAAGTTTTAGATGATTAAATACGGGTCACGAGACATCTGGACCAATCTGTTGTACATTTACCTAAAAGGATTATGACTTTCACACCGAGTGCGATAAACGCCTATGCGTAGCACGGCAATCAGGTACGGTTTAATGCGATGCACAAACAGAGGTGAGATTCGTCCAACCGAAGGTACAAGTTAACTGCGGGATTATCCTCGCACGATGCTGATCACGTGCACCAGTGCCAGGTGGTATCTTATTCTGGCCAGCCCTTCATTTCTGTTCCGCTCGGCATTCACGACGTTGCAACGCTTACAATCCCTCTCTCGCACCTGCACACGAGCCGATATCATTGCTCCATCTCCGCTGTGAATGCATTTTCTAACGCGCTCCCTCCACTGGTCGACATTCCATTGTTTGTCTCGACCAGCTGATCAGCGTGCCTTCAGGCGGCACGTCCCGTTGGGCCCAAGCCCACTTACTCTTCTTAACATTCAATTCGAAAGGAATTTGTCTTGAAATCAAGATGGACAGAGCAATGAGGAATCCTGTCCGACCGCCTCATCGGGAGTCGCCATTCCTTTGTTATGCTCTCAAAGATGGCAATGGGTGGATCCCTCGGGTAGTTTTGAAAGTCGAGACTTGCAGTGGCAATCTCTTTCAATCGCCGCCTGGCAATCCAGAACTAGTTTGCTTTGTCCTTGTCCAGGGGCAAGTGGGCCCGCTTCCAACTCCATAGAGAAGCACGTACGTAGTAACCAAGGCACGTAAGAATAACAATAATACAAATGGTATGATTATTATAATTCATATACGTTGGATTTACGTAAGGGGAGCAGAGTGGTGGCGCGTTGGTTAACAAGAATGATTTGTTTTTGATAGAGCGTCCTATACGCTGGGACATCTCGGACCCCTCTGTGGTAGCTGACCCTTTGTGGGACAAGGCGAACACATCACCTATAGACTATTTTTTTTATCCTACCAGGTAAGGCCGACTGAGCTATGTAGCTCTTTTTCAGAAGCGATCTGGCCACAAATAATAGGTCAACGAAGTGGCTTATCACGTGCAAATTTACAGCAGTCATGTACTTTCAACGCATGTTTCTAAATGTGGAGGGAAATCCCGGAGGACCCGGAGAAATTTTGACGCTATTTACGGGGAAAACATGCACACTCCAAATATACAGGCGTCAGGGGAGGGCTCGAACCCACGACCGCCATACCGATGGGTACGAGCAAAGGTGCAGCCCTGAAAATGCTTGATAACGCGACTGTTGGCAGAAGGGTCTCCATGAGAGGAAACTCCATAGAGAACTCCTCTAGAAGAATAGGTTTGCCTACTCTTTCACGCTTGGTGAAACATCACACGTGACCTTCAAATCGACTCCCGCTGCCTCCACTAAATATGTAGTATTCATCTACTGCCCGTGATATCAATGCATGTTAGGGATTGATCATTTATAATTATCAGTGTGCATGTGGTTATATTGTTTCGGAAATGTATGGAGTTCTTTTAAGGATAATACTGTAATTACTATATAACAATTTGCAGGACTCTGTCAATCCACTGCGAGATAAGGGTTTCTCCACACCGTGTCAGTCGTAGGCGTTGTTGTAACCATGCTTGACCACGTTGGTCATTGCGTGTTGATGAAAGGGGTGGTGGGTCCAGGACCAATTCAGGTATCACTCGCCGCTCATGTTAACTGTGGCCGGGAATCTAACTTTAGTCACTCGCTTGTTAGTGCAGCGTGATAACCACTCAGCTGCTGCTCCATCCCCTTTTTGAGGATTAGCGTTTGTATCAGAAGCGTGCTCGACAATTGCACAACACAAGGACTGGATAACAACAATAATAATGGATTTGAGAGAGGGGAAAATACAACGCGTTAAAAATTAACAACACTGGAACTCCGCGCATCATCTTCTCAATCCATGGGAACGAAAGGGCTAGGTCATGATTCAAGTTTCATGTTTGTTTTGTTGAACGTGGTAAGAACTCAGGAGACTAGGATGAGTTGCATGTGGAAGAGTTGTCTCAGAGTCGCCAAAATGGCAAAGTAAAAGCAAATACAAATAAAGTACAGCAAAGAAGAAATGTTTTTTAAACAAATTGGTTTCTCAGAAGAAAAAAGAAGTATCAGAAATGAGATCGTAATGACACATTTTAGGGTCGTACTTTAATCGTTGTGAATGTCTGCATCAATGAGCTGGTTAATATTTAACAGGCGCTGTAGCGTTGTCTCCTAGAACCAAGCTTGTCTGGTCGAGACGACCTCCCCGCCCATCTCTTCTGCACTGATCATTTGTTTTATAATATAATTTACAATGTGAATCTTTATCCTGAAGATAACGCGGCGCGATGCCTCTGTCTAAGTGGCATTTCGTGTTTGGCCGTGTGAGAATTCCGAGAATGCTAAAATGGTTGCACCTCTTATCTCGTATGTGGACACTTGTAATACATCACAACGAGAAACGGGACCCCAATAAATAACTAATCGGAATCGTCAATAATTAAGCGCGAAAAACCAAGCGATCAATAATGACTGTGGGATCTCACGGGACTGTCAATTGAATCACCGATCTCACTTTCAGACACGTCCCGGCATTTCTCACAATGCTCTCAATTGTCGTCCCTCTGTGCTCTTCGCGACGAATCGTTTTGTCCGAAACGCTTTGTAGTGCGGTATCTCGCCACGGGTGCTGTTGGCCTTGGCGTACGAAGGGCACACGAGGGAGGGGGAAGGGACTGGCGCGCGAGTTTGTCTCGGCGTGAGGCTCGCGGAGGAGGGAGGGATGCTGGCTCAGCATTTTCCATCAGAAAAACCAAGGGGAGGTAACGAAGTGCATTTTTTGTACCGAGTGGACCTTTGATCCATCGGGAGGGAGGGGGGAAAGCATTGCTGCCACTGAGATGATCTTTGTGTGGCAATTGGTGAATGAAAATGAGTTTTGCTTACCGATGATGTTGTGTTATTTTCACAGTCGTCAGTTGATATTCTTGGTTCTTTCGGTGAAGTCACGTAGAAGGGAAATAATAAAACAATACAAATATAAAACAATAAAACATTTCTTGCTGTGGATTTCACACCTGATGATGATTGCTTGTGTTGCAGTCGAAGCGTCGTGAGAATTTTTATTGATTTGTATTATGTTATTATTTCCCTTCAACGTGACTTTACCGAAAGAACCAAGAATATGAATCCCTGCAGTCACGAAAGCTTTGAATAAAAATTTAAAGTCGGCAGTTGCTTAAACAATTACACTCATGTAAGTCAATAATTACAGTACTCTATATTTTTTCGTGATAAAATCCAGAGGGGAGGAATAATTGTGGTGGGAATTCCCCTTCACAAAGGAAGGCCGGGCCAGAAATTATATTGTTTTACTTTTTTATTTTTTTATCTGATGGGAATAATTTGCGTTGACAGTGCAATATTTTGAAGGCAATCCCATAAGTGACACTTAACTGCGGCCTATATTGACGGAATCCAGCCCGGGTGGAAGTGTGAGAGCACCTGTCTCACAATGGAAGAGTTACAAAGTTAAAATGATGCTCAACTTGAATCCATCATCCAACCAGTTGTTCAATGAATACACTTGCCCTTGTCCAATTTGAATGTGCAATTGTATTGAGGGACGACTGTGTGTTGTTGTCTTGGTGTGGTCTGGTACCGTTCTTGCTGTTGTTTTGCTGTCTTGATCAAGCTTGGCAATTGGTGTACTTATGCAATATGAACTTATTATATACTTTATCCATTGTACGTATTTATTTTTAGTGATTTCCTTACTTTTTCTATACTTTGCATTCCTAACGTTTATTGTATCATTTGTTGATGTAACGTTCTGACCCCATCCCCCTACTGGACCTCTGTGAAAAAGAGCATCACAGCTCATCGGATTTCTCCAGGATAAATAAAGATTTTGATTCTAAGAATGTGGAAATTCCACCGCTGGTGCAGGATCACCAAACACACGTAACTGTTTTTTTTAAAACAATTACGGTGATTATGTAAGTGACCATCGTTATGTTTCATCAGATATATCCCTTGACCGATTGATCACTGACGTAGCTATCGAGTGCGCAGGCGGTCCAACTACACCGTGGCACCAGAAGTCAGAAGGGGCCCAGGCTCTGAGGCTACGAAGACGTCCGTGGGGGGGATTGGGCCGGGAGCCCCAATTCCTTGTAGCAGGGCCCATGCCAACCGCCACTACGCCACCGCTATCGTCTGTTTGATGTATTGGTTTGCCTGGACCGCAGGATTGCTTGGCGGGACAGAGGGGCTTGTGACCGGCAAGCTGTTTCTGCTGTTGTGCACGTTCCTGCTGGAGGCGATGTACGTGGCGGGGCTGCTGGTGTTCCGCGTCACCAGGCTGCACGGCAAGCACTCGGAGGGTGAGCACAAAATCGTCGGAGGCTAAAACTAGACTCTTTTCTCTTTTACCAGGTAAGGCCCACTGAGCTGTATAGCTCAAACGAAGTGGCTTGTCATCGTGTGGAAATTTACAGCAGCCGAATACTCTAAATGTGTGTTGATTCTGAATGTGGAAGGAAAAACCGAAGGAATTGGAGAAAAATCCATGCAACCACGGGGAGAACATGCAAACTCCAAATATACAGGCACTGTCAGGGTCTGTATCGAACCCCTGACCTCCTGCATACTAGACGAAGTAATTAACATCTCGCCACCATGGAGATTCTCCAAACAAACCAAGCAAATGCATAGAGTCCCAAGCAGCTCAGGACCCCTCCCCAAATTCATGAAAAAATATGGGCACATCAAATATCAACTTAGATACCTCATACACATACCAAGCTAATAACAGTATCATAAATAGCCATTTAATCTTTCTCACACCTCTCTTGCATGATCTGGCTTCTCTCATCTCACCGCATTTCTACATTTGTGTCTACAATTCTCTCATCCAAATCGGTAATAGACGAGCAAAGTAAACAGAACAGTGAGTGCAAGGCCCGAAAATTAAACGTTTCAACAGCACAGACAAACGTGCAGTGAGGCAGCCTTGGCAGCAGTGAGCATTGGTGACTGTGTAGTACTGGTGAGTCCTCATTAGTACGAAACCAGTATACGGGCAATATTTTCGTCTCACTGCTATCTGTTGGTCTGTCACATTTGCTCAATTTGTTGATGGTGACTGAAGACAAGATCACCACAATGCAGTTCTTCAGGAACTGGTGGTTTTGCATAGTAATCGTTAAGATTGTGAGAGCTTTTTTGTTCACAGAGTGCAACGTGTTGTGTCGTTGTGACATGTGGGAGGAGGGAGGGGGGGGGGGTCGGGCAGTTTTGAGAGGAGGGTCCTTCGTTTGATAATCACGGATACAGCTTTCTACCAGGCCTCTGCGAAGAGGGAACAGTTTTGGCAAATACTCTGCGGAAATGTGGAGGAATGAGAACCCTTGACGGGTTCGCCGCAGGGCGGTGTGTTTGGGAGAACCGGTTACCATACTCTTAGGTTTTTTCGGTAAAGTCACGTAGGTAAAAAATATAATTAAAATTAATAAAAGTAATAATAGAAAAAAAAATTACGACGTTTCGGAGGCAACACAAGTCTCCGTCATCAGGTGGGACCCTTAGGGAGCTGGGCCTCAGAATCTAGCTGTGACGGTCCCCCCTGATGACGGAGACTTGTGTTGCCGACGAAACGTCGTGATTTATTATTTTATTTCTATTATTACTTTTATTAATTTTAATTTTACGTGACTTTACCGAAAAAACCTAAGAGTATGAATCCTTGCAGTCACGAAAGCTTCAAATCTGGAAGAACCGGTTACCGCCATCTTGCCACCACGTGACTGCGTCAAGATGTCTGTGTTGCAGTGTCCATGCATGTGTGAATCTGTCAGTTCAACCCGCAACACCTGTGGTCTGTCCAGACACCTCCTCCTGCCAGTGAGTTATCGACACTTTACCTGGCCTCAAAGTGCACCTAGCCTGGCACAACCCACTCTGGCTGACGTCAGCATTACTGGGTGGTGAATGGTAGCTGTTGTTGTTGCGCAGGTGGATTGGTGGCACAATGGTTAAGGAGCTGGGCCTCAGAATCCGGTGGCCTAAGTTTGATTTCTGGCCATAGCTCACATCAGCGGCAAGTTATAACGAATTTTGGGATTCCCCTAGGTTTGCTCGGCCTTAAATAATAAGTGTCCGGTGTGGTGTATTAACATCAGCACTGGGAAGACAAAGGCGGCCGGGCATGGCACTGCCCACAACCACCCCCTCGTGCAATATGTCGACCTTCATAGGTGCTCACCAATTCATTGCTGGATAAGAGTTTCCTCAAGCTTTGCCGGTCATGAGGACTTGTTGACCATACTTCACCATGTTGGTCAGTGCGCGTGGGTTAAGGGTTGGGCGGTCGACCAAGACCGGATCAGATATCACCCGGGAATCAAGCTCACCGGGTTCAGAGTGCATCGTGCTAACCACTGGTGCACCGCTCCAACTCTCGTCAGCACAATCACAATGACACCCACCCTCACTTCTATTCCCCGCACAACAATGAACGTCGATTGATCTTTAAGGGAGGGTCATTTCCAAGATATTTATAATTGCATACACCTTGGTGAATACGTGCCCCTGCCAACAATTTATTCGTCATATTTACTCTTTAAAAAAATATTTAAAAGCCAACACTTATAACTGAGGGGGACATGGCAAACTGGGTTTCTATTTTTACTTGTTTGTGAAAATGTATTTTTGTATAAAATATAATATGGATGATCAGTGGTTTCGTGAACTGCATTAAGCCTTGGCTACCCGAGTTCGATTCCTGCTCGTGGTTGACATCACTGGCGAGCCACATCTGAAACAGTCTTGAAAACTCTCCCCTCCCTTCAGCAACCTTGCACCGACCAGCAAACAACGCTTGTGACACAACATGGCGAGGCCTTCATCCAACAGCGGATTTGCAAAGTGCTGTAAAAATATGAATTAAAATTATTATTAATAATATATATGAATTGCTGCTGGTAGAACAGCTTATTTCTTTAATCTATTTATGGTTCATGGCCTTTACACAAGTGTAGTGAGTCGTTCAGAGACACTATTTAGGAGGCAACAACGTTAATTCTACACTTTACGCAACACCGTTACACACGGGACTAAATACACCTATTTTCACTCTTGTTACGCATAGGACCACAATACACCTATTTGTATGTTCGTGTGTGCCAATCCATGCGTGCGTCACTAAAATTCCACTGGAAACGATAAACGGTTCTCTACTTTGCTACGGTCATTTATCAATAAATACTTTAATACGCAGTCGCTAAGTGTTACTGCGCTAGAGAGCTCATCACGATCAGAAGGTTGTGAATTCAGTGTCTGAGAAACTTAACCCAACACCCATTTGGGGTCAATGATACTAGTACCACTTCATGGGAGTCCAATTGTTGATGATTTGTGGCACTGTAATGTAGACACGGACATCGTCTCTGACCCAATCACCCAGAATGCACCCGATTTAGTCAGATTCCGTCAGCTAAGCAGGATAGGGCCTGGAAATAGTCCTTTGGCGGGTGTCCACAATGCTTAACAGGTGTCGTAGGCTGCTGCTAGACTCTATTATTAACAAAGGGCAGTGCAATAACATCTTATTTGTATCATTATGACATGCTTTTTATTAACTCACTCTCTCTGTCTGTTGTTGTATCCTCAAATCTCCTAACTCAATTTTAACCCACTTCCCAATGTGGTATCGACTGCAAACTTGGTATACTTATATCATACTGATGACAATACTATATTCTATCATAAAAAAACATATATTTTAAAACATTATTTTTCATATGTTATGTTTTGGCTTCGCTATAATTGTCCACGATAAACTGACATTGGCTGTAATTGGCCACGGCCCCCTTACGTTATGGCAAGCTTCGGGGCCATTTCCTAGAGTCGTGGAGTACTTCCATTGCTAGTACGGTACATTTCATTAAAGCGTGTTTAAAAAAAAAAAGGTTTTTTAAATATCCCCACCTTCACCAACCTGCACTGACCGGTGTGGTGAAGTTTTTAAAAAAAAATTATTTTAATCAAATAACCCCAACGACCCGGCGGTGGAATATCAACAAGGGGCTCTGTACGTACCCATGTACAATTAGACTGCCCCACACCATAGAGGAGCGCCACAAACCGGTGTCCACACAGAGCCAGTGAAGTGGAGCCGGTGTACGAGTCAGCTGCCGTGCAGTGACGCCCACGTGGCCCTGGCACGAGCAGGGGGACCCCAGAGATCTCGGCGGTCGGTCACGGTAGAGGTAGAAGCTGAAACACACATTCCTGCGGAAGGAGCTGGTAGGAACGTTGGGTTGCTCGGTCAGTGGCCAGGGTCAACGGCGGCGTGGTGTATTCCGCAAATATGGCCCGACTGTGAGGGCGGGGGCACAAGCCGGCGTGAGTAGGTTAAACGTTGAGTTTTATAAGGGCACCACGGGGTGACCAGCCACTCCCCACCCAGCCAGCCTCACCCCTCCCCCCCCCCACCCAGCCCCTCTCCACCCTCTCCACCCTCTCCACCCTCCCCACCCAGCCCCACCTTCCCCTCCCCACCCAGCCCCTCCCCACCCTCCCCTCTCCACCCAGCCCCACCCCTCCCATTTTTGGATGCACGACGGACGGACGGACACAATAATCGCCTGTGGGCTGGTGGAACCAGGTGGTTCCTACCAGTATAATGTACAGCCCTGCGGTCCCTGGCTGCCCGAAGGGCCCTCCACTCGACGGGGCTCACGACTGGCATGGCACGGACGTAACTTTCACCCAACAGTGCACTGACAAGGGCATTTAATTGAATATCGCCGCTATTATCATTTTGTTTCTTTCATATGGTTGACATAGATGCAGATCGACGACTACAATTTCACGTTCAGGTGGTCAAGCCAGATAGCCGTGTCAGGAGCAGTGGAGTGTATCCCCCGTGATGTCTCCTTCACATTTGTGGAGTGGGCATTGCGTTGTTATGTGCTGTTTGGTCTGTATAATTACACCAACAATTGTCGTCCGCTCCACTCAAGCCCTCCGCCCCGTCTGCCTGCCCGTGTCGCCCGCCCCACCGTGTGTGCACAACAGCGTGGCTGTCTCTGCTCGTGTGGTCCGGCATCTGCTGCGTTTACTGCGGCGCGTGCGGCATCACCGCGCTGGTGGCCGCGCTCGACGCCCCGCTGCCCCCACCCCCGCTCTCCCGGCTACAGCCGCCACCGCCGGCACCACCACTACCGCCACCGTCGTCGCCGCTGCCGCATCCACCGCCAGTGCCGCTGGCCGCCCTCGGAATGCAACCCGGCCTCCCGGAGCCCATGCCGCAGCAGGGCCTCCCTGAGCTCGCACCGCACCGGAGCCTCCCGGAATCCGCGGCACACCCCGGCCACCCGGGTCCCACGCTGGCTCTCGCCCTGCACGTGCTACCCGTGCTGACCAAGACGTTGGCGGCACTGGCCGGGTGCCGCATGTGCGCCGAGTTCTGGTTCGTGCGAACTAAGCTGAGGCTGCCGACGAGGCGAAACAGGGTGCGCTACCCCGGCGAGGACCCCTTTGTCATCGACGCCGCCACCTACACAGGTGTCGCCCCTCACCCCCCACCCGTCACTGAAGTTAGCGAGACTTCGTTAGGCCTCGCGTGTGCCTAGCCCTGCCACATTCCATCGTTTTGCCAAATATGTGCACGCGTGTGTGTTACGGGGAGAAGTAGCACACCGGTTAGCGCGCTACGCTACGAAGCCGGCGACCCGAGTTCGATTCCTGCTCACGGCCAACACCAGTGACGATTATCTGAGCCTCCCATAGGTCGACTCGGCCTCAAATGAGTACCTGCGGCAATGTGTAAACATTACCGGTAGGGAGACAAAGGCGGCCGGGCGTGGTGCTGTGCGGCCTTCATAGGTGCTCGCTAACAGCGCTTGCCCAAACAGTCTGTTCAGGCGATACGGAGGATCTTTGTCTTTGTTGAACTTCTTCCACACTGTACGTAGCCAACCATGCTAATCGGAGGTGTGTGTGTGTGTCCGTCTTGATGTTACGCTTTACAACTAAGGTTGAAAGCGTCCATAACGTCGGGGTTTGGGGGCGCTGTAAAGACGATCCAATATGAATGAAACATGAGTATGACGCAGTGCTGCTAATATGAACTTCCCAGAGAGAGTGGAAACTGGCCAAATCTATCAAAGAGTTTTGCAACCCTTGGAGGGCATTAACCAGAGGCAAAAGATATTTGCAAATATGAAAGCGCGTGTTTCCATGACAGCTACCCTCAGTACTACAAATATAAGGACAAATGCGCCTTGTAAAGTGTTACATAATCCATGCCAATGTTAGATTTTTTTGGTCACTTTTATTCAAACGGCTGTTGCCATAACGTCACGTGACAAAGTGTCCATTTGAAATTTTCACAGCGAGCAGTGCATCAACCCCGTGCCTTTGAGAATGGTCAGCGGAAGGATTTATCACAGAACTACTTTTGAGATTAATGAAATTGGACAAATGTCCCAACGCAGGATCCTTCTGAAAAAGAATCTTCATATTTATTTTGCCTTCCCTCGATTAATAAATCTCACATTTTAACTCTAACCTCCAAACCCCTGTTCACAACCCTAACCCTTATAATAGCTTCCACTTTAATGCCTTACCATTGCACGTTCGCAAAACCACAAGGCAAACCATCACTCCACTGAAAATATAGCAGTAATATTAAATGTAACGTGACCATTCGTTATATCCTTCATGCAAACGCTTGCTCTTAAAATACCAGCCCAAATATGTCGACCCCTGAACTTGCCCTCAAATTCGCCATTAAACTACAAAACTTGAAAGTATTGCTTCATTTTCTCGGAAACACGTAGCAAGCGTGTATTTTTACCTGAGTTTAAAGGCAATGATGCACATGGTCGTAGCATCGGGTCATCGTGTGGCTTTAGGCAAACTTTGGCCTTAAAGCAATTTGCTAAATCTTAAAGACGACATTGGAAATTTAGCTCTGGATGGGCAATTGAGTATGCGACAGCATTCGTGGTGATGTATGGTAATTGAGCTTGGATTGCAATTGATCCAGGGTTGAGCCTGACCGTACTTGGATGGGTGACCATCACAAAACAAATTCCTGTGGAGGGAGCTGCTGGTAGGAACGTTGGGTTGCTCGGTCAATGGCCTGCAGGGTCAACGGCGGCGTGGTGTATTCCGCAAATATGCCCGACTGTGAGGGCGGGCACAAGCCGGCGTGAGTAGGTTAAACGTTGAGTTTTATAAGGGCACCACGGGGTGACCAGCCCCTCCCCACTCAGCCCCACCCTTCCCACCCCCCACCCAGCCCCACCCTCCCCACCCAGCCCCTCCACACCCTCCCCACCCAGCCCCTCCCCACCCAGCCCCACCCTCCCCACCCAGCCCCTCCCCACCCTCCCCTCCCCACCCAGCCCCTCCCTGCACGACGGACACAATAATCCCCTGTGAGCTGGTGTAACCAGGAGGCTCCTACCAGTACTATCAGTACGCTGTAGGCTGTGCAGCTCTCTGGTGGGCAGCAAGAGGGCAGTGCAGTAGAATGTACACATGTATGTATGTCGAACTTCTTTCGCACCGTACGTATCCAACCATGCTCATCGGAGGTGCGGAAAAAACATTGTTATAATGACCATCTGTGCTCCTGCATCTATGCTCCCCACCTTCAACCTGCGCTCACACCACCGTGGTGCGAAACGCAATCAAAATAACTCGCGTGACCCGCACGGCATGGGGAGACCCACGTCCAGCAGTGGATTGGCAATAGGGCTGCACGAGTAGGTGCCTTGTAATTGTCGCATTCGCAAGGCGAGCACAGTCTTCAAGTCAGCATCTTGCCCGTCCAACACCCGCCTGCCCAGAATCCACACGTAAAAATATTAGAGGCTGAACCAAAAGCCGACCGCAACATTGGGCCGTTGTGCACTGACGTACAAACAGGGCTTCTCTCGCCGGAGGGGTACTCCCCGTGCTTGCCCTTGATAAATTACATGGTTACCGACCGGGTGACGTGATGCAGATTTATCGAGAGCTGAATGACTTCTCTGTGACAGGTGTGAGCGATTCCAACCGGTGGTGAAAATGTCAAATGAAGCAGAGTAATTCACACTGGCAAAGAAGGCAAAAGGTCCCCCGTGTAACCTTTAAAGACTGCTGGGGCAAGTGTTGTTAGCATGCACCTATGAAGGCCGGCACGGCATACAAGGGGGTGGGCGGCCATCAATGACAAATAAGACAAAGATCCCCCGTATAGCCTAAACAGACTATTGAGACAAGTGCTGTTAGCAAGCACTTATTCAGGCCGGCACAGCACACAAGGGGGTGTTTGGCCAGCACCACGCCCGGCTGCCTTTATCTCCCAAGTGGCGATGTTTACACAGTGCACCAGGTACTCATTAGAGTTGACCTAGGGGAGGCCCAGAACCATTTCAGATAATCGTCACTTGTATTGACCGTGAGCAGTAATCGAACCCTGGTCGCTGGATTCGTAGCGCAGCGCACTAATTCTGCACTACCACTCGCCATAAATGACACACAAACATACACAAACACACTTAGGCAAATAATTCACACGTAGTTATTTACGGATACACGACAAAATGCACGCTGTTAAACCCGATTCGAGTTTCAACTGTGAACGGTGTCGCCGTGCAGCATCGTGCAGTGTCGTGCGTGGTTCTTGCCTGGACCAGAAAGGTCAAAAATGTTTTTAATTTTTTAATCTCGAAATCGTCCAATTTTTTTTTTCAATCAGTAAAAAAAAAGCAGGCCTATTCAGCAAGAATATTAGTTAGACATTTTATGATTCAATTCATGAATGGGAGAATGTAAACTTCTACGTGAAGATGATTTTAGAATGGCTTCATGAACTTGAATTCAGCGTTTCTCCTGTTCGTGAATACAATAAGAGGAGCCTATTTAGGGATTTAAATGTTTGACTTAACAGCTGTGTGTGTTAAAATAGTTAGCTGTTTATTTACCGATAGGAAGCCTCATTGTGGACTAATCTATGGGAAGTTCCCGATTGAGATTGTTTGGGCAGTTGCATATTGCAGTCCTATTTTTCCACGGTGAGAGAAAACCATAATGCTCAGAGAAAACCCATACATATATTCTTACATACAACAATACAAAGAAAAAATATTACCACCGGTGGCGTAGTGTGGTTGACATGGGTCCGAGTGCATTCCCCCCCCCCCCCCACTCAATGCCTATGCCACCAAAAAACACTCGACGTGAGAACAAACGTAGTATACTTAGAAATATTATGTAATACAACACAGAGAGTCGACTAACATAACAGTCAACACCCTACCTGGTTGATTACGTTCTTCCAAAGATTGCTACATTTGAGAGAGACAAAACACGGACACTATCTGCTTGTGTGTCTGTCTGTGTCTCCGTGTCTGTGTTTTGTCTCTCTCTCTCTCTCAAATGTAGCACTCTTTGGAAGAACGTAATCAACCAGGTGGGGTGTTGACTGTTGTGTTCGCCGACTCTCTGTGTGGTATTGCATAATATTTCTAAGTTAACTATGTTTGTTTTCTCTTTGATTTATACCTGATGATGATTGCTGGTGTTGCAATCGAAACGTCGTATGCTATTATTTAATTTATTATTTTCTCTTTATACGTGACTTTACCGAAAGAACCAAAGAGTAATTCCTGCAGTCATGAAAGCTCCAAATAACACTCGACGTGAGGGCCGGCACCCCATTTGCGCCGCTGCCTTTAACACGAACAGCATCTTGACCTGAACGGTTGAGCTGATCAGTGGCGCCGTGGCGCCGCGCGTGTTGTCGAGACCACTTGTGCATCTCTCGCTGGGTGCCCCGCAGCCGGAATCGCGGGCAGCTGCGGCTACTCGGCGCTGGCCTTCACGGCGTACACGGCCGGCGGGCTGGTGATGGCCGGACGCGGCGCCGGCGACACCGTGTACCTGTGCACCCTCACGCTGCTGCTGCTGTGCCGAGCCATCCTCCTCGTCCAGATATTCATGCAGGTTGGCGCACGCACGCGGACACGCACACACGTTTTCGTACGCACGCGCGCACGAGCGCCACTGACGCTTATGTGCGCACGGGTGCAAAACAAAGGCAACGGTCGCCCTGTATAGTCTTCCACAGCCTGTTGGGGAAAGTGCTGTTAGCAAGCACCAATGAAGGCCAGGATGCTACACGAAGGGATCGGTAGCCAAGACCACTCCCAGCCGGCTTTGCCTCCCCAGTGCTGATGTTTTACACACTGCACCAGGTACTCATTTAAGGTTGAGTCGACCTTGGGGAAGCCCAGGACTGGTTCGGATAATTGTCACTGGTGTTGGCCGTCAGCAGGAATCTAAATCGGGTCACCAGATTCGTAGCGCAGTGCGCTAACCACTGTCCCACCGCCCCGCACATGCACTCACATGCACGCATGTATACACATTTTGACACACACTTATGTGTAAAGGCACATAGGCAAGCATCACTACACACGTGCGCGCACACATGTGTGCCCACGAGCTCACGTGCGTATGCGCTCGCACGTACGCACGCACAATTACAACATCAGCTCCTCTTTTGTAAGAAATAAACATTAAGCCATGGACATGCTAAGGCCAAGTTCAAATTCCAGTTGCCTATAGTCTTCTGCGTGGCCCGAAGTTCAAGCTTGGTCACTGGGATCACAAGTGCGGGTCTACTTTCCCCAGGTAGCTCCCTCACTTCTCCCACCTCACGAGACGACTGATGACGATGGATGTGGCATTGGTTACGCCAGCGGGGCTGCTGCACACTTGCTGACCTGCAAAATTCTTTAAATGTTTTCCATCACGGTCGGCTACATATCTGCTTGTGTTTTTTTGGCCCTGTCGGCATTGTTTTTGTTGAATCGGAGGCTCTGCCCCCTGGAATTATTTCCATGTCTGCTGCAGGAGACCATACTGGAAACCCCCCATGCCCTTCCCCGCTCCGTTTCATTCTACGAAGATGCTTGAAGCACTGCACGACTGTGTTGTTTTTGTACAAAAAAAGTGCTGAAATAAAACACGTACGCGTCAGGGATTTTTCTCACGTTGAGATTAGATTAAGATCTGCAATCTCGTCGTTGTGCGAGCGTGCTGTCTTTCGCGGTACATTACCCGTTTTGTCAGCTGTTCCATTTTTTCTCGTTGCAGAACTGATGGCAAAGCACAATTTAAGCGTGGCTAAAACAAACTCTCTGCCAAGGATGCATTGAATTCATACTTCGAGGCTCTTGTGAACTTGGCATCAACAATCGATATAAGTTGATCGTTTAAATAAATCCCAAGCATGATTTTCGGATTCATATTCTTGGTTCTTTCGGTAAAGTCACATAGAAGGGAAATAATAAAAATAAAACAATAACATTCTCACGACGTTTCGATTGCAACACAAGCAATCATCATTTTCTTGCTGTGGTTTTCACAGCTGATGATGATTGATTGTGTTGCAATCGAAGCGTCGTGAGAATTTTATTGTTTAATTTGTCTTTTTATTATTTTATTATTTCCCTTCGACGTGACTTTACCGAACGAACCAAGAATATGAATCCCTGCAGCCACGAAAGCTTTAAATAAAAAAAATGGTTTTCGGACTTCAACAGGTTTCTGCTCATAAGTATTAACTACTCTGCTTGTTCACCCAGGAAAGCCTCACTGAGCCTCAAGATCCTTGTTCAGGAGGGTCCTGCCAGGTTTTACACAGGAGGGGGCGATGTTGCTGCGTGTAATCCCAATTAAGTAATTTGCAGACATATCATTTTTCAGTATTGGGATGTTTTGGCCAATACCAGTTGCATTGTATGTATATTGTAGCTATGGGATGGCACCGGAGGAAACCCATACAGAACATGGGGGAGCACAAGCTAACGCAGAAAGGCACCGAGTTGGGAATAGAACCCAGGCGCCTCTTCCTGTGAGGCACACACGTTACCACTGCGCCACCTCTGCTCCTGTATTGTGTACAGTGCCGCACAGGCCGTGACACGAACTTATTTCCACGACAAATCGGTTGCACGTGCGCATAGGCCCCAGGCTTAGACTGGTGCGTGGCTATGTACGTATGTTCAACCTTTTTCCGCATCGTACATAGCCAACCGTGCGGGGGAAGGACAACAAACCAAACACAATAAGCAGTTGTAAATAAATTGGCTTCAATGCAGATTATAAAGATTAAAAAGGTTATGGTTGATTTGGCCCACTGATTTGCTAACCCGTCCGTAATAAAGGTTTTTTTGTGTTAGATCGCTTAAATATAAATGTGTCTTCCTGGTTCTTTCGGTAAAGTCACGTAGAAGGAAAATAATAAAATAATAAAAGTAAAACATAATAAAATAATTCTCATGTTTCGGCCACAACGCAAGCAGCCGTCTTCAGGTGGAGAACAGGTCTGTCGAGAAGGCAGAGTCTGACAGACCTGTTCTCCACCGAAAGACGGCTGCTTGCGTTGTGGCCGAAACGTCGTGAGAATTATTTGATTATGTTTTATTTGTATTATTTTCCTTCTACTGTACGTGACTTTACCGAAAGAACCAGGAAGATGAATCCCTGCAGTCACGAAAGCTTTAAATCGAAATATAAATGTGTCGTTCAACCTGCCACCACCTGACACAGCCTATTAGTAAGCTTTGTCACGTAAACAAAACGTGCCAATTAGTTACTACTTCAGCGACCAATATCATTTATTATGGATAATATTGGTCGCGAAAGCCTATGTGTTCAACCTACTACACATGGCTGCGGTGCTGCCCACCCAAACAGCCGTCCACTTTGTTGAGGTCTGCCCCTTGGCGGTGGCGACGGCTCGAAGCTGGACTTGGCAGGTGTGATTGAACTCTACGACGTGCCAATCGAGTGATCGAGTGACATCGGACAGCAAAATGCTGGAATTAAGAGTTGCCCTGTTCACAGAACTCTCCGTCGGCTCTCTGCGCGTGCTCGCAGGCGGCGAGGATACACCACGTGAGGAAAAAACGAGGACTCGACGTCCCCAAGGTGAAGCTCGTAGGGGACTCTGTGCCATAGCGGCGGCCTCTCCGCTGGGGCCGGCTGCCTTGCGGGAGGCGGTGCGGGTGCGGCACCATCAGCCGGGGCGTAGCGGCGCTCCGCTTGTGTGTCTGCGGCGCGTTGCGGCGGCAACAGCTCGCCGGAAACGAACTTTGTGTTGCACTCGAATTCTTGAGTTTTTGTAAATATATATTTTTTCAATCTCAGATCTAATGCGTGTTCAAAGACAGTAAGATGCTGTGGACAGATTCTGCACTGACTTAAAATGGCTCGTTTGTTTGGATTTCTTAAAATATATATATGAATGAGCGTGATGGTTGCACTGCCAGGCGGCTTAGATGTGAAGTTGATGTTGAATTGATCGACCTTCAGTGAGCGATGGCCGCACACCAGCCATCCATAAGGTAACCAATGGTGGAGGGGTTCAACACAATGATTCTGAGTTACAAATGAGATTTTTAGGTGCAATGTTGCCGTGATGAGCGGTAAAGACATGACGTCGCAAAAGGAGGCATGGAGATGACACCGGGAGCTGAACATACGGTACCTCCGTCTAGGGTTGCCATCTCCAGGGCTTCAAAAGAACAATACATATCACGGCAAGAAGAATATTTCACAGTATCGGCAGCGAGGTGATCGACATGTAAGTGTGAGTTGTGTATTTTCTATGCAATTTACAAAACTGGATTTCTCAGGACGGGTAGTTCACAACGAGGACGATACTGGGACAACCGGCACAGGTGGCAAGAGCCTCCTTCCATCCCCTTTGACTGAAATGGTGAAAGGTTCCAGACCTGGGCGTCTGCCTAAGCGAAAACTGGTTTTAAATGTATATGGCGTCATGAACGCCGTGTCTTAATCTACAAAACCGATATCGGCCAGTAACGACCTGAAACAGGAGCACCAAAAGTTCGTGTTATTCTGAGTTTCCAAAATAGTTCACCTCGACAAAACCGGAGTAAGAGTTAGAAAATGCAATGGCCAGCTGTGGGGGATGAGGGTGAACCAGTGGACACTTCACTCCGCATTCGCTCCAGTGGTTTTTGTTGTGAAACTTTCCCGATGAAAGGCATTTAAGTATTCAACAATTAGTGGATGCAGAATATAAACACATCCAGGGCTTGCTTAAGATATCTTTGCCCACAGGACACCAGCGAAGAAACCCCCCCCCCCCCGGCCCCCTCCCTTACACAAATCCCTAACCCTTGCTGCTGGAACACACTCCAATGCAATATGTGGCAGATGGGAAAAAATTGAGGATTCAATTAAAATAGCCTAATCAAGGTAGCATTACGGTAGTATTGTTTGTATTGTTCATCTTAAAATTATAATATTAATAAAGAGTCTGACTTTTTTTATTATTATAATAAATAAAATGTTTTATTTCTCTTTTTGGGCCTCTGGTAATTTGTGCCCTCTACGAATGTATCCCCCCCCCCCCCCCCCCACTAAATCCGGGCTCACTGCCATGTATGGAAAGCTGTGTGCACTGCTAACCCGGTCGGACATATGAATCGCCAATTTGTATGCGGAGGTCAGTGTAATGGGCATTCTGCTAATTGGGATGTGTGGGGCGGTGTGCTCCCCCTGCCCTGTGCACATTGTTTCCCCCTATACTGGTGTGTAAAATGACATTAAAAAATAACGTTCTCAAACGTTGATTTTGCAGTTCAGAGTTTTTTTCAGACATGGTATGCTTTTTGGAGAGATGTAGAGTGCAAAACACTGCATAGCGGTGCTATTGCGGTCAATATAAGTGCTTTGAATAGCACTAATTTACGAAGTATTTTAATACTCAACGCAGAGTCACCCAATTATATTTTTTACTTCTCTGTCTTTGTGAGTGAACCCAGCCCCAGGTGAAAAGCTGCCTTGACAATTAACATGGTTACACCCCACTCGCCAAACCCTGGTCTGACAATTATTCTCATGCGATTCGGGTTCTCATTCTCATGCGATTCGACTTCTAAAATACTCTTTGATTTTTTTCGGTAAAGTCACGTAGGTAAAAATTTTAATGAAAAAACAACTAAATTAAATTGCGAAGTTTCAGAGGCAACACAAGCTTCCGTCTTCAGGTGGAACCGTCACAGCAAAATTACTGTATCAATTTAGTTGTTTTTTCATTAAATGTTTTACCTACATGACTTTACCGAAAAAACCAAAGAGTATGAATCCTTGCAGTCACAAAAACTTCAAATCTAGGCTTCTAAAATGCTTTTCAACGTGCTTCTGTCATTTAAAGTATGAATGAAAGTATAATGATGAATTTTGTACTACCTGCTCTGACATGGATCAGAAACGTTGACATTAATGAAATGTAAAAGTGTGCAAATATTGGAAAGTCGAGAGAGAGAGAGTGCAAGATGTGTGGAGAGGGGTATGCACACTCTTTGGTTCTTTCGGTAAAGTCACCTAGGTATAGCAGCAGGCCATGCTTTCCCACCTGATGACGGACGCTTGTGTTGCGCCCGAAACGTCGTGATTTATTTTATTTTTATACCTACGTGACTTTACCGAAAGATCCAAAGAGTATAGATTCCTGCAGTCACGAAAGCTTCAAATCAAGATCGAGAGGGGTATGGTTGGAATTACATGGCGAAACAGAAAGAGGAACCCATGGATTCGAAGACATACCCAGATTAAAGACATTCTTTTGATTTGTAATAAAGGACTCTCTCTCAGATGTCGATCTCCGTTGTCCTTTATTGGGTTCGTAGAATCTCGATACCACGGCGTCTCGCTCAGGCCCGCGTCCCGCTCGACGACCTCTCCACAGCCTCGGCTGCTCCGATATGCAGTCTCCCTGCTCCTCCAATGTGCAGTCTCCCTGCTCCTCCGATATGCAGTCTCCCTGCGGCTCCGTTAGGCAATCCTTGCAGCCACACCGCTGCGCCGCTATCTAGCGTCACTGCTGCCCTTACACAGCTAGCCTCTCACTGCCCCGCTAGCTCTCCCTCCGTCTGACACCGTTGGCCGACGGTGTCGACGTCTCCCAGCTCGTGGCGACCACGCCACTCTCCCCGTCTTGCCCAGCGTGGCCTCCTCCCGTTTCACTCCGTCTCAACTCCCCCTTCCCCTTCTGGTGCTCTCCCTAAGTCCTCTCGCCCACGTGACCCTAACTCCACCCACTCCCCACGTGACCCAGACTCTGCCCCCCCCTCAATCCTTGCTCGCATTACAGATTGATCAGTAAAATAAGTGGGCTTGTGCAGGACACATCGCTGTAAGAGATGATGAGCGATGGTCGGACATTGACGGAGTGGCAGCCAAGAGATGGAACACATCCAAGAGGGAATTCATGACGGAGACGGAGTGATTAAATGAGTTCATGCAGCTAATCGGTGAATCGTTACATTGCAGAATCCGAGGGGATGGCGGCAGCTTAGAGATGTATTTATACTATTTATATTACTGGAAAGTTCAAGAATGTTCGAGAAGTTACTTCAAGTTACTCAGCACTGAATATATCTGGAATGTTCTAGAAAATAGGTACATTTCTAAATATCATTCTCGTGGTCACAAAAGCAAAGTTTGTGGGGAATAATAGCCATTTCCTGTACTTTTGAGGTCTAAGCAATGAGGAAATAACACTTACTACCAAGGAACAACATTTTTTTTGTTACACAGTGTTTTCAATTTGAACGATAAACTGTATCTTCCCACAGACCTTAATTAGCACACGATTCGAACATCTCTATTGTCAATCCACTGCTGGATGTGGACCTCTCCATGCGGTGTACGTTGAAGTTGAGAAGCATAAATGCAAAATTCGGATCTTGTAATGTTATGCATGAGTAAGGTGTGAAGCGATAGTCCATTCTTTACTGTGCAAAAGGAGATTCTGTCATGTGATCTTTTGTTTTCTCATCATTCCGCATTGATCTGTCCACTGCTGGATGCAGGCCTCTCCAAATCGTCGCCATCTCTTATTTTGTCCTGCGATGTAACGCTCCGTCTAGCTCCTGCACGTGAGCTACGCGAGCTGATGTCAATACTCCATGTCTGCTGTGGACGTCACTCAGACCCATGAGCCCCAGTGCAGTTGCACCGCCTGCACACTCGATAGCCACACCAACTGTTTGATCCTTATCGGCTTTATCGCTCAGGCTCTGCTGCCAGCACCCCCCAATACCCCATACCCAGCAGGCACTCATCTCCACTCTGTAATTGTGCAAAAGATAATTAAATCTAAGGCCCTTCTGAATGCGGCCTCCTCCCTCTACCGCAGGCTCAGATAAGTAAGGAATGCTGCTGCTGAGGAATCTGTGAGCCTCATGCAAAACACCACCAACAATTCCTGAATAACTGCATTGTGGTCTTCTTTGTCTTAGGTCATGAAATACATATATTTCATGGTGACCTTAGACAATAAACAAAAATACTACAATACAATTATTATTCAGGAACTGATGATAGTTTCTGTATAATCCACAGAGGTCGAGTGCGTTATGTACAGTTTAACGAGATGTTAACTACCTCGCCTGGTATCCAGGAGGTCGTGGGTTTGATCCCGACTCTGACGCCTGCTATAAATTTGTAGTTTGCATGTTTTATCCGTCGTCGCATGGATTTTTCTCCAGATTTTTCCTTCTACATTTAGAATCAACGTGAATTTGGCGGCTATACATTTCCACGTGACAAGCCACTTCGTTGAGCTATCATTTGTGGCCAGGTCGTTTCTGAACACGAGCTACACAATAGCTCAGTAGTGGGCCTTACCTGGTAAAATAAAAAAAGTGTTTAGTATGGTTTTCCGGCATGTACCATGACTGCTGCTGCTCTATATAAGAACGGGAGACAGAGCAGAGCCTCACCATTCTGGCGAATTGCCCGATGATGCTGGATGCAATTGCCAGCGAAACGTCGTACTCAAATTGTAAATTGTTGTGGTTTCACGCTTCAACACACCGGTGAGCTAAAGCAGTGAACTAATTGTCCTTTGTCAACGTGACACTTTTTTACTGATTGGCCGTGTCAGGTGGTGGAGGGTTACGACACATTTGTAAATAACGCGATCTAAACCCAAAAACGTTGATTATGAATGTACCACGACTGCTTGGTGATTTTCGAAAAGTTTTTTGGTTTGGCCATGTTTGTTTGTTGTAGTACAGAGTTAGACTGATGGCCTTAATCTAAGTTATCTTGTGGTTGTTGTTGTTGTTTGACTTGCATCCCAATGGGATTTTTGCACATAGCGTTGGTGTACGGTGCTTTTTCTGCAATATTTTGCTGTCTTTTCTTGGATTTTCTGTTTGCACATAGTCACATAGTCACTTTAAGATGTTTTCTTGTTCATGTTTTTTGTTTGTTGTGGTTGCACCCGATTCAAGAGCCGAATGGCTCACAGGGCTCTACCTAATCAATGAAACTTGAGCTGCTGTGATGGGAGATGTCTCGTCATGTCCAGATTTAAATCTTGGGAGTCTATCTTCCCCTTGTGTTCAGCACATAAATAACATCTCCCTGCAGTCGTAAATGTCACTGGCGCCGCCTCGTGGCAACACCATCGGCATCATCAGCTCAATGTCCACTCCCCTGCAAATAAGACACCAGCTCGTACGTCACTTTGCCACGTGCTTTACAATTGTTTTGCACTTTATTCGTTCACTCCCTGGAGCGAAACGTCGGACATCGTGCCGGCACAACCCGAAACGCATAGGAAGAGCCGTACAGGTCAACCGTGGTGCCACCAAAGCAGCTTTATCGATTTATTTGCATTGCAAATAAGAGCGAATTATTCGATTAACCCACTCATTTCAGATGGCAATCACTTAACTATTGGCAACGTAAATGTAAAGTGGGACCACGACAGTTTTGTCGCCTTAGGTGGTGCCGACAATGGAACGAACTCCAGTGGTCGTGCATTTATTCATTTCTAAAGGCGTTTAATGGAACCTCCCACCGCAAATGATATGAAAATAATTAAGGGAATTAAAAAAACGAAATACTGCGCGTACCGCATAGAAGAAAAACATCAATCTCTGCTAATCAACACAAATGTCTGAACGGCATTGTTTAAAACTATCCTTTTTTTTAAACATCACTAAAGACAACACGTGCCAAAGTAATTTAAAGCATCGAGTAAACGCCAACTCATCAATTTCTCATTTCGCAAGCGTGCACATTCGGCCTTTTATAATAATTGACAATTTAAATTCCCCCCACCCGCCCCCTTACAAAAATTATAATCCTATAAAATCACCGACATTTTTTTAAACCAATATGACTTTTATTCATTTGAATCGTAGAATTTTTTTCAAAGATATCTACTTTTTCTACTAAAACCACGATTCACAGTATCCGCCGATAAAATAAAAACAACTGCCGCGTTGACCACGGGGATTTCATCAGCCGCTGCTTCCGCCGAGCGTCTCGTGAGCCGATGCGAAGCTCGCGCCGCCATCTTGCTCAGGGAGGGGGGGGGCGGGGCGAGAAAGCCCCCGGCAACGTTGGAGGGGGGCGCAGGAGAAGGGGCGGGGCGAACGGAGGAGAACTCATTGACACGACCCCCACCAAAGATGGCGGCCGAGTAGCCAAGCCCCGTGACGCGCACAGGCGACCTGGCCATACAGACGAGCGCACATGTTGCTACCCAGGCTGAGCTGCTGCTGCTGCTGCCGCCGCCGCCCTCGGCTGCCGCTGTTGTTGTTGCCGCTGCTGCCGCCACGACCTCCCTCGCTGTCTTCTCTCGCCACTCGCTCGCACGTCAGATTCCGAGCGGCGCAGGCGGCAGGGCGGAGGCTCACGGCGACGCTCGAGGTCAAGCGGTGGTCGTCGTCGTTGTTGTCGGCGTCGTTGTCGGCGGCGAGGGGTGGAGGCGAAGGAGCGGCGCGCGAGATGGGAGACGAAGAGGCGAGGGAAGCCGTGTTGGCCCCGCTCAGGGCGGCGGTGAAGGAGCAGGTGAGGAGGAGGAGAGGGGGGTGGTTAGGTGATGGTGTCTGCTTTGTGTTGAGCTACGAGACTTGTGACTAAAACGTTCTACCGAGGGGCACTGTAATTCGGCTGGCGTATGCACCATGTCAGACTCGTCTGCAGTCTGCACAGGAGACGTGCAGCATCGCACTCTGCATACCGACCACGCCGACATCACATTTGTTTACTTCACCAGCCAGCCATGCCATGCCACGTCGGGTCAAATCACTCGCGTTCGTATTCACCGCACCGGCCATTCCAGATTGCATCAGCCACATCGTATCACGCTCGCCATAGCGTGGTGGGCAGTAGAGGGCAGTGCAGCGAAAGCCATCGTTGGACTGTGCTTCTAATGCCTCCTCCTCTCTTACCTTCACGATTGACCAGTGTGAAGTATGACCAAATAACCCCCCCCCCCCAACTAGCACGGCGTCAAGAGCCCCTCATATATGGGTGGTTTGGAAAATCAGAGGCTGCACATATACACACCAACCACAGCGCCTTAATCGTACCCGCCGAGCTAAATCACTATACAGGGTGTTTCAAAACGATGGATCAAATTTAAAAGCAGTATATTTCACAATGGCAACATGTTACAATTACACGAAAAGTTACAAACGGTTTAATGAGTTATCAAGTTTTACTAACCATTTTATAAATGCTCTATGTGCCCTACACCTGCTGTACGGACAACATCGAGACGATAGTTGAATTCGTCCCAAACGCCTCTCTTCTCACGTTTTCCTCTGAGGTGCGTGGTCGCCCTGTGCTCTTCCCCTTACATAAACAGCAGCCACGCTTCCTCAAATCGTCGGTACCAACGACGAAAGCTCTTTGACATTGGCGGATCAATGCCAAAACGCCGTCGAAACGCACCCTGCACCGCAATTACGGATTCAGTCTTGCTGAACTGCAGAACACACAACGCCCCTTGAGTGTTGAGGGGTCACCGTCTTGCGAATGACTGAGGCAAGGGGCTGTTTGTGCGCTGGGAGAGGCATCTGGCAGTAATCATTTGAAACTCCATGCCACGCCATTTCAAGTGGTTAGAGTTTCATTCATGGGCGGTTCGTGGTGGCAAAGATATAGCGATTTCAAATCGGGTCCATCTTTCTGAAACCTAGGCGGACACCATATGAATCGCCACATCCAATGTACTGTATGGTGGGTGACGAGCTTGTTAACTACTTTCGCTGCCGCCGCGACCCTGACTCCTGCTGTATATTTGGAGTTTGCGAGGTCTCCCCGTCGTCGCGTGGATTTTTCCCCTCCACATTTAGAATCGTGTTGCGTTTTTGGCTGCTGCTGCTGCTATAGCTATACATTTGCACGTGACAAGCCACGTCGTCGAGTTATCATTTGTGATAGCGAGGTCACTTCTTAACTTAGTGGGCCTTACCTGGTAAAATAAAAAATAATGTTTTAGTTTCAGATGGTTTTGTTTTCTGTATAATGACCCACAGCGACCATACTTGCACCGCCCATGCCACATCACCAAACACATCACACACGCACCCTTCTGACCCTGTACTCCCAACTACACTTTCCATGCATATACGGTGTGCCTGGTCGCACAGCGGCCTTGACAACTACGCCCTCTGACCCCACCATCACACGCCGAGGTGACCTTCTTGGTTTCAGTTTTAATGCACGTGTGGACATCGTTGGAATTTAGCACAAACTCGCACAGACCGGCGATGACGCTTGTCAATATCTTTGGAATGTAGCACACCACGTGCACAGACCGGTGAGATCAAATTAGGTCAAATCGGTCCAGTGACCCATACCAGGTGGGTAGGCCCTCATCCAGAACTGGATTGGCAAAGAAGGCTATACGTGTCGTGCATATTTTAGTGGAATAAACTGTTGTTAAATCTCAAACATCAAATTGCGACGATGCAATTATGTAATTAGATGATAAATCAAATTGCCCAAGCCAATTAAAGTTATTTACTGAGATACGTATTGTGTGTGATGTTCATGCCAGTATTTCATACAGTGGAAATAGGACAGTTCCCAAGCGTTTGCTAGACTTGGTGATCCGGGATGAACCATTCGCTTTTTTAAATGACACAGCTTGGGACAAATTAAGACAGAAAGAAGAAAGGAGCGCTTTTGATGTAATCCAGGCCGACTCACTGGCATCTGTGTTTGTCGATAACTGTTGTGTGTGTGTTTTTAGATTATTTTGTTGTGTGGATATCGGCCGCCGCAGCTGTGATTAGGAAATTGCCGTACGAATCTGGCGCCCTGAGTGTGATTCCACGACGTGGCTAACGTCAGTCGAGAGCACCATCAGAACTACCGTAGTCTTAGGTCTTCTCGACCTTAAATGAGTTTCAGCTGCTGTGTTGTAAACAGTGCTGGCGAAATAGATGGCTGGGCGTGGTTCTAGCAGCTCTTGCACCAACGGTCTGTTAAAAGCTACACGGGTTATCATTTTTACATTTTGTGTATGGCGACATAATATACGGTGCTTTCTATGTGAGAGTGCAACGCTTATATGTGGTAATTTAGTCTGGGTTGCATTTTCAGTGATTTATATGCCACTATCTTTGACGTGAAATGTGAATTTAATTACATCGCTGAGCGTGGTCCAAGTAGCTCTGGACCAGATGTAGTTTGCATTTCTCATAGTGTACCTCTGGGAGCCCCATTTCTGCAAGGTCGGTATTGTGACTTCATCAACATTGGCCATTGTCATTCCACTGCTGAATGAAGGTCTCCTAAAGTAAACGCCATCCCTCAAGATTTCCGCGATTTAATAATCCGCCAAGCACCTCAACACAAACTTATTTTATCGCTCCACTCCCGTGGGGGTGGTGGAGAGGCCCTCATTCAGCAGTGGTTTGACAAGAGCGCTGTATATTTCAAATACATAACAGAACATGGTTACTTGTAAACCTACACATTTGTGTGTGCAGGGTGAGCTGGTGAGAAATTTAAAGACGGATGGGGCCCCCAAGGTGGACGTGGATAAAGCCGTGACAGAACTGAAGAATCGCAAGAGGATATTGGAGGCTAAGGTGAGAGAAGGCCATTTTGTCCTGGAACAGTGTTCTTCACTAAATTTCAGACGGAGGGCCACTTTCGCCAATAAGACATTGGTGTGAGATCCGCCATACAGTCTGCAAGGGGTGTTTTCACAGCTGTGTATTATCAGGGGCCGCACGTCAGGGGCCGCACTAAAGGCCACCAGGGGCCGCTAGTGACACGCGGGCCTTGCAATGGAAAACACTGTCCTGGAACATAATCGGTTGAAGGTTTGCAGCGCTCACTATAAATGCATCAAATTTTGCGTGCCATTTTTTTACATTATTATTTTGGTAATTGTATAAAATGTAGAAGCGAATGTGAGATTTTGGCAAATGGAGTGAACAAACTGTACAAATTATACAAATAAGAATGTATTCTTGAATATAAATAAAACATCCCACATAGGACCCACAGAGCTTGGGAAAATGTTTGCACTGTTTCTAGGTGTTCTCCTTGCTGGTCTGTGGTTCCCCCGCCTCCAAATCAATCTCTATTTCTGAGAATGCATGTAACATACTGAATAATAAATTAATTTAATTGTAGGGTTTGAACCAAGATCAAACACATTATAAAGTAGTACACAAGTACTTGAAGTGGTGTCATCTTCCAAGCACATTTTGGCGTGCAGTGCTTCATGGAAAATACAAAAAAACAGTTAACAACCGTGCTTGCGAGGAGTGGTGCACAACCACAAATAAAAAAAAATCAATACATTCATGAATAACACTACCTAAAGAGGAAAAATATATAATGTGATGGTTTCAGTCAATTGCCCTTCTTGATGTGCTGTGAAGAAGGACCATAGCCAAAAATGTTGTCTATTACATATACGCACACACATATAAGTCCTTTTAACGCAGTGTTTTGATGAACATGAGTGTTTTGCCACTTGCGAGCGTATCGCACGTTTTCTCTCTGATGTGCACAATGGTGACGTGGCCTCCACACAGGTTCTTGCCTTGGAGCCAAAGGATGACATCATCGACCGGGCCAAGATGGAGGACACCCTTAAGAGGCGGTTCTTCTACGACCAGGCCTTCGCCATCTATGGAGGTGGGCTCAACTCCGCGGGCCCCGTTTAATTGGTCATTCCGAATTTGGTCTCTCTGTGGGGCTGTATGGTAGTCGGTCTTGGTAGGGGGTGTGGTTTTGCCACTGCTGTTTCACACTGAGGTCGGCAGTGTCAAGCAATTGGTTAGGGACAAGAACGAGAGTTGAGACTCATTTTCCAAGTAAGCCCTTAATCTCAAGAACTGAAACCGAATACAAACGTAATACAAAAGGAAGAGGAACTAATTGAAACATGTGCTTTGAATGACTACATAACCTTGATGTGTGTAGCATTGCCACCATCACAATGGCTCAAATCTGTAGGTACTGAAGACCTGACAGGGCTCCAATCATTTGTGCTGCAGGTGTGAGTGGCCTCTTTGACTTTGGGCCGGTGGGCTGCGCCCTCAAAAACAACATAATCCAGCAGTGGAGGCAGCACTTCATCCAGGAGGAGCAGATCCTGGAGATTGACTGTACCATGCTCACGCCTGAGCCCGTCCTCAAGTAAGTCACAGTGACGAGGAGGTGTTAACTCCCTCGCCTGGTATACAGGAGGTCGTGAGTTCGATCCTGACCCTGACGTGTGTATATTTGGAATTGTGTATAATCTCTCCCCATGGTCGCGTGGATTTTTCTCTGGGTCCTCCGGTTTTTCCGTTCAGATTTAGAATCAACCTGCGTTTTAGAGTATTGGCTGCTATACATTTCCACATGATAAGCCACTTTGTTGAGCTATCATTTGTGGTCAGGTCGCTTCTATAAAAGAGCTGTATAGCTGGGTGAGCTTAATAAAATAAAAAATAGTTTAGTTAGAGAGTGCATGCTGCTCCGAAATCCGTGCTTGCTAAGAAAAATGTGGTGCCATGTCTTAGTGTTTTTATGCTCTCCCAATACGGTTCAAAGCGTTTTTGCGTTAGTTTATTTTTAATCGGGTGAGAACTCAAGAGACCTAGGTTCGTCTCATTTGCAAGCATGATCCTGGGTCACTAAAATGACAAAAAATTACAGCAAAAAAGTGAATAATGAAAAAAATACACAAAAAGCTCCATCACTTAATCAAGCTCATATAAAACATAAATCAATGCTAAATCAATGTGTAAATATAAAATTCCCTGCAGGGCAAATCATGCAAATCGGCTCTGTCCATCAATCTACTCTCGTAAAGATGATTCGGTGTGAATGAACCTGCAGTATAAAGTTGCATTGCTATTCTCGGTACCGTCCAAATTTATCAAAGGATTACCTAGAGCATTGGAGCCGCATCCACTTAAAACAACTGTATGAAAATGCACAAGCGTTTTTTTTTTTTTACTGCCAGCTAGTTATCTGGGGCTTTCATACTGATTAATTATCAATACACTACTTCCGAAGACAATCCCGTGTAGGAGTGTTGCATCTTCCACGCGTATGCAGGATTTTTTCCTCACGCGTTTGATAAAGAATTCGCAGTTCAGCAACATTTAATTTAAATGTGTTGAATACGCTTCGGTTTGTGTGTGTATACCTTTAGAGCATCAGGGCACGTGGACAAGTTTGCTGACTTCATGGTGAAGGACCTCAAAAATGGGGAGTGCTTCCGTGCTGACCACCTACTCAAAGGTGGGTTATCGCATTGCAAACCAGGGCTTAGTTTTTATCAAGTAGTGCTGTGTGTTTGTACACCTTTATTCTAATATGAAGGACCATTGATCCAAAATATATACCAAATCTTTAAAAATATGTTTTATTCTTTTCAAAAAAGTTAATGGTTTCCTGCTCAAATGAGCATTGAGGCTGTGCCCAAATGAGAATTGAGGCAGTGGAAATTCCACATTCCTGTGACAGGAACGTGTATATCCATAAGACAACCACTCTTTGACTTGCCCACAAAAGTGATGCTAATTATGGCACTGTGAACGACTAACGTGTTGAGTTCTTTGCATGCTTGTGCACCATTTCCAACTACAGTATCACACATTATGTTTTGGTTAATTGGGCAACACTTTAGTCCCTGTGAAATCGGTCAATGCACAGTTCAAGTTGATGGAGTCTTCCAGCATCAGCCTTTCAAGACGGAGGAAAGGGAGTGTCTGTAACGTGGTCCTGAATGGTGGTGAGGGTGATGGGGTGGTACTTTGATTGTCCTTTAGCTCATCTGGAGAAGCTCATGTCCGATAAGAAGTGCTCGGAGGAGAAGAAGGCTGAGATGAAGAACGTCATCACACAGGTGTGTGTCCCTCGCGTGCGCAAACAGGGCTCAATTTCACTCCCCGGCGCGTGCCTGTCCGTACCGCTGGCATCGTTCTTAGTATGGGGGCCATGCAGTGGGGGTGTGTAGTGTTGGTTAGCAAGCTTTGACAGAGTTAGGAGCCGGGTGAATTCCTTGAGCACTTGAGTGCATACCGTTAGCATGCTGGGCATATGTATGTATTTTGAACTTCTTTCGCACCGTACGTAGCCAACCGTGATAATCGGAGGTGCGGGAGAAGGGTAGGCTAAAGGTGGAACAGATTTTTACCATTCAGAAAGCTGTTGTCCCCCAAGCAGAAATTTCACTTAGGCCCATGTTCCTCTAGTTGATAAAAGAAACGTAATCCGCTCCTCTAATGATGTGCGCACGCTCAAACGCGGCCCCACTTTTAAATCCACCACCGGATGAGAGCCTCCCCGTGCATTGCCGTCTTTCATAGCAGTTATTTTGCCATACTTCACACTGATCAGTGCGGGTTGGAAAAGGTGGGGAGCATAGATGTTGGAGCAGAGTAGAATAAAATTGATTTTACTGCAATGACCCATACTGGTAAAGTCGCCTTGCAGCAGCCTCTAACACCCGTACAATACATTATGACCTAAACAAATATCGTGTTATTCAATTTTTCACTTTTGATTTTGACTCGGGCCTTTTGACTCAGAAATGGTAGCATCCCATCTGAAAACCCCATGCAATGCAGTATTTAGGATGATTCGTTGACCGCTTCCTACCTTCGACCCTTTGCCCCCTAGATGGACAATTACCAACAGTCGCAGCTGGCAGATCTGTTCACCGACTATGCCGTGAAGTCGCCCGTCACAGGAAACGACCTCTCGCCTCCCCTGGCCTTCAACCTCATGTTCCAGACGTCCATTGGGCCGGGCGGGCAGACTCCCGGGTGAGGCGGCGGGCGGGAGCCCCGGAGTGACCGAGCGTTGCGACGTTGCAAATTTTCCCCCTGCTAGCGCGGCTAAGGATGCTGTTGTGGGCCCGTTACCGATGCGGTAGGCCTTATGTGGCCATGAGCCGTAGGAAATGTCGTGTTGTGAAGTTCTTCATTGTTCATTTTCACTGGGGCCTTTCGACTCGGAAATGTTAGCATCCCATCTGAAAACCCCATGCCATGCAGTATTTAGAATGATTCGCTGACTGCTACCTGGCTTTGACCCTTTGCCCCGAGAAGGACAATTGCCAACGGTCGCAGCTGTTGGTAATACATTCCCAGTTGATAAGCCACTTTGTTGAGCTATCATTTGTTGCCAGGTCGCTTCTGAAAAAGAAATGAATACCTCGTTGAGCTTTACCTGGTAAAATCAAGAATTGTTGAGTTTTATTTGTATATTTTTTAGTGATTCGTTTACCTTTTCTATACGTTGCACTCCTATCGTGTTTTTGTATCGTTTGTTTTTGTAATGTCCTGACCCCATGCCCCTATTGGACACCTGTGACAAAAGAGCTTTATATCTCATCGTATTCCTTCAGTATAAATAAATATTCTGATTCTGAAATGAAGTCGCGCCACCGAGGTTTCCCCGCGACTCGCTCTAACCTGTAAGAGTGACGACCCGTCGACTAATGAGGCACAGCGACGACGAGGGAGACCCCCATTGCACGCCGTGCGAGTGACGCCAACGTGTGGCGCGTTCCACCCATAGGTACCTGCGGCCCGAGACGGCCCAGGGCATCTTCCTCAACTACAAGCGGCTGCTGGAGTTCAACCAGGGCAAGCTGCCCTTCGCTGCCGCGCAGATCGGGAACTCCTTCCGCAACGAGATCTCTCCACGCTCCGGGCTCATCCGTGTCAGGTGCGGTGCCCACGCCACTCTCCGAGCACGCAAACCGCAACCCGACTTGAATGCTGCCATGGTCGCCTAGCAACGCGCGGAGAGATGGTTCTGCAGTTTACCGAGCCCGTTCAGTTTGTCGCCCTGTACCTCCGATGAGCACGGTTGGCTACGTACGGTGTGAAAAGATGTTCAGCATGCGTGCATACATAAGGGGTGAGGGAACCTGTCTTAGAAGACTTTATCGCGGAGATGGGGCTACGAAATCGGATCGTGGGCAGGAGCTAAGTAGATCATTGTGTCACTGGCGACAGCATCGGGAGACCGGCAGTGGATAGGTCATGGCTGATGTAAGGGTTGGTGTTGGGCAACTCGGTGGAGGTTTGTAACTAAAGACGGTTGAACTGAGCATGCATAGAGCTTGGCCAGGGGTGGTCCTAGCCTCTGCTCGCATGGAGGTTTTGTGACACGTGTGTTGTGTAACCTGACAGAGCCATGCTGACGAAAGTAGGGCTGTGTACGAGTTCTTCTAATGCGTCATCGCGACACAACTGTTTCTTTAGGTTGACTTGCAGTCCGATGCTGCGTCTTTCAACTGAGAGCTTCTAGTCAGACCGTGGCCTTCCTTCCCGAACCGCCCCCCCCCTCCCCCTCCCCCTCCCTGAGTTACAATTGCCGCCGCGGCTTCATCGAGAGTCGCTGTGGTTTGCGCAGGGAGTTCACGATGGCAGAGATCGAGCACTTTGTGGACCCCACCGAGAAGCATCACCCCAAGTTTGAGAACATGGCTGACTTGGAGCTGTCCCTCTACTCGGGCCAAGCGCAGACGAGCGGGCGCTCGCCGCAGCGCATGCGCCTCGGCGACGCCGTGCAGCAGGTGCCAATTGTTGTGCCGTAGTGACGAGGAAAATCGCACGCACCGCACCTCATGCACTGTGCTACTCGGTGCGGCGCGAGTACTGAACGGCACTCGTCGCCGGTGTTGTGATTGCCGACGAGAACTGGAACGCGTGCCGGAATCTTTACGTTTTGTCAACGGGAGCTAGAAGGGGAAAGACGTGTGTTTTGGCGGAACTATAGTTGAAGTGGAATGGTGGGAAGTCTACCCATGTGTGGTGAATGGGATGGGAACATAATACAAAATCAGTCCAGAGTCGAGGTTAACTTAACCTTGTACTGTACAAAGTCCTTACAATTTGTCTGACTTTTTTGTATTGGCAAATATTTTTAAAAACGCCTCCATACTGTCTTGCACTAAATTTAGGCCAGGCTTCCTCAACCTTTATTATAAATAAATCTGTTTAGAAATAGGTTGAACTCCTTTTGATTGCTTGCTCAAAGAACTGAACTTGTGATACATTCTTTCATATGAAGAATAGAACACGAACTGGATGTATCCTATTATAATTACGACGCAATTCACGTAAACGCTTGCCCCATCGCCTCCAACGTGCTCCGTCCGAGCACGGCTTGCACGTGACGGCAAGCAAGTGCGGTCGCGTGTCGACACGAGGAGTTGTCGTGCAAATGCAGCTTGATCCCCCTTGACAAGCGTGCGCTCGTGCGTGCACCTGTGCAGGGCATCATAAACAACACGGTGCTCGGGTACTTCATCGGCCGCATCTACCAGTTCCTGGTGAAGGTCGGCGTCAAGGACGAGCACCTCCGCTTCCGCCAGCATATGGACAATGAGATGGCGCACTATGCCTGCGACTGCTGGGACGCTGAGACGAAGACCTCATACGTGCGTGTGCCCAGACTTGCGTAACGCACGCGCTTTCTAAATGACGTGCGGGTGTAGAGCCCCGAATCGGTATGACCAGGGGTGAGGGGTGTCCGGCCTGTGGGCCCGATATGGCCCATGGCTTAATTTCATACTGCCTAAAGCCGCACGAGGTGTTACCGCTTCGAAACGGCCGGCATGCTTTTGTCCATCACTGAAACATTAGCTGCACTAATGGAGTACTAGAGGGGGAACATTTTTTGATCTGACCAGACTCTGTTTCAAGTTTTAACGCACTCAAGTCACTTCTGCCACCGCAAGGAGCTCTTCGCACTTGGTCGACACACCCATTCATTTTTTTTTCATTTTTGGACGACGCTAAGGTGTCAATGCGGTTCCCGCCAAAAGTATTTGAAAGTCCTTTTTAAGCCCACGGTTGGGAAAGGGATTCCCCACCCCTGGTATAAACACTCAACACGGTGACTCCGGATGGACAGGTGGACTGCGGCATAACTCTACGTGTGTCGACACACACTTCTTCGGTGGGTGTTTTAGTAAATGTAATGGCGCGTGTGTGGCTGGCCGATTGACGGCACGCGCTGGCGGTGCGGTGACGCCGCGCGCTGCGTGTGCTGTCTCACCAGGGATGGATCGAGGTGGTGGGCTGCGCCGACCGCTCCTGCTTTGACCTCCAGTGCCACTCCCGTGCTACCAAAGTGCCACTGGTGGCCGAGAAGCCTCTCAAAGAGCCCATATCCTTCACGGCGCTGGTGGTGGGGGGGGGGAGGTGCGGGGGTTGTTATTGTATGAGAGGTCAACTTTACGTTCCATTGGAAAACATCTCTCCGATGCGTTTTTTGGTTCGGCGTGATGTCTGACGTTTAGCTTCATGTGCTGGGAGCGGTAGAGCACAATCGCGACAATCCTATTTAAGGGGGATGTTAACTTTGTGAAGCCGTCCTTGATATGAACGCGTGGTTAGGTCCGCTTTGACAGGCTTACTCGCATTTAACACAGCACGTAGAGTGACCCCCATTGAGAGAAGCCCATGATGGGAGAGGCCGTGTTGAAGGGTAGGAATTGCTGTCCTTGACCGATCAGCTCACAAGGTGGTGGAGGTGGTGCAGCTGGAAGCTAACAAGGGCATCGTTGGAAAGGCCTTCAAGAAAGATGCACGGCTGGTGAACAAGTTTCTGGAAGATTGCGACAGCTTCTATATCGAATCGGTGGAGAAGCAGCTTGCAGAGAAGGGGTAAGAGCAGTTGCTCGGTGAGCAAAGTTCATCAACGGCCAAGTAATGTGTATAACATAGCATTAATAAGTATCGGATGCTAACTAATAACAGGATCACAGAATGCATCGCGAGGTGTGATCATCTTGCGGAGTATACATGTTCTGTTGTCTGGCTGTGCTGCCTATTGATATGTATTGGCGAACACTTGTGATCCAGCGCTTTGGTGGCAAAGGTTAGTGAATCGCCTAAATATGAGAAACATCAAAATCTATTGGGATGAAAAGTGGCCACTGGCAGACCAGCAAAAACCCATCTGCGTGGGCCTTTAAGTGTTACCCCCTTTATAACTCCAAGAATTCCTTTTTGCTCCCACGTTCTAAAAACACGTTCAAGGAATTGGCCAAACATCCTGGTATAGGACAATCCTGAAAAATCGTTGTTGATGCTTTTTAGAACAAATATTGTATAATAATCCAGACAATCCCCTACCACTGGACACAGCACGGGGAGGCTTTCATCCAAACGAATACATTTTAACGTCACACTCATTTTACACAAAGTGCTTGCTACAAATTAACCAAAATACCTCGATGATCTTGTCAAGGAGCATAAACCATCACACAAACTCCGGTCATCCTCGCAGTGGCTTTTGACTTACCATCGAATAAAGACGGTCACTGCATCGAGCGCTTTCAGATGCACTTCTGCGGCCGTCTGGAACGCTCTTCCGATATTAGGAAGTCACTGGAGCTATGCACTTTAAAATCATCTAGTTTTAAAAATAATTTCTCTAGAACTGCTGTTTGTGTTTAGTTTGGTGTCCTTCCCCCGCACCTCCGTTGAGCACGGTTGGCTTTGTACAATGCAATACTATCTTTGTTCGATGGCTAGCCAAAAATAAAAACCGGAAACGCATCGCAGGGCCATACAACAATAACAACCACTTGCATATTAAATAATCGTGAATGCCTGATCTCCCCGTTCTCGCAGAGAGTTCAGCTTTGAGGTGGAAGGGAAGAGCTTCACTCTGTCCAAGGACATGGTGACTGTCAAGCGTTTTCAGAAGACACTCTTCGGTGAGTGGTGGCAGTGAGGTTCTTGTGTGCGTCTCTGGCTGGCGTTGTAATCCGTCCGATGTCAGCGTCCTTGGTTGGGGAAGTGAAGTTGCGGGGTTCTGACGTGAGAGGCATGTTCGGTCACAGTCGCCGTGACGAAATCAGCCAGAATGCTCCTGATGTCATCAGATCCGAAGCCAAGCAGGATTTTGCCTGCATAAATGCTCGGATGGGAGACCACCATGCACCACACCGGGTTGTCATGAGCAGCTGTGTGGCGATCAGCAGAGGGCAGTGCAGTCCATTGTTGTACTGTGCTTCTGTGCTCCCGTATATCTATGCTCCCCACCTTCAATCCAAACTGATAAACATAGTAAAGCATTTCAAAATAACCCCCATAACCCACAAATTTCCTCAGTGGGTGAAGCCACAGGACAATCGTCGCCACCTACTGTGAAACCCCTGCAGACTATAGTGCTTGAAACATGGCACCTTTGTGATCCCGCATCTCCGATTAGCATGGTTGTCTATGTACGGTTTGAAAGAAGTTCAACATACATGACAGGAATGGCACAAATACCAAATGTTCTCATGATTTGATGTTTTGTTGAAAATGCGCCATGGGCAGCGGTTTTTAAAGGGCACGCATCTAACCTCGTTGCTGCTTTCTTCCCCCAGTGGAGGAGGTGGTGCCCAACGTGATTGAGCCATCGTTTGGAATCGGCCGCATCATGTACACCATCCTGGAGCACAGCTTCCGCGTGCGGGAGGGTGACGAACAGAGGACGGTACGCGTCTCCGATTCGCACGGTTGGCTACGTACTGTGGCGAAAGAAGTTAAACATGCATAAGTGTGCATGCATACATCAAATATAACCGGAAATTGCGAAGAGTACAAAGCCTCATAGACCAATGACTGTGACGATAGCTTCGAACCTTATGAAGCTGGAAATGTATCACTTGGTGACGTTGCAGCCAAGAATAGAAGTGCTGAACGAGTTTCCGTTCCACCAGAGCTGCAGACAGAGCTGGGGTGGTACCGCGGTCGGCGAGATGTTAACTTTATCACCTGGTATGCAGTAGGTCGTGGGTTCGATCCTGACCCTGACGCCTGCATAATTGGAGTTTGCTTGTTCTCCCCGTGGTCGCGTGGATTTTTCCCTCCACATTTAGAATCGACGTGCATTAGTATTTGGCTGCTGTCAATTTCTACATGATAAGCCACTTGATTAAGCTATCATTTGTGGCCAGGTCGCTTCTAAATAAGAGCTATTTCGCTCAGTGGGCCTTACCTGGTGAAAAAAATGACGTCGTTTAATAGTTACATTTTGTAATAGTTTGATATTGCCCACCCCCCAACCAACCCCATGTGCCCTCCTTGTTCCTTGCAGTATTTCTCCTTCCCGCCCACCGTCGCTCCCTACAAGTGCTCCGTGCTGCCTCTCAGCCAGAACCCGGAGTTTGCGCCCTTCGTCAAGATGCTGTGTGAGTGGGCGTGTGCCGCGCCGCGCGGGCCTGGTCATGTGGGTGGCCGCCCCGAGCACACAGGCACCATCGCGCTGGATTGCACGCACGCACGCCTGCGCATTTGTGTTGTGAGCGATGCCGCGCCTGCGCATGTGGCGTTGATAGCCTGCAGGTGGCTCTCATGTCCATGTAAACAATTCACTTTGGCATCGTACATACAGAGGAATGAAGTTGTATTAAACCGAATTAATAAACGTCACTAGGGTGGGACGGTGGCGCAGTGTTTTTGCGCACTGCGCTATGAACCTGGTGACCTGAGTTCAGTTCCCAGCCACGGCTAACATCAGTGGCGAGTGATAGCGGGACCGGTCCTTCGCCTCCATCCCGATACCAATTGGCACCGACCAGCCTGGTAAAGTACGAGCAACAAACCCCCGCAACTGACGCCGCGTGGGGAGGCCGTCATCCAGCAGTGGATTGACCAAAGGCTTGTCATTATTATTAAGATACTTGATGGTAATTTGGAAAGAATAAGATCAGAATTTAAATGTTTTTTCATAAAGTAATAACCCTTTACAGGAACCATTATTAGTGGGCCATTCGTAGACCAAACGTTCACTCAAATTGCAGTCCCTTTGCCGCACCTGCAGTGCTTTAATTACAGTCGTTACCTAATGACTGTTTAATCAGCAGGGGGAAAGAGGGGGGGAGGACAGTGTATGTATGTATTTATTTTTAAGTTCAGATCATCGTCACTGGTGTTGGCCGTGAGTGGGAATTAAACTCGGCTCACCGGATTCGTCACACAGCACGCTGTAACTGCTATACTACCGCTCCCCAAACGCGTGACACACCATACGTGACACGCACCATGCGTGACGCACACCCCTTCACGCGTGATGCGCGTGCCGTCTTGCCCGCAGCGGAGGCGCTGACGCGGAACGGAGTGTCGCACAAGGTGGACGACTCGTCGGGGTCGATCGGGCGCCGCTACGCGCGCACCGACGAGATCGGAATCTCGTTCGGCATCACCGTCGACTTCGATACCGTCAACCGGCAGCCCCACACCGCCACGCTGCGCGAGCGGGACTCCATGCGCCAGATTCGCGCCGAGGTGAGTGCGTGGTCAGGGGCTCCTCATTTTGTCAAAGGAAGGCAAGCGATGAAGGATAAATGGTTCTTGTCGTCATTATCTTAAGCCATCGTCGATCGTCGCCGGCTATGGATGAAGAATTCTCCAATTTTTTAATCCTTTATATTAAGTTCGCGTGCTTGCTTGCTTGCGTGCTTGCTTGCTTGCGTGCTTGCTTGCTTAGGACCGTGCAAATCTTTCGGTCGTTTTTTAACCCACTTCCTGTGATCCAATCGAGCTGACATTTTCCACACATACTCGTTGTGCCAGACAATTATTGTTCGTGAAAAAATTCCCAAAATTTTACACTTTTTAGGCAAAAAAAAATTATTTTACATATATTCAAATAGAACGCATTCATGGCTTTGGCTGAACGTCAGAGTGTAAGAGCCCAGAGCGTAACCCCTCCACAGGCCGTGGCGGAGTAGCGCAGTTGGTAGCGCCCTCGCTTCCCATGCCAAAGGTCGCGGGATCGATCCCCGCGTCCTCCACAGGCGAATATATTTTTTAATCCTTTATATTAAGTTCGCTTGCTTGCTTAGGACCGTGCAAATCTTTCGCTCGTTTTTTAACCCACTTCCCGTGATCCAATCGAGCTGACATTTTCCACACAGACTCGTTGTGTGTGACAATTAATTTTCGTGAAAAAAATCCAAAATTTTACACTGTTTCGGGAAAACAAATTAAATATTTAATTACCAATTGCTTAATGGTGGCAGACAATCATCTGACCCATAGGTGGCAGCCATCTCAAGCCAGAGGACGAGAGGACTCGAGCCGCCACGCATATAAAGGATTTATAGTGAAAAACTTTGTTTTTTACGGGTTTACTTGTTTGTCTTTCCGACAGCTCTGTTCTTCACCTGAGGACGGTTGCTTGTGTTGTGGCCGAAACGTCGTGAGAATTTTATTATGGTTTATTTTTATTATTTTATTTCCCTTCTACGTCACTTTACCGAAAGATCCAAGAATAAAATTCTCCAATTTGTTGCCCGCTTTTTTTTTACAGTCTTATAACCCGAGAAGTTATTCACCATCTGAGATTTGCTGATGTCTTGGTCGTTATAGCGTCCACTGGAAATCAACCGCACGAAATGATACTTTGTTCGAAGGCTGCAGAATGAGACAAATTGGTCTACCTTGTACAAAACTAATAATGCGTTGTTGCTGGCAATTACTTAAGCGTGATAAATTAATAGACCAGAGTGTTTCGCCACGTTAAAAAGACATTCACTCCATAGTTCTTGTACATTCCCGGGCTGTGCGACAAGTTTTAGCTTCATTGATACAAATAAGGGTCTTTAAAGTTACTATCGGTCTTTTATTGAACAAGTTGCAATGTTGCGTATGACACAAGTGGGCATTGTATCGGGTCGTCTGGGCCATGTTACTCCACCCGTGCCGCTCACCTCTCCTTGTCCCGTTACACACCCCACTCATGTTGACTTCGCACTTATCTAAACGATGTCGTCAAACTGCCAAACCCTTCACCACCTCATGTCCACCTGTTCCTACTTCCGTGACAAAAAAAAAAAAATACCTACGACTGACCCTGCATCCACCTCCTCTGGAGCTCCACTCACATCTTCCCCCCCACCCCCCCCCCCCCCCCCCCGTCATCTCTGTGTCCTCCTACCCCTCTCCTGGATCAGGTGGACGAGCTGCCGGGCCTGGTTCGGGACCTGTCCAACGGTGTACTCGCGTGGGCCGAGGTGGAGGCCCGCCACCCGCTTTTCGAGGGCCAGGAGACGGGCAAGAAGGACGTGGAGGAGTGAGAGGGCATGGGGAGGGGGGGCACAGCAGAAGCTTCCTCCTCGGGCACCCGCTCGTTGTCACGTTCAGCCACTCCGCCGCCCCCCCCCCCCCCCGCGCTTCCTCTCGCCCCAGCCCCGTAGCGTGACCTTGTTTACAAGGGATGGCCGATAAACAACTCAGGGGGACGCACGACACGGTCAACGTTAAACAAACTTCAAACGATTGAGCGCCGAACGCATTGAGTAATGACGTTTATCTGCCTTTGTCTATCATGCACATTGTGTTCTCTTACTCATGTGTATGAAAAAGTCGACTTTTAATTTTGCTCAATTGCGTCGCCTATTGCAAGCCATCACATCTGCATTGACGACGCAGAATTGTGGTAACGTGCAAACAAATATGCTTCCGTTGTCAGCATTTTTACAGTTGTGGCACCACGGTGGCACAAGGTATGCAGGAGGTGGAACAAGGTATGCAGGAGGTCGTGGATTCGATCCTGACCCTGGCAATGCCTGTTGTGGTATGTTTGGAGTTAGCATGTTTTACCCGTGGCAGCATGTTTCTTTCTCTGGTTCGCCCAGTTTTTCCCTCCACGTTTAGAATGGACGTGCATTTCGAGTGTTTGGCTGCTTCTATGAATTTCCACATGATGAATAGTCACTTTGTTGAGCTATCATTTGTGGCCAGGTCGCTTCTAAAAAGAGCTAATAGCTCAGTGGGCCTTACCTGGTAAAATAAAAAGTGTTAGTAAATGATTGTTCAACTGTGTCCCTGCTGTTGTGCCATCAGCAGGGGGGGGGGTGGGCTTAGTCCGCTCTAGCCCCCACACCCAACGCTTGCGTGGCTGTCTCGCACTTTTGTGGACGTGACCGTGGTTTTCCTGCCAGGACCTTGGCCAACCGCGGGTGCAAAGCGACCTTTCTCGTGTGTTCCGTCGCCACGTGAAATTCCCTTGGTGAAAAAATCCCCCGTCCCGCCTCTCGCGCGAATTTCAAAATAATACTTTTACGTTATTCTTTTTAGTGGAGTGGGGGGGGGGGGGGAATTATGCCATCAACAATTCCCTTCACGTTTGTGCATCGCATTGTTAATTTGCGTTTAAATGACTGTTTTTAGGGAGGAAATTGATTGGTGTCTCGTGGGGAGATGGTTGAAAGTGCAATGTCGACGGGTCTGTGTGCTGCCATTTTTGACCTCCGCCTCTTTGCTCCGTGTATCAAAGCGCTCCGTTTCCTGCTGGTTCAAATCTCGGGCACGCACAATTATTTGGGCTCATTCCATTTTATGCCGATTGTTCATAAATAAACGGCACGTGGTTTGCTCGGGCTGCTGTCGCCGTGTTTGAGAATCGATCGTTTTCGTGAACACAAGTCCTGCCGTCCATGTCAGAAATTCAGTAATTTTGGATCTAATTCTGCACCGGGTTGTCAAACGTCTTGTCAAATAGGGAAACCTTTACATTTGAATGGTAGAAGGCTGATGACCCTCTTTCTTGGCAACTGCCACCCTGTGCATATTCTAACATTGCTGGTTTAGAGGGCCGGTTTGCATGTCCTGTTGTGTAGACTGCTCATGGCTTTTAACACACTGGTCAGAATCGCTGGTGATTGCATTTACTCTGAACTTGAGTTCACTTGGATTTTTCGAAGCGATCGCATCCACAAGCCGAGTGGGACGCTACAGCCGTTTAGGGGTCATGCAACTCGCCCTCAGGTCACAAGGTCCACTGCAGAATCGAGGGTATTTTTTGACGCTTCATGATTAAGATTGTAAACATTAGTTCTGTCTGCCCAGAACAGAGGAACGTAACGCATGAAGATGATGCAATACTATTGAGACGTCGTATAAAGCAGTGTTGCCAATAAGAGCTCTGCAGAAAACTGCCCAAACTAATCAAAGAGATGCCCTCACACTCCCTGGCAGAGGCTCCATTTGAGGCCCGTTAGCTCATGGGGGGGGGGGGGGGGTGTCTGAATGGATTGCGACCTTCACCTGTAGCGTGAGCGCGATCATTCGTATCTGTAAATACTTCTAAGGACAAAGGATGTTGTAAAGCATTGAAGAACCCATGCATATGCATGGTTTTTCTTCACTGTTACAATATTAGTAACTAGGGCTCGGCAAGGTAAATTACCCTTTTCACCGGATAAAAGGGTAAAGGTGTCTACATGCCAAGGGGTAAGGTAAAGGGTAGGTAAAGGTAGCTCGGAAAAATTACCTGGTAGGGTAAAGGTAGTGCGAAGTATTACCCGGTAAATACGGTACCTTGTTTACTGCTAAAAGCTCCGTGGCACAGTCCGTGGCCTCCATTTAATAAGTAATATTAAAACAAACGTTATTAAAAACACGCTTTTATGAAATGTACTAGTAATGGAATTACTCCACGACTCCAGGAAGTGGCCCCGAAACTTGCCATAACGTAAGGGGGTCGTGGCCAATTACAGCCAACGTCAGTTGAGCGTGGACAATTAGACCCAAGCCGAAACAACATTTACAAAAGGATGTTTAAAAATATATATTTTTTTATGATAGAATATAGTATTGCCATCAGTATGACCTAGGTATACCGAGTTTGCAGTCGATACCACATTAGGAAGTGGGTACAAATTGAGTTTTAAGATTTGCGGATATAACAATAATAACGACAACAACAGACAGTGAGTTAAAAGAAAGCATGTAAAATTATAATCATCGAGAGTATTCTCTATGATTAAAGCGCTCTACCTATAGCATTTACCATTATAAACCTTGTTCATGTGTAGTAGTTCCCTAGTAATTACCCTATAATCGGGTAATTTGTATGGGGTAAGGGTAAAAGGTAGGGTAAAGAAGGTAAGCTCGTTGCTTTTTTACCTTACCTGCTAACGGGTAAAAGGTAGGGTAGAGTGATTGTATTGTGGTAAGGTAAAAGGTAGGGTAAAGGTAGGCTCGTCGTTTTTACCTTAACCTTACCTTGCCGAGGCCAATTAGTAACTCACCACACACCCTGCGAGCTTTTGAAGCATGCATCAAAAAACGCTTAAAATGTTAAATATCTCGGCCTCGCTGTGCGCTGCGTTGCACCGCTAGTCGAGTAGATAACCTTGCGTTCAATAAACACTCGGAGCCAGGATGAACGTCCGACTCCAATCATTTATTGATTTTAACAAGGTAAAACTGGTGAGAAAACACAGATACAGCATCTGTTATAACCCGGAAACACCAACACAATGAACACCACAGCATCAGAACATTGTCTTAGATAACAATAGATCCTGGACGGACCAGGCCCCTACATTACCACTGAACAACTACACAAGAGCACGAGCCAGTGCGTTGCATAAAGGCACATCGTGTATTCATCCCACTGCACCCTAAATGTACAGCATTACACATAACACTAAACTGTGGATGAGATACTTCGTCATCTTTGCTCTCAGGATCGCAACATAGCCACCTGGGCACAAGTTTGACTCGACCTACTAAATCACAAGTAACATCCACAATAAGGAAAGTTGCAGGCTTCGTTGCTAACTAGGCCTCGTATTTACCACAACAACTTAACGGCACCATAAAGGCATTTACATCACTATAACGGTCATTCCAACATTACAACAGCATTGCCAATATAAAAATATAAACAAACTTACAGACAATGCTTCTCAAAGTCCCACGATGGACAACTGTGTCTGGCTTCACTAAGACGTGATGTGTGCCGCCATTTTGACTTATCTGTGTAATGGCCGACGCCCGCGTGGTTCAGTGGAAATCTAAAATCGTAACTTCCTGGTCACGTGACCAAAATTAGCAACAAAAACAGGAAATTCCTGTGTAAATACGCCCCCCCCCCCCATCTGCCGTGAGGCAAAACATTTAACCTATTGCCTACAACATTTTCTGCACTCCAATAATTCGAATAATATACCTTCTTGGTTCTTTCGGTAAAGTCACGTAGAAGGGAAATAATAAAGTGATAAAAATACAACAATAAAATTTTCACGACGTTTCGGCCACAACACAAGCAGCCGTCCTCAGGTGAAGAAACAGAGCTGTCGGAAAGACAGCGTCCTAATGAACACTGCTAAGCTTGGCAGCGTATTTAAGCTGGGTGGGAGGAGGAGAGCGGCGCATCTGGAAGCGCGCGATGCAGTGATCATCTTTGTTCGATGGTCAGCAAAAAAACGCTGCTGTGAAGATGACCGGAGTTTGCGTCATGGTTTAGGGGCCGTCCATAAATGACGTCACGCACCTGGGGGAGGGGGGGTCAGACATTTGTGACGAGGGGGGGGATTTGAGAAATGTGACGTCACATCAAAATGCGCAACTTTAAATAAATATCGAATTGCTATAACAACACTAATTGTTATAACAACACTCCTACAACATCAGAGTGCAGCGCTACATTAAATACGCACTACAATAGTTTAAAGCGATTTGAAGCATGTTTTATCCTCAAAATGTAAATATGGTTTGGGGGGGAGCTTTGTGACGTCATATTTGAGGGGGGTGGTCTGACTTTTTGTGACGCCGCGTGACAAGGGGGGGGGGGGAGATCGTCCAAAATCGCGTGATGTCATTTATGGACGGCCCCTTGAGATAGGCAAGGTAGTGTGTGGTTCAATTGTGGCTTGGGAGAATTTAATATGACCATTCCAGTTTTCCTACAGAATGCAAAAGGTAACTAGCGCAAGGCATCTTCTTGGTTCTTTCGGTAAAGTCACGTAGAAGGGAAATAATAAAATAATAAAAATAAAACATAATAAAATACAATTCTCACGACGTTTCGGCCACAACGCAAGCAGCCGTCCTCAGGCGAAGAACAGGGTTGTCGGAAAGACAGCGTCTGAATGAACACCACCAAGCTTGGCAGCGTATATTTAAGCTGGGTTAGGGGAGGAAGGGCGACTTATTATTTCCCTTCTACGTGACTTTACCGAAAGAACCAAGAAGATGAATCCCTGCAGTCACGAAAGCTTTAAATCGAAATTTAGCGCAAGGCAGTAACTTGGAAGTGAGGAATAACGAGGGAGGGGGGGGGGGTCATCGTCACCGTGGAAACGCAGCTTTTTGTTAAGACAATTAGGCTTTGTGAAGATTCCTCATCGATCTCTTTGGCGTTTGTCACTTTCTGTGAAGTAGCACTGCACAATACAAGCGTGCGCGCGTGCGTCGAAATTAAATATCTTGCCAGACTCTTAAATGGCATTCGTGTATCGATGTGTTAATGCTTACACTGGTGGCTGCCCCCCCCCCTTCCCTAATGTAGAACTTGCAGTTAAGCGATTGGTATAAACACATTTCTAAGCCCAACAAGTTTGTAGAAGCTGCATCGGTTGTCCTCCCAACGTTTTGTTTTCTCGGTTGGGCCATAGACGTCATGCGCTTGCAACGTCTGTTGTCAAGGGAGTGGATTATTATATTTCTTTGAATCAACAGCGGTGACTGCTCACGGTGAAAAGACAACGTCTGTGGTGCACGAACATCCCCGGAGCACATCGACTCCTCGTTTCCCGGTGCCGTGACGACGTTTGGAGGGGGGGGCAGTGCGTTTGTCGAGTTGGGGAGGGGGTGAAGTAACTTTAACTTCAATTGTGCCTGGAACATCCGGAAGCTGATAATTGCTGACCTTTAACCCCACAGATCCATACAACCGCCCCGGGTTCCCGCAGCTCCAATGTATGCGTTCACCACCGACTAATGGCGCGTTGAACGTGTGAAACACATTCCTGCGGAGGGAGCTGGAAGGAACGTTGGGTTGCTCGGTCAATGGCCAGGGTCAACGGCGGCGTGGTGTATTCCGCAAATATGGCCCGACTGTGAGGGTGGGCACAAGCCGGCGTGAGTAGGTTAAACGTTGAGTTTTATAAGGGCACCACGGGGTGACCAGCCCCTCCCCACCCAGCTCCACCCCCCACCCAGCCCCACCCTCCCCACCCAGCCCCTCCCTCCCCACCCAGCCCCTCCCTGCACGACGGACGGACACAATAATCCCCTGTGGGCTGGTGGAACCAGTGGGTTCCTACCAGTACACAACCCAGTAGTCATACCTTGTTTTTCACCGACAATATTTGATTCTCGTATATGAATTGCATAACAATTATAATCATACCGCAACACCACTGACGCTTCTTGTTTGATTCTCCCTCTTGAGACCAGTGATAATTCATGATCTTAATCACTCTGCTCATCAATTACAATGGGAGTGATTTCAATAACTGTCTGCATTTGCACAATTGGAACCTCCTTTGCCAGTAGCAAAATATAATAATTGTTTTTTTAATCTTTTATCTGGCAATACAACTGACACCTATTTTTACAAGGAGTCATGTTTGCATTGACCACAATACCTGCGGTCGAAATGCAAAAAAAAACATAACTCTGATCATGTATGTACTGTCCTTGAAATTGATTGGTCCACACCCGAGACAGCTTTTCTTAGAACCTAGTCTCACATGGTGTTGTACCAGATGACGCCAAAAGGCGCATTTGGCCAAGTGGCTCGAGGAGACAGAATCCTGTCTGATAGGTGAACGTAATGGCCACTGCTGCGGTGTCAGTCAAAGAGAAAACGGCAATAAAAATCATAATTATTTTAATGAAAGTGCACACTTTTACATAATGCACACTCGTACAGCGGACACCAGCGAAATACCGGGCCATTCAAATTGAGAGCAGATAACCACTTACCGAAGGGTTGTTGGAGGGTCCCTTGGTGGGGTGGGTCGTGTGCCAAATGAACATGAGGCCACAGCGATCGTGTATTTCACGTGTTAAGCCATAGTAACCGTGCACGAACGTCCTTTATAGTAACCCTGTATGGATGTCGATTAAGTCAGTTTAACACGCAGGCTTTCACGACCAATATCCATAATAAAGGGTTTTTTTTGTTAGATCGCGTAAATATAAATGCGTCGTTAAACCCGCAACCATCCTACACAGACAATTTGTAAGGTGTATCATCTTGGTTCTTTCTGTAAAGTCACGTAGAAGGGAAATAATAAAATAATGAAAATAAAACATAATAAAATACAATTCTCACGACGTTTCGGCCACAACACAAGCAGCCGTCCTCAGGTGAAGAACAGGTCTGTCTGAAAGACAACGTCTGATTTAACAGGTCTGTCTTTCCGACAGACCTGTTCTTCACCGAAGGGCGGCTGCTTGCGTTGTGGCCGAAACGTCGTGAGAATTGTATTTTATTACGTTTAATTTTTATTATTTTATTATCTACGTGACTTTACCGAAAGAACCAAGAAGATGAATCCCTGCAGTCACGAAAGCTTTAAATCGAAAAAGGTGTATCACTTAAACAAAATGTGCCAATTAGTACTTTAGCACTAACTGGTGTGTTGGAGAGCAAACCCGCAACATATACATGCCGATTAAGTGGTTGGGTAATTTCCGGAGCAATTGAAAAGTCAGAGTCGACAATCCACCCTATTGCAAAAAAAGTTCCGTTCCCTGAAGTGATCTTTTTTTTATGGAAAAAGTTGCATCGGTTGGTAACCACACGGTTTTTGAATATTTTCACGATATAAAAACCCGACAAGGGTTATTTTCAGATGCGTTTTTTTCCCAGACGCACCGCGTGCTGTTTGGCATTGTCTGCCATATTGCTGCACGTGCATTAGGAGCGAAACGTCACAGGCACCGTGCTAAACAACACACAGCGCTACAGCCCGGACAACACATTAGAGAGTCGTAACAGCACAACCGAGAAAACGTGCGCAGTCGGTGTGATTCTTGGCAAATGTGTGATGCAGCCGACGCCGCGCGTCACTACCGCCAGACAGCAGCGTTCTGTTCTCAGCTCATCCGAGGTAGGTCGTTAGATATCATGATTATACCGGTAGGAACCACCTGGTTCTACCAGCCCACAGGGGATTATTGTGTCCGTCCGTCGTGCATCCAAAAATGGGAGGGGTGGGTGGAGAGGGGTGGGTGGGGAAGGGCTGGGTGGGGAGGGGCTGGGTGGGGAGAGTGGGGAGGGGCTGGGTGGGGAGGGGCTGGGTGGAGCTGGGTGGGGGGTGGGAGGTGGTGGGGCTGGGTGGGGAGGGGCTGATCACCCCGTGGTGCCCTTATAAAACTCAACGTTTAACCTACTCACGCCGGCTTGTGCCCACCCTCACAGTCGGCCATATTTGCGGAATACACCACGCCGCCGTTGACCCTGGCCATTGCCCGAGCAACCCAACGTTCCTACCAGCTCCCTCTGCAGGAATGTGTTTCGAGCGAGTGAGCCTAGCAAAATTGTGTTCCATACAAATATAGCGACCGATATAATAAGAGGCGAGTGTGAGTAATAAGGGATAACGGGCAGGCGTGTCGGCAAATCACGGAGAGTTGTAGGGCGCGTGGAAGAAAAAAAAGTGTCGAATGTACGCATGTTGAACTTCTTTCGCACCATGCGTAGCCAACCGTGTTAATCGGAGGTGCGTAATGATGGGTGACGGGGATAAATAATAACTGCACGGATGTACGTTGTCAATTAACGGAGAGGTACCAGGTGGGGAAGAACAACAATAATACTGGGGCAAATTGAGGAGGGTTATAAAAATGAGAAGAAAATACAGCTGAACGGGAATGTGTGGAGCCGAGCAGCTGGCGGAAGGCCCAGGGAAGAGCTGCACGTTGTTGGCATGTGTAAAGTCTGCGCACGCGCATGCAGGCGCGCACAGCGCGGGCACGTTTTGACATTGTTTTACTCGCGCCAAGGTGGAATAAAAAAAAAGGTGTCAGTTTTGTTGCCAGATAGAAGGGTCAAAAACAACAATTATCATATTTTTGACTGGCAAATGCGGTTCCAATGGTGTAAATGCTTACCCCGAGCTCTCATACTCTGATGGTGCATTGTCTTTGAGTTGTGCGCCTTTTGGCGTCATCTGGTCCAACACCATGTGAGACTAGGCTCTAAGGAAAGCTGTCTCGGGTGTGGACCAATCAACTTCAAGGACAGTGCATACATTATCAGAGTTATGTTTTTTGTTTGCATTATGACTGCAGGTATTGTGGTCTATGCAAACATGACTCCTTGTAAAAAAGGTGTCGGTTTTGTTGCCAGATAGAAGGGTAAAAAAACTATTATCAAGGTGGAATGTGTGTTTGACAACAAGGGTAAGACGGAGATTATGTTCGGCTGTCGAGTGTCCCGCTGCACGTGGGGCGGCCACTGAGCCAGCGTGCGTCGCTGTTGCATCGTCGCCCTGTCGCAGGCTTGAGGCAACTCTGGGCTTGGTGATTTGGGCTGCTGTTGCTGCTGTCAATCTTGCGAGAAGTCGTAATATTCTGAAATGGCAGAAAAAAAAAGAAAAAAAACAAATCTACGTGTGTGGGTACACATGTGGTCATTTATCTAATCTGGTGTTGTGCATCAGGGGTGTCTCTGCTGCGTGCAGGGGATGTGTGACAGGTTAACATGTGCAGCTTGCATATATTATTTGCCAGATGTATGTCCTCAGGGAGTTCGTTTCCGTTGTATCGCTGGTGGTGTTCGCGATGTATGGCTGTGTGGCCAGGCATTGGTTGTGTATGGCTAAGGCGAGCTAATTGTCTTTGTGTCCACCGGCTGTATATCGCTGCGTGTGGCGGTGGTGCGGTGGTTCGCATACTGCACTAAGAACCCGGTGATCCCCGTTCGAGTCCCGCTCATAAGCACCATCACTGGTTAGAAACTGAGCCAGTCCTGGGCTTCTCCTAGGTCGACTCGGCCTTAACAGGAGTACATGGTGCAGTGTGTAAACATCAGCGGCTGGGCGTGGTGCTGGCCACCGACCCCCCATCGTGTGCAGTACCGGCCTTTATTGGTGCTCGCTACAACACTTTGCCTCAATAGTCTGCTAAGGCTATACGGGGGATCTTTGTCTTGTCTTTATCCTGGCTGTGTTGCTCGTAACTTGTCACTCACCTTGTGCTGGCAAGACGTTGGCGCCTACAGTCCCAGTGGCGCTTGGTGGTGGAGGTGGTGGGATGGCCTGGCGTCTACTACACTTAAAAACAACACACGCACGTGTAAAGCTCTGCCAAGACCAGCCATTGAGCGAACGGTGACTTCTACCGCAGGAGTCCATCCTGTACAGCTGGCTTGTGCCCTCATGGGCACTCGCCAGGGATCGCCACACACCCTGGACGCGTTGGTTTGGAGCATGAAGGGCAAAAGCAAACATTATAAATGTAATGTGTGTACAAATGTTGAACTTATTTTGCACCATAGGTAGCCAACCGTGCTAATCGGAGGTGATGGGGTTGGGGGACGACAACAAACTAAACCCAAAAATAAGCAAATGTGTTTTTAAAGCCCATCAGCCTATTGGCTTTCCAGAGCAATATCCCCGGCAGCATTTGTTTAACAAGCCTGCGTTCTTGTTTGGTTTCTGGGCAGCGAAGGGACTGTAAACACAGCTGACGCTTTGATGCGCTGTGATGGTGAGCTTTGATAAGCGGGTGTCTTGTATAATCACTCGTGACAACACCGGCACTGGCTTGTCAGGGACGTCAACACTTTTGTTCCATGAACCAAATGCCGGTACGTACGGCCACTGGTACAACATAGTACATTCCGTCAAGTCAATGGCACGGTGCGGTTGACATGGGCCCTGGTTCAAATAATAAAATGGGACCCCCTGTCCAATTCCCTCCCCCAGTGTGTAGCCTGGGACCCTCTGGCCCATGAGGGCCCGGTGCAGTTGCACCACGTGCGCACTCGATAGTTACACCACTGGATGCAGTGCAAAGGGCACACAAGGCATACGCATGCATTGCTATCCAATTTGAATCAACCGGATTTGGAATTAATCGTTATCCCTCGTCTACAGCTCTTTCATCTCTATATACCCATGACTCTGCAAGCAATGAGTCGACTGGTCATAGCTCGGCAGCCCAATCCAAGAGCCTTTGGCGGGCCATATTTTAGCCCGTGGGCCACCAGGTCAAGAATCCCGAATTGCGCCATCGCTCCAACAAACGTGCCGACTGTTTGGGCGGCTGTGATGGCCCACACCTGTCGTCTCCAGGCACGAGGGCCAGGGGTCGGGGATGGTCCCCTCCGTCCTCCCCACTCTGGGCTAGCGGGGCTTGTGCGCCCGCGCCCCGGTTGCAGTGCGGTGCTTACGTATGCGTCGGAGCCACATTGCGCGTCGCGCCCATCGTGTGGTGGATTATCGGTGGGAGATTCGCCGACGGAGGCCGGGGCGGTGGCTGCGGTGGCGGCGGTAGTGGGGCCATGGGTGGCGCCGGCCACATGGGCATCGGAGGCATCGCGGGCAGGGGCGGCAGCATCGGCGGCGGGTAGTGGTGGTGGTGGACCGACGACTGCCTCTGCTTGTCGAACCTCATTGCCGGCACGGTGGGCTCCTGCGCATCGATGGCAGAAGGGACGACACGAGGAAGCGATCGCTTATGAATGTCTGTGTCCTGGTGAACGATTGTGCAAATCTACAGCGGCGCAGCATGGGTGGCACGTGCCCTGGTGCACGGAATGAAAAGAGGGCACTCCCCTCTCCAACATCCCATCCCGTCTTTGTAGCCCAACGCCTGTGGCCTGTGTGTCCTGGTGCTGTGCCAAAGCCGGCTCAGTGGATAGCGATGCCACAGCTTTTCTAGTATGTTTAGTGAAATCTGGGATGTCACTGTATGGTGCCGACCTGAGAGGGCCGTGGCGTGCGATGCATCGTCATCGCGTACACCCCGTGAGTGGGTGTGGTACCAGCCCTAGCGGGGCTTGGTGAGCGCTGGGATAGCGCGGGCACCATGCATAGCGTGTAGTGTGGGCTCCCACAGGGGGAGTGGGAGAGTGTCAGCCCAGGGGCAGGGTTGCCCCGGGCCATGGCACTCTAGTTGACCCTGTAGACACGTGATCCGGAGTGTCCACAGAGAGGCCCCCAGGTGGGGGGGGGGGGGGGGGGGGCTAGGGGGTGATCACGTGTCCGGGGAGAGCTCTCGAGGGGGATCGAGAGGAAGCTAGAAGGCTCCAGAAGGTGGGCGGGGCCAAGGGCGGAGCGGCCCCGACCCGGGGGGGATATAAGGTGGGTCCCTGAGAGGGACCGGGACCACTGCATTCTTCAAGCTGGAAGCTCAACATCTACAAGCTGGAAGCTCTATGTCTACAAGCTGGAAGCTCCACGTCTACAAGCTGGAAGCTCCACGTCTACAAGCTGGAAGCTCCACGTCTACAAGCTGGAAACTCTACATCCTACGAGGCATCAACACGTGGTCGGAGACCTGAGTGAGGGTCTGACCCTTCGTAGCTGTAACTCCGACGTATAGAGTAGTTAGCTGGGTGGTCACCACCCTAGGCTGCATCTGGGGAAGGGGCAGTTACCCCCTCGTGTTAGCGGGTTGATGTTACAATAAAAGTGTTGCCTCTAAAGAACAACGCCTGCGACTCAGTTGGACTCACTACATGTGTATGTTTGTTGAACTTTTGCACAGTACGTAGCTAACCGTGCTAATCGGAGGTGCGGGGAAACGATGATAAAAACGAAACACAAAAAGCAGTTCTAAAGAAATACGTTTTCAGCCATGCCAGGGAGGGCGCCATCTCGCAGAGGACCTCTCGCTAGCATGTAAGTTTTTCCCACTCGAGGCGAGCGAGTTTTGAACCTCGCAGACGCGGCAGCACGGTCGGGCGAGCGAGTAGATCCACGTCCGTGCTCCGGCCGTCTTACCTGCGCGGCAGCCGGTGTCGAAGGGGGGCCCAGACCGTGCGGCTGAAAGGCGTTGAGCATCATGTTGTGCATGATTATCTGGTGCATCTGCACGTTCTGGAACATCATCATCTCCACCATGTCTGCGGCACAAGGAGGGAAGAATAAGGAAGTGAAGGAGGAGGTTCACGCTGTGTGTGATTCAGTGGAGCCCCGTGTATCGAGGGCACTTCTTACCATTACACCGCATTCAAGGAATGAACACAGGGGATCTTGGCCATAAACAGACCCAACAGGAATCCCCGATGGGCTTTGTGCTGACGACCACCACAACAAAAGCGCTTAAGCTCCCTTGCAGGGAGAGAGCGATGTGCTTCCTACTGAAGAGCAGAGTTGCGCAAGGCGCCACGACTCCACGCACGTTTTTTTTCTGCTGCTCAGCAACGGAGTGTTTGTGTGCCTCTATGCGCGCGCAGTGCGGCCATCCACGATGATAACGAATAATAATAATATTACCGTAGTGATAATCATCATTGCACGTGATTGTTACGGAACTGGGCTGGGGAACCTTTTCTTTACCCAGGGCCAAAAATTATTTTAGAATATCTATAAATTGCACACGACAAGCCACTTTGTTGAGCCTGGTTGTTTCTAAAAAATAAGTGAATACCTCCAGTGGGCTTTACCTGGTAAAAAAATGTTTTAAAGTTCAGTTTACATTTTTATATATTTTAAAGTGCGTTGTTTACCTTTCCTATACTTTGCACTCATAGCTCATCGAATTCCTTCAGTATAAGTACATATTCTGATTGGTGGACCACACGTTAACATAGTTGCTTATCAGGCATGAGTGGTTAGAAAATACATCTTGCTATTGAGTAACAAGGAAAGTTTTGTTTCTCTCAGTTATGTTTCTTGGTTTGTTCCTATGGCATCATTCCAGAGGCTCTGTTTTTATTCGCAGGAAATGCAGAGATGCTGGCGTGTGCACGATCGTATAAAATACACCCTGCGAGCATTGACTGAATCTCTCCTTTAGTGAAAATATCCACTCCTGTGCACATGTACGTGCATGTAAACATCTACATGTGCATAGGCACAAAACGTATACCTATAAATATAAAAAAAAATGAATCCACTTTACACTCGTCTAGAAATACTGAGTAGACACAATGACCAACTCGAACAAAGATCCCCCGTATAGCCTTAACACATTTTTGGGGCAAGTCCTGTTAGTGAGCACCTATGAAAGCCGGGACGCCCTGCCACCTTCATCTCCCTCATGGCGATGTTTACACTTCGCACCAGGTACTAATTTGAGGCTGAGTCGACCTAGGGATGGCCCAGGACCGGTTACGATAATCGCCACTGGTGTTGGCCGTTTGCGGGAATCGAAATCGGCTCACCTGGTTCGTAGCGCGGCGCACTAACCGCTACCCTACCGATCCCCAGGCACATTTACACACGCGCACACTAACGCCTTGCACAAACATCCCGTTCGTAGTGAGGAACCGCCTGTCTCCACAGCAGTCTCAGTATTTGCAGCCTATTTGCCCTCTTATAAACGAGATGCCTCGCTATTATCCAGACGGGAGGTTTGCCATTCAGAAGCTCAAGAGCGGTGAACACAATAGCCTGAAGGGGAAGCTCTCGTGAGCGCCCATGCGTACAACCGGCATGATTCCTAACAATGCGCGGTGAGTGTCTGCACACGTTTTGGGGTCGAAAAAAAATAATCCGGCATCGTTGTCCGCCTGATCTCACTTGTCTGTACCGCCACCCGAACCGGGAAAAAAACTTCGGTGGTGCCGATTTCTTTTCCGGCCAATGCATGCGAATGGTGCAGTCACCCTCTTCACGCGGATTTGTTGTCACAGAGCTGAAGGTGGAGCCCTGAAATTGCTCGCTCCACACCATTGCTGACGGAAGGGCCTCCGCTATAGGGAGATTTAGAGAACTCCTCTACTGGAGACGATTGTCTAGCCTAGGGGTCGGCAACCAAAATAACAAGAAGATTAAAAAAAAATCTAATTCGGTAAAAAAACCGCAATATTTCAAGAGACACAATGCATGAGAATAACATCACGAAGCAGTCCTTAAAGAGCCACATGCGGCTCCAGAGCCGCAGTTGCCGACCACTGGTATCACCTAACCCTAAATCTGCCACGCTAGCCTGCAAACGTTTTTGGAAGGAGTGCGATTACCTACATATTACCCGACCGCGCGTGACCTGTGGTTTAAACACATTCCTGCGGAGGGAGCTAGTAGGAACGTTGGGTTGCTCCGTCAATAGCCAGGGTCAACGGCGGCGTGGTGTATTCCGCAAATATGGCCGACTGTGAGGGCGGGCACAAGCCGGCGTGAGTAGGTTAAACGTTGAGTTTTATAAGGGCACCACGGGGTGACCAGCCCCTCCCCACCCAGCCCCACCCCTCCCACCCCCCACCCAGCCCCACCCTCCCCACCCAGCCCCACCCTCCCCTCCCCACCCAGACCCTCCCTCCCCACCCAGCCCCTCCCTGCACGACGGACAGACGGACACAATAATCCCCTGTGGGCTGGTGTAACCAGGAGGTTCCTACCAGTATAACCCCCCCTTACATCCTGGGCGAATAGCGGCAGGGGTGGGGGCAGGTGGGGGCAGGGGGTGGAATAACGACGCGATGGTGCTGCTTGCCGCTACCTTCCTTGATGCTGCCGCGCTGTTGTGGCGGGGCCTGTGCCGGCAAGGCGGCTGCGATGTGGTGGATGAGCGGCTGCTGCGGTGGGAGCTGCTGGATGATTGTGGCTGGAGGTCCGGGCATCTGCGGGCATCGACCACAAACGTGCAATGTACAATTACGACAGTGTGTGCGTTAACAAATAGCAGCATCTACATGCGACCACATCTCAAGACGATGTCTAGAAAAGGTAGCAAAAAATCGGTAACTCTTCATGTCTTTCACAAAGAGAGGGGAAGAGAATAGTCACTTTTTTCTTCTTGGTTCCTTCGGTAAAGTCACGTAGAAGGGATATAATAAAATAATAATAAAACATAATTAAATAAAAATTCTAACGACGTTTCGGCCACAACACAAGCAGCCGTCCTCAGGTGAAGAAACAGAGCTGTCGAAAAGACAGCATCCCAATGAACACCCTGCAGTGACGAAAGCTTTATATCGAAAAGAATAGTCACTCTTCCGCTAATGTAGTGCATAGTGTATGCACAGTTTTACACCGGTGCACATGGAATAATTGACAAACCCCTAACAAGTCAAGTTTATCTGTATACGGTATGTCCACACCTGTACTCGTCTCAAACATTTCCTAAACATTTCGTATGTGCCATCGTCTCATCACGCCTCACAAATGTGAAAAACTTTCCCAGCTCTCTCACAGCCCCTCGGTGTGAAGTGCAATCTCCAACTATGAGTCTGTCCCATCTCTCTTTCTCTGCGATGAAGGACGGCCGTTCCCACAAACATCGACCTGATATATTTATCTGTTAAGGGGCGGTGTTTGTAACGATTTAAAATATATATATTGATACCCGTGAGCCCCTTACAACGTTAAAACAAATATTTGCAGTCCTCTGTCAATCCACTGCTGTATGAAGGCCTCCACACAATGTGAGTGGTGAGGACCGTTGGTCCATACTTCACCACCCTGCTCAGCGAGGGTTGATGAAGGTGGAGTGGGGCGCCCAGTTCAAATGTCACCCAGCGTTGATGTTAGCCACGACCAGGTATTGAATTCGGGACGCAAGGTTGGTTGCGCGCAATCCACCTGTCACTACCGTCAGACATGACGTGGTTGTCTGGCTTGACCACCTGAATGTGAAATGTAGTTGTTGCTCTGCATCTATATTCTTAGGTTTTTTCAGTAAAGTCACGTACGTAAAAAATTTAAAACTAAAATTAATAAAAGTAAAATAAAAATACAATAAAAATAAAAATCACGACGTTTCGGAGGCAACACAAGCTTCCATCTTCAGTTGAAACCGTCACAGCACGACTGCTGCATCAAGTGAGAGAAATTCCAAGAAAACAGTCCTGCATCTACTTCAGCCGTAGAAAAGTAGAAGACTACCGTCACTGGCTCACCACCATTCTCTTCAGGTATTGTTTTGACTCCCTAGCACAGTGTAAGTAGGCACCCGCCCACACACAGATATCCACGCATAAAGTCTCGATTAAGCTTCACCGCATGACTAAGTTAACATCTCGTCACCGCGTGGGCACTGGGGTGGCGACATCTTAACTCCCTGGCCTGGTATGCAGGAGGTCGTGGGTTCGATCCGGACTCTGATGATGACTGTATATTTGGTGTTTGCATGTTCTCCCCGTGGTTGCGTGGATTTTTCTCCGGTTCCTCCAGTCTTTCCCTCCACATTTAGAATCAACATGCGTTTAGAGTATTCGGCTGCTATACATTTCCAACGTAATAAGCCACTTAGTTGAGATATAATGTGTGGCCTCTGAAAAACAGCTACATAGCTCAGTGGGCCATTCCTGGTAAAGGTAAAAAAAAAAAGTTAAATTGCACATTCAGTCACACAGCTGAGTGGCTCCAGATCAAAGCCCTTCTCAGCTCTTTGCTGGGCCAAGCAAATACTGGCCACGCACAAGAGCTCTCTCCTTCACAGTGCTCGGGAGTGAATTCCAAGCACTTTCTGAGTACCTTTCTTGACCCAGATCTCTTAAGCAACAGACCGTGAACTCTGTTGCTCTGCGCAGAGCTGGCTCCCCCACACCTAAGCGGACTTGCGTTCTCCAAGGACGAAATGTGGCGGGCGAACGTGAGGAAATGTGGCGGGCGAACGTGAGCGGGTGTGTGTCGGTGCTGCGTGCAAACTGTGGCAGCCTCGGTCAGTTTGGTTGTACATATATGGGAGCCAGCGTTTTTGAGTAACTGTTAAGGGCCAAAGATTTTTGACATTTTATAAACGTGACAATCTTGTTGGGTGCTTGAGGATATTTTTTTCCCATAAAATCACCATGTGGCCTAAATAGAAAAATAATTATACGGATCATGGACCAAGTGGTTTGTCTATAAGTAGAGAACATAAATTGTACTCTTCCCAGCAACACTTTCGCTATTTTACCTCAAATAATGTATCGGGAATGTCTCACTCAGAATGCTTGGCCAATTTTTTTTTACCAAAGACATTTGTTAAATGTATTAGATTCTGCTTTAAAATGTGTATTTATTCTGAGGAAAGACGTTTGGCTCAAAGACAATAAAGTAAAATATTCCTCTGTTCATTCCCAATCTTTCCCCGTGGGGGAGAAAGTCACCTGAGCGGCACTAACAGAATTTAATCATTCCATTTACCGAGAAAATATTAGGACCCAAATATTAAAAATTGCTGATTGACCATAAAACCCATCATTCCCCTTCATCCACTTCTGGATGAAGGCTTTCCCACGCCGCCACCATCTCTCACCATCCCGCGTTGTTACAATCCACCCAGCGCCTGCACACGAGCCGACTTCATCGCTAAAAGCACGAACAATCTAATTTTCAGCCCACGGGGAATAAACCTGACATCTGGGACAAAACACCATTTCCCGCAGGGCTGCGCACCGTCCGGCAGGTTTCATGGGACTATAAGCAAAACCCCCAGGGTAGCTCTCCCATGTGTTTTTGTGTTGGACACCACGTGTTGGACGCCACGTGTTATTCAACAACAAACCCAGAACATCACCCACATTAACATGGCTTCTCTCAACTCCGTGTGCTTATTTTGTTGTCTGGGATTAAACATGACCCAGCTCAGGCCGCTCGGCTTGCGTGCAACTGCCTTCACAAAGGATATCGGTGGGATACATGTCGGTGGGATGGCACAGGTATACGAGCCCCTTCCACCCACCCGTCCCACCCCACACCCTCCGCTCCGCCAAGCGCCGTTCTCCTAGGCAACGCCAGGGTGTGAAAACACCTTTTGAGTGCTGAAGCCACAAGCCGCGGGGAGTTCTTTTTCAAACTGAGCCCCATAACCCACACCCGACTCTGAGTCTGTTCACCAGCACCAAGCCGCTCACTTCACGGAGATTCCGTCGTTGTGTTCCTATCTTAAGGAATGTATATTCATCTTCTTGGTTCTTTCGGTGACTTTACCGAAAGAACCAAGAAGATGAATCCCTGCAGTCACGAAAGCTTTAAATCGGAATGTATATTCCTTTGTGCTGCTTTGTTTAGATGTAAAGCTTTGTATTGTTGAACGCTTTCATGGTACATGCCCCAATTTGTATTCCTTATGAAATTTCTCGCAGCTATTATTTTGGCGTGCAATTATTGTGGACTATGAGATCTGAAAGTGTGTACCTGGAGGGATAGTGTCGTGTCGTGGTTAGCGTGCTGGGCTACGAACCCGGCGCCCTGAGTTTGATTCCCACTCACGGCCGATACCAGTGACGATTATCTGAACCAGTCATGGGCCTCCCCTAGGTCGACTCAACCTCAAATAAATACCTGGTATGGTGTTAAAAAATATATATGTATAAAAATTTTATGAGACCTGTTGCAAACGTGTTTTTAATTTTACAGTTTTCTGTTTTGTTGATGAAACCCGAATCAAGCTTCTTAGCTCACAGGGCAATTCTAAGTAAACTGTTCAAACTGTGTATAAACATCGCCGCTACGGAGACAAAGGCGGCCAGACGTGGTGCTGGCCAGCCCAAAAGTCTGTTACGGCTATACGGGGGATCTCTATCTTTTCACAATACCTGTTGAAGGGGAGCTGGGACAATTGGTCCCTCAAGTCGATTAAATCACAACATTTTAATCGACTACTTTTTGTTCTCGATTACAACACATGCTCTTCCTTCCGATATGAGGAAGTCACTGGAGCTATGCACTTTTAAATAATTTAGATTGAAAAGAATTTCTTCATAACTCCTTTCTTGTGTTGAGTTTGCTGTCCTTCCCTCGCACTTCCGATTAGCACTGTTGGCTATGCACGGTGCGAAAGTTGTTCAACATACACATATACATCCTGCCTTCAAAGGCAAGAACCCTCCCTACAAGCCACGACTGGCATGCCATTGTTGATTATGCCAATGAAGTTGTGAAGCCTGCCAAATGCCTTTTTGTTATACTATCAGTCGAGTGATTGAGCCGACAGAATAAATAAATTGATATCCCAGCTCTACACACGTTTATCAATTCGCCAATTACTTGCTGTGCGTTAGTGTTGGGCACCACGTTGGTGAGATGTTAACTACCTGGCCTGGTATGAAGGAGATCGTGGGTTCGATCCAGACCCTGATGCCTGTATATTTGGAGTTTGCGTGTCTCTTTCCCCGTGGTTACATGGATTTTTCTCTGGGTCCTCTGGTCTCTCCCTCCAAATTGAGAATCAACATGTGTTTTAGAGCATTTGGCTGCTATAAATTTCCACATGATAAGCCACTTCGTTGAGATATCATTTGTGGCCAGGTCGCTTCTGAAAAAGAGCTATATAGCTCAGTGGGCCATACCTGGATGAATAAAAAAAAATTTAGTTTACAGTTAGTAGTGTAAAACGGGCAAATACGCAATGCAAACTGCGAGAAATACAGGAATACAGTAATAGCAACACATCCATTGCTTGCTCAGGAAGGCCTCACTGACTCTTAAGCCTGTTTTGGAGTTTCTACGCCAGGTCTTTGAAGATGTTTTACAAATCGGGATTAGGGAACCAGAGCACCTCACGATAACTGATGCATACGAGCGGATACGCCTCAAACTATCCCACATGTACAGCCCTCTATCAATCCACTTCTCGTGAAGACCTCCCCTACGCCATGCCGGTGGGGTGGATTATTTGACCATACTTCACAACTCTGCTTAGCGTGGGTTGGCAAAGTTGGGAGCATGGTTGCTTTATCGCCCTCTGTTACCCAGCAGCTCACAACACCTGCTTTTTTTATATGTGGCAGTCGCCCATCCAAGCACATATCCAGGCTCAACTCCACTTAGCTTCTGAGATCGAGTGCATCCCAAGTGATTTGCTCAAAGGCCCCATCCCTATTATGTCACTTCTTGTAAGCCTGGTCTTCAATCAAATATATTAGACACAGCTACCACAGGCTCAACTCCACTTAGCTTCTGAGATCGGATGAGATTGTGTGCATTCCAAGTGATTTGGTCAGCCGGGGCACGCTCGCCACCGAGACCGTGGCACAAGCCGGCGGAGGCACTCACCGTTTGGTGGATGATGCGTGGCTGCTGATGCTCAGGAGGCATCGACTCCTGCGTGTGATGGTACAGGATCTGCTGCTGCTGCGGCTGCTGCTGCTGCTGCGGCGGAGGGTGGTAGCCCATATGCTCGTGAGCCTCCATCGGATGGAACTGGGAGTAGGGCATCTCCAGCGGCTCCAGGCTGCGGTAGCGCCGGTAGCCGGAGCCTCCGCCCCACGTGCGTGGCCGGGGCATCTCCCGCAGCATCTCGTGATCCTGTACAGCAAGCGCACGTACAAACAAGCGCACGCACGAACAAACGCGCGCACACACGTGGATTACTTCAAACTCCAGGCCTCGCGCCCAGCTCCACAGAGGGCCTTGGGTCGTGTGCAGGGATCATTGCAGGTTATTTAAGCTCACCAAGTCCTGAGTGATCTCGGGATTGACACGTCTGCTTTTTTGTGTTAAGTTTGTTGTCCTTCCCCCCCGGTTGGCTGGGTACAATGCGAAAGAAGTTCAACAGCATACATACATACGTAGAAGTCAGCGTTTATATATCGTTTATAAAGCCCCTATACTTAGAGACAGGAAAGGGAGACAGTGCCAGCAGAAGGAGGGAACACGCCTGAGCAGATGCCCACCGCGGAGATGACACGATGGATTCGGCTGGTATGCAGGGGCGAGGTGAAAGTGATGTATGGCGAGGCTGTGAGATGGCAATAGCTTGGGGAAACCTTCATCCATCAATTCATAGATTATGACTGGTGAATGAGAAGATGGTGATTTAGACAAACCACTTGGTCTGTGATTCATATTTGTGTTTATCTTAGGTCACGTGGTGGTTTTATGGAGATAAATAAAATCCTGTCATTGAGCCTCAACCACCCTGACAAGATCGTCACGTTTACAGAGATATTAATTAGAGCGTGCCAATGTGTTGATTAAAATCATGACCGGTAAAGTCCACCGGTGACTTAAAACTTTTAATGATCGAGTTTATCATCAGCATACAACATTTCACTCAAACTACGTTCATTACCTGATGAAGGTGGAAGTTTTTGATTATTGTATAAGTTGAATGTGTATTCACAATAGAGACACCGTACTTATTAATTTACGTCAATGTTACGTCGCCACGTGTTTATCAAAATGTCAAGCCGCATTTAGCAAATTGTTTGCCCTCGTTATTTTCACACATTTGAGGACAATCTATGATCCTGTATATAATAAAAACTGGTCTTTATTCACGCATCAAAATGTTTAGTTTGTTGTCCTTCCCCCGCACCTCAGATTAGCACGCTTTGCTACGTACGGTGTGAAAAAAGTTCAACATACATACATCTCTCCATGCTTCGCTGAAAATATTTTATTTTAAATTAACGGTTATTAATCTAAAAAAATATGTATTATTAACACCATGTAAATGAAAAGTCATACTCTTTCTTGATCTAATTATAATATTACGTAGCAGCAAAAAGCAATGGATAAGCACGCGATTGTTTCTTTGCGAGTTCAATGCCAGAGCACTGTTCCTCTATTCGCTGTGATAGAAATTTGACGCAATTTATGTTTTCTTGGGTTGCGAAATTGTGTGAATCTATAACTGTTGACCTTTAGGCCTACGGATTGGATCGTAAGAAGAGCTCACCGTTATCGCAAGTTACATCCATAAACAATGAAAGAGGAAAACACTGCATCGTACAAAATGTTGTTCTTTTCGCGTGCAATTTGCTCTAAATACTTCTCCGTACGCAGCCCAGCCACGCAAAAAACACTGACGCGCATTTCGATTGCCGAGAAAAAAAAAGAACACTGTTTGCATTAAAAGCATATCTTTTAAGAATATTAACGTCAATACGGGCCACACGTAGCCAACGATGGCAATTCGACAAGACAGGGGAAGGCACCCATATCAAAGCCGCAGACATGACAGAGGTGCCGTCAGGATGTACCTGGAATGACGACCTCTCGCGGCGCACGAACGCTTGACTCAACCCCAGGGTCACCGCGAACCCTCTGATCTTTGTGGTCGTGGCTCCACGTCGAGGGAATGTTAATTGATGCGCGCGCGCGCGACCCGGTCCACGCACCGCCTCCACAACGATCGCAGCGTTGATCGGTTACCAGAGGGCACCCGGGTTTGCGTGGAGCAGCAGTGCGACAAAACGACACGCGTGTTTCGTTCGCTCGGCGGTGCGTGTTTCTTTCTTTTTTTCTGGTCGGGCTGTACCGCGTTGTTGTTGTTTAGTGATAATTATTTCATTATGTTTTATTTTTATTATTTTATTATTTCCATTCTACGTGACTTTACCGAAAGAACCAAGAAGATGAATCCCTGCAGTCACGAAAGCTTTAAATCGAAAGTTGTTGTTGTTGTTCGGCAGGAATTTCGCTCCCAAACAAAGCTCCCAGCACGTGGAGCGAAACGTCGGACATCGTACCGAACAACACCACGTAGCGACACAAGCCGAACACACATCGGAGAGCCATACAATCGCGAAAACATACTTAAGGAGTTAAGAGCGTATATGTCCGTCCGTACACAGAAGACGGGCAGTAAAACAACGTGAGAAGGATAAACTAATAAGCGAATGTGCATTAAACCGTGCTTGGCATTCTGCTGCTGGATGAGAGCCTCCCCACGGCGTGTAGGCCATACGCCACGGCGAGTGTGTTGAGTGTTTTGTTGTTGTTGTTGTAAATTGTGCTTCTTTACCGCTAACGCAGCAGCACATAATTAGTTTAGATTTGAAGGCAAAGCTAACCAGTGCGGGTCGGTGAAAGCGGGAAGCGCAGACGTAGGAGCATAGATTTGCAGTACAGCAATGCACTCTGCTGCGCTACGAAGCCCCGACACAGCCGATAACACCTGCTTTATGTGTGGTTTCCAATTCAAGCGCGATTGGAATGGCTCCTCGTACGACGAATAAATTAGCCCCCCACCCCCTGTTCAATTTTCCTACCTTCGTAGCCCCGTGCCAGGGGCCCCCTCCATCCGGTGGGCGCCGGTGCAGTTGCACGGCCTGCGCACTCGATTAGCCACAACGCCACCACGTGCGCCTGCACCATTTCAATCGCAGCCCTTTCGCTTTTCTTTTTCGAGAATTCTTCCAAAAACGACAGCTCCTCTACCGCTTGCTTCGATATCTCCCACTCAGTTGGGGACCCCCTTCCGTCGGATACATTTCTTCACCAGAACACTTCTCCAAAGCCTCAATTAAAAGATGAAAACTAGGACCCTTCGATTTAAAACCGAGTACCGTGGCAGGAACACCCGTCAATAGCAGAAGTGATGCGAGGCGCTGCATTCATGAATCGATGACGGTCGTTTTTTAACGAGCCAGCCGACTTGAGAGGAAAAAGGAGACTTTTGGGGGAGGGGGGAATTTACAGCGAGGTCCTTGCAATCTTCACAAAACTACAGCTGTTCTACTACCCATTCTATAACACTAATTATAATTTAAGTTTTATAGTGTCATTCGTGTTCATTGCATCTCACGAAACGGCTCAATAATTATGAAAGGCGTAATCACTTGAAGGTTTCGATGTGTTTCCTATGTACTCGTTATACACTGCGAGTGTGACCGTAGCGAGTCGCAGTTCGATATCTGTCAGACTCTTGAGTTATTGTTTTATAATGTCCATTACTTGTCATCAAATATCAGAGCCCATCACGACAGCCTGCCGCCACATGGCGCGTTGCATGCCCGATCTTGGAGACTGCGAACCACGAGCAAAAACACGCGTGAACATGTTTCTCTATAAGCCTCATCATCAGCAGCCACGATGAATCCACTGATGTACGAAGACCTCCATAAGTCTTATTAAAAAATTTCATTCCTTGAACTAAACTCAACCGTTTTTTTTTTTACCAGGTAAGGCCCACCTAGCCACAAATTAAAGGTCAACGAAGTGGCTCATCGTGTAGAAATTTAGGGTAGCCAAATGCTCTGAACACATTTTGATTCTACATGTGGAGAGAAAAACCGGAGGACCCGGAGAAAAATCCACGTGACCAAGGGGAGAGAGAATAAGCAAACTCAAAATATACAATGATTATAATTATATAAAAACATGGCTTTTGTAACATTTGCCAGATGAAAGCATTCTGAGATTACGTATTTTGAAAAGAGGGCAGCTTATTCAACCGTAGTTACCATACATATACGTATCCGTTATTCATGTTAAATCGTTGGGAAAGGACTGATTTTATTACGACAGTAAACACGCATGCTGGCCTAGTTTTAAATGTTTAGGTCTCATTAACATGCCGCGTGTTGAATCAAATATAGGAAACTTACTGCAGCCGAAATATTTCGCAGTAAAACACATAGAGTGCTGTACTGCTAATAACAATTTACAATTCTCTCTTGCGTCGCCTCTTGGCCTCGTAACGTCTACATTCCACGTCTCATCTTAAACCTCAAACTCCTCCGGTAGCTCGGCCTTTGAGACTATCTTCACTACTCTTTGGTTTTTTTCAGTAAAACCACGTAGGTAAAAAGGAAAATAAATTAAATTAAATCACGACGTTTCGGAGGCAACACAAGCTTCCTTCTTCAGGTGGAACCGTCACAGCAAAATTACTGTATCAAAAAAACGTCGTGATTAAATTTAATTTATTTATTTTCTTTTTTACCTACGTGACTTTATCGAAAAAATAAAGAGTATGGACCCTTGCAGTCACGAAAACTTCAAATCTAGAACTATCTTCACTATCCTCGCCCCCCCACCCCTCTGCAGAACGTACTTAAAATCACTCCCTCGGAAGGCATCACGAAGGCAGTAGGATCAGCACAAGTAAGGGAGAAACCTCTCTTGCATACTCACCTACTGTGTGGTTCCGCGCGGTTTTGATTGTCCTTGTGCAGTGGTGGAAAAATAATACCGAATAAAAGGGTTTTTAAAGTGATATAAATTAAAGAAAAAAATCGCATGCAAAAATGTTGAGTCGTATTCAATGACTGGAACGCTTCAGTTGAATCATCGGCTCGGTGAAAAATATCATTGGCGATGTGATTGATTAGATAATATGGCGATCGATTGTCTTATCGACAGACCTGACGAAGGGTCGCAGCAACGAATGTGTTGCCTGCCAAGACATGACGACACAAGTGCGACCACCTAGACCCACGCGGAATCCACCCACTCGTACCCTGCGCCCACCTACCCACGCCTACCAATCACCTACCCGCGCCCAGCCACCCACCAATAGACAATACCGAGCCTCCCACCTACACTGACCCTCAATCACCTGTGTACACACTACATAC